GTCTCCTCAAACTCTTAGCACTGCCTTGGTTGCTCCACGGCCCCAACATCCCAAGCATGTGGGCTAGGCCACCACGCAACGGGTGGGTTAACCGCTTCGAGCCTCGTCGATTCGTCGAGGCCATGGACCGCGGACACCTGCCGCAACGCCCACACTGCACCCCTAACCACTATGTACTATTGCTTTGAATGTGGTGCGGCAGACCAGCCCTTCTCCTCCAAGTTGCCCGGGCAGAAAAGTAGACAGGCAGACAGGCAAGCAAGCACCACACCACCACGGCCCACGCTGGCTGGTACTCTGTGGACAAGCACCTTTTAGTGTTAATCGTCTCGACGCCGCCTTGCTTTTACACATCGGACGGTCTCCGACGTCTTACATTGAGCAGAGTGCCCGCTGCTTGTCCCCTTCAGGAGCCCTCGCGTAGGCTGCATCTGGCTGTGCAAGCCACCTTGAGCTTGCGGGGTTGTTACCGACACTGACCTCCGCCTGCCACTTGTCACTTGCAGCAGGATGAACGTTGTTCGTTGTGCCAATTCATCCCACCAGCGTCCCCCTCGCCAGCCATGGCTTATTCTTAGCAGCGTCGTCTCTGACCTTCCTATTCCGACCCTCCTGGTGTGTTTGATCTGTTCCTTGATGGGTAGAAGACAGGACGATGGACCACTGCCACTTGCACTGAAGCTCACCCACGCGCTGTCACAAGGATACTCTTACCCTAGGCAATGCTGATCCGCCCCGCTCCGGCCTGCTGGTGTGAGGGATCGCTAACCCGTCAACTCTCGCACACTGTCACCGCTCTGATACCCTTCGCCTTTCTTGCCAAACGGGAGGGTTCGCTCATTTGGTGGTTGGTCTGTTTATTCCCACAAAGTTGGTGTTTTCTTGACTGTGCTTGACCTCTCTCTGGGCCACATAGCTTCGCGTCTCTTACCCAAACATCACAGCTACCGTGGCCGCCAGCCTGGCATCCTGTGGCAGTGCGTCCCCATCAGACTTGTTTTGTGTTGGCTTCGAAAGACGTATATCTACCCTACTATAGATACCTCTTCCTCTACGGCGTCGTCATTTTTGTACTCCTCAAATAGGGATCACGGCTGCTGCTCCCACCTTAGCACGTCCATATATCACATTCATCTTCATGCCCCTCTTCGTTCGCCCCTGATATCCCACAGCCCATGCTGGACAATCAAAGGGCCCAATCTTGTTATCCCAAATTCCATTTGGGTTTGCCAAGGTATACCCAGAAACTTGGCTCGAGTAGGTTGGATCGGCCACAACCACCGTCCTCGGAACGCCATCCGTTGTCATTGATAGCGGCCGTTGCCTGCCCCTCTGCGTGGACCTTGTACCCGAACGTCTCCGCCAACCTCGGAAACTCACAATTGTTCAACGACATATGGTACCTTGACAAACGAGTCGACTCCAGGCAACTGATCACCCCTGAAAAGGACCTGACGCCGAGGAGCGGATCACAGCTTCCTCAGCAGCGATTGCGCCTCAATTCTGGATCCTACATCTTTTCGAGACTGCCAGCTGCAACACTTCGGTTCTTCTGTCCACAGAACAATCTATCGGCACCATCACTGCCCGACCGCACTCCAGCAGGGGAACGTGGACAAGAGTCTTTAGAAAGGAAACCGATTTGTCGCCATACCACGGTTCCGTCGGCTTCGGGCCTGTCAAACTCGTCACATTTCACACTGCCACTGGCAGCACCAGACCCTTGCAACATCACGTCCGTTGCGTGGCCGGTGGACCAGCCGTGTTCTTTTGCGGCAACGTGCAGAGTCCCGCTCTCCTGCAAAGACACACACCCCCGGCCAATCTCAGCCCCTAGCCAACAGCCCGGAGAGGAGTCTCAAATCGGTCAACCGGTGCTGGACAAGCACGACAAGGCGACGCGAGGACCCCGGTTCAGGTGTCAAACTTTTTGTTCAGTACAGGGCCTCTGACGAAGCCATCCAACGCCACGCGTTTGAGGACGCTACCAGCAACGGCCGCTTGTGCTCATCTGCTGCCCTATTTGTACCAGTCCACCAACAGCTTTCGGAGAGATAGGACGCCAGTCGGGATTCCGGTTCTGCTACCCAGATATGCTTATTGCCCGTTGGCATCAGCAATAAACCCGACACGTGCCTGGCCGCTGCAGAACGCCGAGAACAAGCCGCGACACCAACGTGGAATACCACCTCGTGGCCCAAAACGCTTCGCCGTTTGTAAGCCGAAGCTATTGACTCTTGACTCAATCGAAAAAGCTCTTGATAGAAGACTGTCATCAAGCCAGGTATGTTGATCGTATGCTTCATTTCTCTTAGGTCTGCCCTTGGACCCGGAATATTTCCCGTCTTATTACAATGCGCATCCCCTAAACCCAGCTTTGCCGACTCGGTCTGAGAGTGTGTGCCGGCCAGCTAGGTCACACTTTGGCTTTCTGGTTGGCATTACCACGGACAGTACCTTATGCCATATTTTATGACGAGATCGGGACACAGTTGCATGGTCAGAGCCATGCTTGTCCCGACCACCAATCAATCCCATCGCGGCCAGTGCCAGCGAAGTCCCCCGAAGTTCATTGTTCGATAGCTCCTGGCGAATGGCTTAGTGGTTACCGTTCTCATCAAGCGCACGTCCACCGTCCGGGCGGGTTGTAGTCGGCTCGTCTATCGGCTGTCCAGTCGCTCCTCAAGTTCCAACCAAACATGCGCGGGTATGCAAAGGCAGAGCATGGCAAGGCGAGGAACTGTAAATAGAGATGGAGGCAGCCTGGACCAAAGCTGGGCCATCTGTACACTGCTGCAAAGATTGTTGGAAGGATTCTGGACGCACATCATGTCCTAAAATAGCCCCCTCATCAGCCCACAGCACCAGTGTGCCAATGACACGACCCGAAAGAATGCCAGTCGACTCCCATCAGCTACCACGAAGTCTCCTGCATCCGAGTGCAGAAACGGAAGAGCTTCATGTGCGGAGTCTGCAGCTGTTCTCTACAAAGTCAACCGAACCAACGACGGACGCACTGCGCCCAGCCACACTGCACACATGATACTTAGCGGATGTCTTCCCCAAAGCTGCCCTATTGTTCTTCCCGAGCCCGGCCAAGGGCTGCATGAGGATTTTGCTCTACAGTCTCTAGGCGCATACACGCTTCTCTGCTCTCTTTCGCAAAGCCAAGCCGAGCCTCTAGTGCGCGCTACCTTGAGTAGCATCCTCTCCTTTCCCGTGTTGACCCACCACTCGCAATATGCCCGATGAAGAGGAAGCTCGACGCGTGGCACCCCAAAGATCATGCTGTCAAGCCATACCCATCAGCCTGTGTCGACCCCCTTTTACACGAATCCCTGCTTCGAGGATGAGTATCATCACTTGTCGTTCCCCTGCTTCCTGCACGAGAAAGAGGTTGAGGAGAGCCACCCCGGCCGAGTCCAAGTGGGCTTGTTCGGCGGGAAACGCCAGTGAGTCGCGGCACAGCGACCTTATTTTCGAAGCTGTTGCCGATTCGCCATCACCCATCCTTGGTGTCGACTCTCGAGGGCAGGGATCATGGGGGGTTCCTGGTGACCTGTCCAAGGTTCCTGGGTTCCCTCGCTCTCTCGGACCAGGACCCTGGCATCCCAACAGCGCCCACTCTCCGTCGAAACACGTTAGTTACTTTGGGTGATGAGCACCTCCCACAGCCCTGCTTCCTTGGGCCCAGTGGGCGGCAGGGGTGCCGTCCAGCCCTCCTCCACTCTCCAGAGATAATATTTCCGATTCTGCTCGCGCGCGGAGAGCCCCGGATCCAGACCCAATGCCTCGACGGTACCGTACCGCAAACCATCGTCACTAAAACCCCGGCGGTATTGTACCCGTCGAGTGATAGGACAACCTAAGACCACCATACCTTGCCTTGCCTTGCCTTGCCTTAGCCTTCCTGGTCCGTCTTCCCTACCCACTTCCTCTTTACTCCGACTAGACGCCGCTTGCTAAGTAGTGGCAGTTCGTGCATTTCTCCCATCCCGCAAAGCCACACGGCTTGTCGTTTTTTACATCTCTCTACCCCCCGTCCGACCTGGATCTCGTGCCTGTTCCTCTCACTGTTCTTTGTTCAAGATACAAGTCGCTCTCTTGCCATCTGCTCCTTCCTGCTTGTTCAGCCTCCGGCTAGATCTTGTGGCAACACGCATACCAACGGCTATCTCGACGACTTTCGACGAGTCTCGCTAACCAAGCCGCTGCGCTGCGTAACAGACATCGTCTCGCAACCACAACATCAACATCAACAGCGGCAGTAGACAGCAGTACAGCTAAATTCATTTTTACTCGTTCTCTGTTATCCTGCAGTCAAGCCACCGTGTTCAGACAATCAAACCACTGGGCATTGAGGATCTCGGTGACTTGAAGTTACACAGAGCTGCAGCATAACGGATTCGCCTCAACACCGCCAAAGTAGAAAACATTGCGCTCACTGCCCGGACACCAAAGAGGAACGCATTCCGAGTGGACGAGACTCACGCTGTACACGCGGCAGTCTCTCTGTCTCTCTTCTTCGACTACGACCGCAGCTCGCACTCCAAAGATTGTCTGCGCCGAACCTCGTGCCTGGATTCTCGGCCAAGGATCTGACCACTCTAGCAAAACCAACCATCCCGAGATCTGGCCTATCCGCCTGTATGTTCGTGGAGCGACGCCTTCCCATTGTTCACCGTCTTGGGGAGCCTGTGGACACTCCTCTGAACCAGTCTCGTGAGTACTGGTCTCTCGAACAGCGCTCCGCCATGGCCGCATCGTCGCATAACCCGTATCCGCGATCTCCAAATCCTTCAACAAGGTCGTACGACTCATCTTCAGTCTCTTCTGCAACATCCCCAAGGCAGCCTGCCCAGTACATACCGAGAGGACTAATGAATACCGGGTCGAGGGCAACAGCGGCACCCCCGCCCCAGCCCATTGGCATCCCTCCTTTACCACCGGTCAACCAACACGCCTTCACTCCCTACACACCGGTGACTGCTGGCTCAATGATGGGCCGTGACTCCCTCCCCTCGGCCGACTCCGTGACCAGCACGCCAGGACCATCGACTGCATCGCTACCGCCAATCTCCCAGGCCCAGAAGAGAGCGTATAGACAGAGAAGGAAAGACCCCAGTTGCGACGCATGTCGGGAAAGAAAGGTCAAGTGCGACGCCACAGAGACGACGAGCTGTTCTGAATGCTCCAGCCGCAATGTCAAGTGCCAGTTCACAAAGGAGACCAACCGACGGATGTCTTCGATCAAGCAGGTGCAGGACCTTGAGAAACAGATGGAGCGCTTGAGGCGAGACAACAGCAACATGAGGCGGATGCTTCAGGAGAGGGACGGAGCGATGGACATCGACTCTGATGGCCTCGAGCAACTGCCCCTTCAGCTACCAGAGATTGGCACCGATCCCAAGCGGAGGAAACGACCAGCCCCTATTCACGACTTGGCACGGGCAAGGTCCAACATGCGCGTCTTCTCCCGGGGCATCTGGAAACCTCCTGCTCAATACCGCCAAGCGCCTTCGACCCCGTTGTTCGACCCCCAGAGGCCTGATCTACCCCCGAGACAGACAACTGACCAGCTCCTCCACACGTATTATGGCTCTGCCCATACGATGTTTCCCATTCTTCACTGGCAGACGTTCCAGACAGGAGTTGACGATCTGTACAGGATCGGAAGCACAAAGTCTGTGCAGCCCGCGTGGTTGTCGACCTTCTTCGCGGCCCTCGCGCTCGGAAGCCTTTTCAGCCAGGACCGCCACACTCATCGTGCCTACCGAGCAGCAGAACTGTTGGAAGTCGCTAGAGGTGTGATCGACCCGTGGAATAACGACTATGTGCTCGACAACGTACGCGCATTGGTACTCGTCACATTGTGCCTCAATGAGATGAATCAGAAGTCGGCTGCCTGGACGTGGCTCGGCTCCGCAGTCCGAGCTGGGCAAGACTTGGGACTGTACTCGGAATCCGGGCCTTGGCCCGTTGTCGAAGGGGAAATGCGCCGACGAGTTTGGTGGACGATATACATCCTCGACCGGAGTCTGGCACTCGACCTAGGGCGCCCGGTATTGATTGACGACTCTGACTGCGACGTCTCGCTTCCTGCCGGTGTCGATGACCATTACATCCACGAGGGGGGCATTATGGTGCCTCCTGGCCGCGAGCCCTTGAACCACTCTTTGCTGGCTTTGATCAACGTCATCAGGTCATACTCGTCTTTGATCAAGACGCTGGCCGCGCCAGTAGTAGCACCGACTAGGCTCGCAACCTTTGACCAGCACTTCGTAACCTGTCTACGAGCTTTTCCCCCGGTTTGCGACACCTCTAGCACGGGGCAGATCTCACCTCACCTCCTGACCCCATTTACATACCTCCTACACGCTCGTCTCGTATTACACCGCCACAACCTCGCACCAAGCTGCTCGCCCGATGTGCGGCTCGCCGCCATGGAGCAGTGTACTCATACGGCTCTTGAAACCGCCTCCCTCCTTTCGCGAGCGACCCCGAGCCTTGCAGACGGAGCTACCGCGCTTCTCACTACCCACATCTTCCGTTGCGCCCTCTTCCTCCTCCTGGCAGGATACTGGGACCACGCCACAACATGCTTGCGTGCGCTTGCGTCCATTGACAGCAATCGCGACGTCGCGATCCCATGCGGTCGATTCCTTGCCTTCTTTGTGTCCACTCTCGCAACCAAACGCAGTGAGTATGCGGCATTTGTCGCCCGAACGACACCCCCGAAGCCATTCGCTCCGCCTCCTCCGCCTCAAGGCCGCCCGGGCCCTACGCCGTTGCAAGAGGCGCTCCTGCAAGACGAAGAGCTTATTGCATACGTCAGCGCTGATCTGCAAGCGGCGCCGGAATCGGCTTGGATCTGGGCTGGTGGCGAGCGTGAGGCCATCTTGTCCCCGACCTCACCAGGCTCCATCACTGCCTCAGGCGGCGCCAGCAGTGGTCTGTTCAGCGTTGAACAACGAACTGGTCTCAGCGAGAACGAAATTAAGGAATGGGGAGGTTGGGAACGCCTCGAGGCAGCCATGCGGGGGCTGGCCTCTAGCAACACTGCGCCAACACCGACGTCTGCGACGTGGTCTACTCTTCCAGCCGGCATCAAGACCGAAGGCACACCGACACTGCCCAGTATGATGACTTCTGGTGAGGGAAGTAGCAACAACAGTCCGACCGCAAGCACCAAGGGCCGGCCCCAGGACAGGTTGAGCATTGCAAACATAATCTAGGGAGGGAATTGAGCCCCTTCAAGCGACTCAACTTGGCTCAACATGGGGCTGGCCTGTCATCGGAACCCCTTTGCTTGGTTCCCATGAGCTACACCACATACACATACACATACACACACACATTTGGATATTTGTCCATCACCCATAACCCAGGCAACAAATCATGACCGTTTACGAACGTCACGGAATGAATCCGGTTGACATAGCAAGCTACGATGGCTTTCCATGATGGTTTACGACCATCACAGCAGCTGGAGTCTAGCAGACTTCGTTGTACGATAATGTGTTGACAAATGGCTTAAGACACTGTCCCTGCTGTTTAGTTTCTCATTCGCCAATTTCTTTTCACAAATTTCCGCCTTTCTACATTTTCAACATTTTCCAATCGTTCTACAACTACCGAGCGGCGTCGCCATACAGGCCCCCTCACACCATTCGTTGAAACCTTAATATCTGCGCGGTTCAAAACGCACCAGAGCGTGCGTTTGGGAGGGGAGACCGGAGGTTAACCGATGTTTCTTTTTCTTTTGTTCACAGCCTGGTTCGCTGGAAGACCGGGCTTGGGTTCAAGGAGTTGCAAACATGACACAAAAAGCGGTTGATTTTCGATATGACGAGGCGGGGGGGGGCTGGGCTGGTTTGGTTTCATTTGGCGAAATGAAGGAGTTGTTACCGCCTCTTGAGGCTTTCTCGACAACCAAGTTCTTCCCTTGTGGACGCGACAGAGAGAGGTGGATGAGGAAGAGGCCGGGCCTTTTTCCCTCGGAGCAATACCCAGCAAAGAGGATGAATGGGCTGGATTCGGTCTTGAATGTTTGTTTTTTGTTGTTGTCCATATGGAAGAGGGATTTGCCATGTGTCGCTTCGTTTTCTTGTCTCTTTTGTAATTTATTCTTATTTGACTTTTACTCTTTCTTTGTATTGTTGACCAACGCTTGCGAAGGGTCCTGCACGGATACTGGAGAAAAGAGACGGGCATACATAACCTACCTCGGGGGGGGGGGGGTTCAAAGAGGACTTATGTACAAACAAAGCACGATTTGAGTCTGGGGTCCCGCCGAGGCGTGGAACTCGTGGGGCTTCTTTCCCCCAGATCACGATAAAATCTCTTTTCCAGGGCGTCAAAATTGTGAGAGTTGCCAGCCGACTTGGATGAATTGATCTGGGCAGAGTAGGTTTGTGAAGGGATCAGATCTGGAACACTCGCGGTATTCGACATTTCAACACGGCAGGTGACCATTTGACGACAGGTCCTATCGACCGATCAAATTTGCTGTTTTAACATGCTCAGCGATGCGTCTAATCACTACTTTTTCTTTTAGCGACATACTGAAATCTGAATCCAAGCACAGAGGGTCGCGGATGCAGTAAATCATGGCCTTCTGGTCAAAGTATGGCCAAAATCACAAGCTATACAATACACTACCAAAAGCGACCGAGTTGCCACAAAATCCAAGTGTCAAATGTTACTCTGAACACTCAATGACTTCAGCGAGTAGCCGCCGTGAGAAGGCCACCGACAGCGCTGTCTCATGACGGGCTCGGCGTCCCCCTGCTTCTCATGGTCATCCCTACAGTGGCAACAACTCAAATCAAGACCATCAGGCGCAGCTCAGAACGGGGTCTTTCCATGCTAGTTGGTCTCGCTGATCCCTACACCACGAACAGCTACCCGACGGCTTTCCAGTACCGAATGACGAGCTTTCCGCGAACCCGGTATCACGGAAGCCGTTCCTACCTGAGCCAAGCGCGATCAGGCCATTCGGCTGACTGACAAGAAAATTGGGTATCCGTACTTGAAGCGTGTGGGCTGTCACAGTCGTTCTCTGCCCCGAGTTATCTTGCTGCGTTCCCGCGTATCATGTGGCTTCACCGGGTGTTTCTCATCAGCAGCGGCGAGCTTGATCAGTTCCGTGGCTCAGCATCTGCGACAAGACGTAGGGTTTGGGTTTGACGACATAACTGACAGGCTCCTGGCATGTGGACTTGCCCAATGGAAAAGGGTCGGCAACGGCGGGGCAGCGCACCCAAGGATGCTGGATGGCGGGAACGGGGAGGGCACACAGTGCCCTCCCGTCCTCCTCTCACTTCCAGGTTGGAGGCTTAGATGTCCTGCAAGTCGTATACTGCTACATCTCACAAATGATGACACGATGAAATTGCGAACAGTACCATGATCCGGCTTGGTAGCCAGCATCACCCCTCCTCAGCTTGACTAGCGGCCGAGTCTCACTCTCGCACGGAACCGAAGACACATGCGTGTCATACCTGATACAAGGATGGCCAGGAACCCTTTTTCGAAGCCAAGTTTTTCTTTAATTTCTGTCTTTGGGATTTTGCTGGTGTGGTCATGTGTGGTGGTGGTGTGGACCATTGGCAAAACGTCCTTTGTGGGCTTGGGTCACAACATTGACACAAACTGTCAGCAACAACGTCTGGTCCTTGCCGTGTTGCCAGCATAGCCCTCCTGATCGGTTGAAGTTGCCCAGTCGTGTAGCCTTTCTTCTTCCTCCATTCAAGTTTCGGAGCATCAACTCAGCCCACGGAACCAACCACGCCCCTTTGTTTCTGTCTTCGACTCGGTTGGCCCCCTCCGCCCGAGTCGGCGGAGCCTCACCGTGCCGGAGAGAAACGAGCTTCATGACACCCCTCTCCCTGCTGTCTCGCGCACACACACATCTACATACACAGCCAAACCGAAGACCATCAGTTTTGAAATTCTTGACTCACGGGACCCTTGGTCGGGTGAAGAAAATCAAGTTCGCAGCTTGAATCAACTTGGGACCCTAGGCTTCTGCGTATTCTAGGATGGCTTCGCTTCCAATCCAGACCCGAACCCTGATGCGCAGTTTCTGAATCCCGAACAGGAACTTAGTGAGACTCCCTCATTGACAGTAAACTCTCTTGTGTATGGTACCGCAGTGTTGTTTGGATCCCTGGGTCTTGATCGACCACCCCCTCCCGGTGATCCTCTGCTTAGGTTTTGTGACTACGCTGGTATGAAGTGAATTTCGCCGCGGGGTAATAGTCATCTCTTTGGTGATGGCCTCGCGGATTTGGGCTCTCGGTTAATAGCGAATAGACCGCAAGAAACTTGAAAATACTTACATTTACCGTAATCCGTATAAGTGGAGCTTAGTTCTCCGGTATTTCCATTTGCGAGCCTCGGATTAACAGCTTGTCAGTCAGAATGGAACCATTACACAGGCTGGTGCTGAGTGTGCAAGGACGCTTGTGGCTTCGTGTGCAGTTTCTTGTCGACGCAATGGTGCCAGACGTGTTTGGTCAAGTGGCAGACAATTGGGTCTCAGTGACAGATAGACAAGCTTGTGCAGGCAGGCCTCACAAAGGAATCACCGCGAAGTCGGCTGGGAATAAATAGCACAGAGTAAGTAGATGATAGACTAACTCAACACACACAACATACTAGCCAGCAAGATTGTTGCCAAACAAAATGCATGGGAGAATGAAAAGAATGATTTGGAGCAAAAAGGGCAAAAAAGATAACCCGAAGAATGGCTATGCCAATCGCGGTGAGGATTTGAGCCTCACGCGGGGGTCGAACCCGCAACCTTGAGATTAAGAGTCTCACGCTCTACCGATTGAGCTAGCAAGGCGGGTTATTATTGGTTGTCTCGCCGACTAGCGTCTTGAGTATGTTACTGGAACTGCAGGCGGTGGATATGGTATATTTGCCCCACAATTCAAAAGAGAGTATGTAATAGTTTGTTCGAACAACTAACACACACTGGGCTCGGCGGAGGCAACAAGACACGACTCCTCAATATTCAAGAATATCTCACTTCGATCATGCGCTTGAGGTAAAATGGTATGGACTTTTGAGCCCAAGATTTCTTGTGTCCATCACGATCGCATATGAGGGCGTAAGTGCGCTTGCACGGTTGACATTTTGAATCTCACAAAGGCTTGTGCGTACCCAAAAAAGATTCTAACGACATTGACGTTCGATACATCACACGGTTATTCTCTGAAACTTAGCTTCCGACCAAGTCCTGCGGGATGTTGCAACGTAGCTTAAAAATGGCCTTGGCTTGTTTTAAGGCTCTTTACAATGCATCGCGATTTTGATTGTCGCGACTCTTCTCGATCCCACCGTAGACGAGGCCGTTATCCCTCTCAGGCCCTACAGCTAGCTCGAGTGGTCCCATGACCCAACAATCCGAGATCAGAATACGTCCTATGACGTTGATAGAATATGCCGGGCCATGATACGCTGTAACGGTCACAGATCACCATACATAATAGCTCCGACTTATCAAGCACCAGAGATACCCTCCTTGCAACGACGTACCGACGCATATCACACGCCTGTGCTATGGTCCTTAATCGCACGACAAATTGTTGGATAGGACCGTAAGACATTCAACTTCGTACGCACTGTCACCTGTTCCAGACGCGAGCAGCAACTAAGCGCCAAGTATCTGAGACTAACGGCATGTTGATTAAGCGAACTCCGATGATGAGTTTTAGAGACCGTCTGTCTGGTGGCAAGCTTAATCGCTCCTAACTACTAGGCACTCCCGCAGGGGAAGCAGATTTATGTTGACGTTATACAGACTTAGTTGTCTCTATCATGATAATGAGGCTGTCATGTTTCCCATTTGGTCATTTCTTCTTGTACAAACCTTTGTCGATTAAGGCGGCAACTCCCGAACGGACAACAACCCCAGCAAACGGATTCAAAGCCTTTGCGAACCCCTCAACAGCATCTGCTTGATGTTCTCTTATAAGCTTGAACATGAAACAGAGGCGCTGCAACTGTAAGAAACATTCAACACCTTAAAAGTCCTCTCCCCCGTGGATATCGTGGGGAGCACCGCGTGCTTCCTGTTGGCAGTCACACCAGGACGGTGTGTTCGACCGAATCCGTTTCCGCAGACGAGATAAATGGACGATTGAGCGACCTGGAGGCACTCTTGCGCGACGCCGAGGCCGGGTATCGTGATTGCTTGAAGAGCTTGTCATCCTGGACAGCCCTTTTTCTGAGAGGCGTGAAGAGGCTCTTGGAATACAGAATACTGCTTTCCCAGTATTGTTTTCTGTCAGTGGAGTTTTCAACCCAGAGTTTACTTGCTGAGATTCTGAAGATAATAGAATATAATATTTATGACAAGATCCTGCTTAGAAACACAAGACACACAAGTACTGGCTACCTGTCGAGCACGAGGCTCAGCCTAGAGCACGAATGCCGTTTCAGAAGGCTTCTTGGAGCAACTGCTTGACATATCACGTCCATGACAGTGAATGAACGTAGGAGACTTGGGAGTAGAATAGATATTTGTTAAAGTAAAATGCAGGCCATGTGTCTATACAGCTCGGTGCTACCCATCCTGTGTGTGTACAGCTTCGTTGACGAATCCAGTCTACAGACAATCTATAGCCACCCAGTAGGACCTCCACATGTGTACAACAAATTCATATACCCGAATATCTGGCTGCGTCCGAACCGTGACAGGAATTGATGGTCGCACAAGTACAACCCCATACCCCGATTACTCCTGACCTCCTACGCCTGTAAGCCCACCGGCGAGACCCTGCATCCTCCTGCCGAGCAAGTCGTCCGTACTCTTGAGCTTCACCAGACTCGCACCGGTGCTCTTGCTCGCGCCCCTGGCCCGCCCGTTCTTCTTCTTCCCGCTGCCCTCGCCCTTGTCAACGATTGACTCGCTTTCGTCCATCGCCTGTGGCTCCTTGGTCAACGTGTTCTTCCGGTTGGCCCGCGTCATGCTGATCTCCAAAGGACGATCCTCATCGCCGCTCGACTCGACACGGATGTGATGGCGTCCGTCGGAGTTGCCATTTGTGATGGGCCCGCCAGCTCTTCGGCGCCCACGGCTCTCGCGCTCCCGAACGGCGTCTGCGGAGGCAAAGATCTCTGTGATCCACTCCGCAGACCTCTCAAAGTGCTTCCACGCCGGCGGGTAGACCGTGGGGAACTGCAAGAATCCATGGGAGATACCAGGGATCAGCATCACCTCAGCGACATCCTTGGGGTTGAAGACGGGTTCCATCCCATCGCCAAAGTCGGAGCGCTCAGAGCGGGCTTGGTCGAACATGGACTCCTTCACCTTGCGCAGGCGTGCGGAAAAGATGACAGTGTCGTCGACGAGAGGGTCTCGCTCGCCTGTGAGGAAGTAGACCTTGGGGAAGCGGGCGAGGAGGGAATCTGGGGTCAGGACGGGGGAGAGGAGGTAGTCTTTGCTGAAGTCGGGGCGGTTGTGAGGGCCGATGTAGAGGATGATCATAGCGCGCATCATCTCAGGGGTAAGGACACGATCATTGAAGTATGAGATCATGGAGGACATGGCGAGGCGGGTTCGCAAAGGCTCGGAATGATGAGAAGTACTCTGCTTCCGTTTGACGTCTGCAGTCGAGAACTGCATGTCGGAAGGACCCTGCGGACCGCCATGTGAGTACTCGGGGTGAGGACTAGCGAGCGCCTGCTGCGATGCGATTTCGACCTCCTTGGTGGTCAACTCTGTGGATTGCTTGTTGGAACTGTCTTCCTCATCGTCGGTGTGGTGCGGTGTGCCGACCAGATCATTGTACTGCATGCTCTTTCTCCTGATGATGGGCTGGTTGGTGCTCCTCAACCTTCTATCCTTCATCAGCGACATCTGCTCGTCCGACATCCAGTTTCCAATGTTCATGTCGAGCGCCGGATAAAAAAGAACCAGGCCGTCAGGCAGCGGCAAGTCTCCGGTGCTCGAATATCGGCGCATAGGAACCGACGTTCGCTCGACGATCATCAGGGTTGTTGCGGTCGCCAAGTTGCCACCAGCACTATCGCCCGTCAAAACAACCTTGGGTGTCTCTCTCCCAGACATGCCGATGCATCTTCCCTTGCTGCGGATGAGGGTAGTGTACACGTCGAAACACTCGTTCAGAGCATAGGGATAAGGAAACTCGGGAGCCTTCTTGTAGTCCAAACTTAGGACGGGCATTCCGGTCTTGGACGCCCATGCAAACAACTTGTCGTCGTTGCACCGAGGATCCATAGCAACGAACCCACCACCAGGAATGTCCAGTACGATTCTGTTGTGACGCGCGAGATCCGTCAAGGGACCATCGAAGTAGAGCCAAGCCGACACGGGTTCCTTATAGTCACTTCCTGCAGGTCGCGGGATACGGATCGCGCGCGGCGGCCAGCGGGAGAAGCGGGGTCGCATAAGGCCCTGGAAGAAGCGCAAGTAGGGCGTCGTTCCCTTGTCCCAGGACACTCGCAGATGTTCGACAGTCAACATACCGCGCACCTTGCGCACCTTCTCATCGGCCTTCTCGGCGGCGAACATGTAGAAGACGGAGAAGACGATGCTGGCGAGGTCACGAAGCCATTTTGCGCGAATCTTCATGGCCGTCCAGAAGCCGGCGTCCAATGCAGTCAAGATCCATGTGGCCCGGAAGTAGGTGGCATCGTACATGTTGGCCATGGGCTCGGGGCTGGCGAGGCCGACGAGAGTGCTGAAGTGTCGGGCCGCGTAGAGATAAATCATGGTGATGACGACCGTCTGCCATGCTGTGAGGCGCTTCGTCGTGAGCTTGGAGAGGAAGCGGATTACGGGCGGGCCGTGGGGATGGCCTCTGCAGGAAACCCATGTCAACAAACTGTCGCGAAGAGGATAACACACCGTTTCGGACGTCGACGTACCTGAAAATGTATGCCGACCAGAAAGCCAGCACCGCCAGCACTTGGAGGCGGCGCGACTTGACCGACGGCCTTCCCAGGACGTGGTCGATCATGGCGACTGATGGAAGCTATGCTATGCGTCGACAGCAGCGAGAGCGGATCGTCGCAGAAGAGGAGAGTCGTTTGTTTGTAGATTCCGTCGCAAGACCATGGACCTGGACACCGAGGGCAGCCGAGGGGGGGCAAGGCAAGGCTGGCCAAGCAACAGCGCAAACCACGAGGCCGTGGCTGGGACGGAGCTGGCGTTGTAGTGGTCGACGGGACGGCGCAGCGCGAGTAATGCAATGGCTCAAGGCTAGAATCCCATAGCAAGGTGGCCGGGCTCGGGGAAGCGCTTGGCGAGGAAGAGCGGCGAGAAGCGGCTCGAGGTCACGGACCGTCACTCCGGTGCTCGGGTGATTCGAAATAGAAGCCGGAGGTGCTCCGACTGTTTGGAATCGTGCGAGTGGAAGGGAGGAAAAGAAGCTAGGAGCTAGTGGTCGGAACGGGGGATGCTGCCAGGGATGAATGAATGAATGAATGACGATGTTTCGGGACGGATTTGGCGGGATGGGAAGAGCTTTCAAAGAAGAGGACGGTATTAGGAGGAGAAGCGACCACGACGATGGAGGAGGAGGCTCCTCATGAAAGAGGGTCCCGAACCAGGGTACCGGCGGCACATGTTTCAATGTGAAAGCGTCGATTGCCTGGTGGCTCGGTTCAATTGCTGGCCTCTGGGGGTGAGATGGTGACGTTTGTTTGGGTGTCTTGGGGGCGCAGCTGACATGTGAAGAGGGCCCAGCGCCTCTCGGGTTCCCAGGTTCGAGTCGAACTCTCTCTCGCTCTGTCTTCGGGGGGGCGGGGGGGAAAGAGGAAAAGCGTGACCCGCACGGGGTAGAGGGGCACGGGGGCACGGGGGCACGGGGGCACTGCGGTCTCTGGCGCTAGTCCCGATTGGGTCGCACCCCGGATCCGACGCCGAGGATGGCCAATCACGTCGTGCCGGCTGTCGCTTCTAGCGCTCTCACGTCGCCCATCTCACCGCGGCCAGCTCCTGTTTCCCCGCTGTCGAACTCCACTGAAGGTTTGCTGCTGCAGGGCCCTCGATCGTTATGCTGGTAGGTATGGACCCCGGCGTTGGATCCGTTTCTCCAGGAACACTGGACACGCTCCTTGACACGCGCATGACGAGTCACGAGCGGTCGGCATCCCAAGGCCATACGGCTTTGTACGGGGGTTTGACCACGCCGGGCCCCGAGACATGGTTTTGGTCAACAGGAACACAAAAGTAGCCGAGTGAGGTGGACGGTTCGGCCACGGCTTCGCTGCGATATTGGCTTGACCCTTGAAGTCTAATAACCCCACAACGACTTGTTCCTCACGACATTGCGGCGAACACCAATTCATACCCTCGCACCTTCTCGCAATATCCTCAGCTCGTCTCGGCTTAGTCACAGTCTGTTTAAACCCCAATGTTTCTCCTGTTTTCTTCCATGCAGTCGGTTTTTTATTCTTCGTTTTATTTTGGTGGTCGTGGCCGGGCTACATTCCGCCGCTTACTTGTTAAATCGGTTTCTTTCTCAGTTTGCGTCATCTGGAAATCTCGATGCGAGCTTTGGGCGTATATTCGATGATGGATTCCCACTTGCGGTGTGTTAAAAGGGAGTCAGGACACGATCGGCCTTAAGGTAAAATTGTTTCAACGCGGGCTACAACGGAGCAACAGGCTAAGAAGGGTGGGCCAAATGTCTGGAGCCTGAACCAGTCTTGAGTGAACCTATACAGAAGTAGACACCTGGCAGCTAGCTATGTACAGCTCGGGGCATATTGCCTTGGTAGGGATGTAAGAGAGCTTTTCATTGATGTCATGGTAGACGAGAGGCTGCGCAGCACGATGCCCTCCCGGCCCATTTTCTCATAGAAACAGCACACGGCGCCGAACAGCTGCGCGTTGGTTGCCTCTCGTTCTGGCGACGGCGGTTCCTCTAGTCTTCCATCCGCCGGTCCTCCCCGGGCAAGCTTTGGTCGCCGTCATCCGAGGTGTGTTCGTCGTTGGTCGACGTCGGCTCCGGAAGGCTAGAGTCGGCCTCGCAGTAGTCCTAGCCTTTGTGCCCGTTGTGGATGTCAGCAACGTCCCCGTGATTCTCCTGCGCGTCGCCGCATATAAGGCAGCCAGTTCGGTCATCCCAGTACCACATGACGATGCTAACGATGTTGAAATAGGAACGAAAATGTAATATGTTAAGGTGAGAACTAGGTTTGCAGTGGACAGCACTTTCCATTGGAATGCTAGATAACAAGTGATTGACTCCGACCACGCCGACCAACGCTTCATAACCCGTTGTCGCCTCGTCGACAACCAACAGCAAGCTTCCTGAGGGTATCATTCATACCCTGCACGCGCCGAACCTCACCCCATTGGTTACCATTGCTCTTCTAAAGCGAACATACACTGTCGTAAAATTTAAAAGACAAGCACCGATTGTCATTAGCATTTGCCCGGACGACAGGAATGGCGTAGCTGAAGATGTTGCAGAAGTATTGGCCGTAGTCAACACCAAGTTGGTAGGATTGGCAATTCGGGTTTGCGTGACAGTGATCCGAGCACTGCTTGTCGCTCGTAATATCGATCTCATCAATCAAGCCGTAGCCAAAATGGCAGTCGCGTGTGCCCTGGCAGGCGGCTTGGTAGATGTTGATGCGCCCAGCGCCGCCGCAAGTGTCGAAGCGGTTGCCGGCGCAGGACATATCGCAGCCGCTGGAGGCGGGGCTGTTGCCATTATCGATGGTATTCCCACAGAAACACTCTGAGCCATACTCAAGACCGGCGAATTGCTGTGGTGGATGGATTAGCTCCTGTCAGACGAACAAAGGCAATGGGGACGCCGGTGTGTCCAGGAACAAAGACGGAGGCTGAGAGAGAGGGATCACTAACATATCCAAGGCCGGCGCATTGAGAGACACACTGGGCAGCGCTGAACTTGTCAAAGCTGGGGATCTTGTAAGAGAGACTGCGGCTTGAAGGGCTGTCGGTATAACAGCCCAAAGCAACCCAGTTGTCGGGAATGACACTGGGGCCACCCGTCTGAGGCTTGGAGCTCTTGTAGATATTGATGGCAGCCCGACCACCACAGTATTGGGTCTTATCGGCGGTACAGGCCATGTTGCAGGATTTGGCCGCGATAGGGGCGCCGCCGTTCTGGATGCTAGAGCCGCAGAAGCACTCCTTGCCGAATTCGAGGCCAGCATACTGGAATCCTTGGTTGGCACAAGCCGTCGTGCAGTCGCTGACTCTCACGTTACCGGGGAGGCTTATGCTGGTAGTCAGGGTGCGGGCTGAGGCATGGTCGGAATAGCATCCAAGCGAAGTGAAGTCTCCAGAAGCAGCCAGGATAGCAGGCGCCGCATCGCCGTTGGTGAAGACGTTGATGCGCCCACCGTTACCGCAGACTTCGTCACTGTTGCCGGCACACGGCTTGCTGCAATCGGTCTCAGGCGATTTGTCGGCAGAGGTATCGAGCAAGTAGCCACAGTAACATTCTCTGCCCCATTCGACACCAGCCATACCTACAGACGATGAGGGCAAGCTCGATGTGATTTGAGGTGTCGGAGTACTTACTATATCCCTTTCCGTCGCAGTATGCGATACACTTCTCCTGCGACATGTCGTCTCCATGGTAGCTGTCGCCGTCTAGGACTCTGCCCGATGTGGTATCGGTGAAACTGCAAACATCGTCAGCTGGCATCATTGACGACAACGCGCTCTTGGCGGCCATTATTGGACTTACCATCCCATATAGGTCCATGGTGAAGCTAGAGTATCGCAAATACCGTTCGTAGAGCGCTTCTGTACGTCGCGTTGGACAGAAGTGCCACGACCAACCAGCTCGACAGACCGCTTGGTAGTTGCATTGGTGGCTGCATTCTCGGGTGCAATGGGGTTGATCGCACCAGGCCGGGAAGACGCTGCAGAGGCAATAGTGACGAGCGTGAAGCTCACGAGAGACAGAGCCGAGTAGGCGTGCATGGTTGTAGAATTGTGGGTGGTTTGACTTCGTGAATGAGTATGAAATGATGATGAGAAGGATGATGAGCAAATGCACATCGAGGCTGGAGATGAGGAGTATTAATACTGATTTTGCTTTCCTCGTGAAAAACATTTAGACACAAGAACTGCCCTCGAGCCACTTGGCGCTATTCCGTAGCGTTCCGTGATATCTTTCAGCTCACTCAAGTCCTCAGAAGCTATAAGCAACAGGGCATCAACATCACGTCTAGAGCTCGCCAAGCTGAAAACCTCGTGGTCTGACAGTGGCACGAGCCGCTGCGGGATGCATGAGAAGTCACTTTGTCAACAAAGACTAGTGCAAGTTAGCGGATGTTTTGCTCGCTTAAAAAATGGTCGTGGAGCTTGGGAATAGTGCCAGTTACGTCTAGCATTGTTGGCAAGGTATAAACCTCAACGGCGTTTCTTTGGACGGGCCTTTCACAGGAAATCGCCCCGGGCTTGACCGCCTGAAACCCACGTTATATGACACCAGTACTAGAAGAGGAATGGCCCCCGTTCGTTAGGCCTCAGCTTTCAGCCGACGAACCAACCTCTCGGAGAAAGGGTCCGCCCTCTTGGTAACGGAGTAATCCTTCTTCTTCTTAGAGGTAGTTCTGTGCTTTGTTATTGGATTTGACCCACACGTGCATCGCCTGATTTGACTAACTCTAGGGACCGTTGTCACCTCGACTCGAGGCTACGTAGACCTGGCCTTTCAGCCACCAATTTCCCCAGGTTTTGTGGCTGCAATAGTCGCAAAAACCGCTCGAATGCCCCACTTCGTGATCTAAACGGACGGATATCACAAAAGCTTGGTTATCAGCCTCACCAGCTCGGAACGCTCATAGCGTACCTGGGATTTATGGTAAATTCCGAGAAGATAGCTCCACGAATAAAGTAAACAAACTAGCTGGATTCTGGCTCTGTATCCCTCGTCCTCTGTAAACGACGCTTCTCGTATTGGAACATCAATTTGTATTGAAGTCTTGAGATGCTTATTTCATTGCGTTTTTGCTGAAAGGAACTGCAAACCATGCTGACTCGGTGGCTCTTTGACTGCTTCCATGGGTCTGGGCGGTTGGAAGCCCGGTCCTATACATAATGCCAAGAGAAACTTCCTCGAGGTGTATGGATGTCATAGAATCAACACTCTACTCAAAGAAGCATATAATGGGGAATTAGGCCTCAAGAGACCAATATGTGTTTCACGCAGCGCAGCCACCAGTTGATGTGCCTTGGCTACTTATCGTACAAGATAGTCTGCAAATGTGATCGGTTCAACGTTTAATCAGCAATGTTACTTCGGTACTGACATGGGGTTCCACATCCGCTTACCTACCCAGCAATGCTCCCAGGCCCTCAGTAATCACTGGATACTCAAGGCTTACGAAGTTTCTTCGATTACTTGGATGAAGCCGACGCACTTAAAACGTAGTATCCGCCACGATAAAGCGACTCAGAAGAACATTGGCCCGTGCCACGATCAAGATCTGGCTGTCATCTAGTTTCCCAACGCCGAGATATAGACAAGTCTTGATCCAGAGACCACACCCAACTCATGAGCGACACTAGACATGGAATCCTATCAGTAAGAGCCGTTGGACCTTGAGTACAAGTCATTCAGACTTCTGATTCTCCATCCAGGGGCTAGCGGGGAGGTATCATGTGACATCTTCCAAGCAAGTCTTGAGCCAGGAAATATCGTTCCCTATGAGGCATTATCATACGCCTGGGGAAGCAACGATTTGTCAGAGTCGATCACGGCCAATCGAAAGAAACTATCTGTCACCAAGAGCCTTTTCCATGCCTTGAATTATCTGCGTCATGATGAAGGCAGAATATTGTGGGTCGATGCGGTTTGCATTGATCAAGGTAACATTGCGGAGCGAGGACACCAAGTGAAGATGCCTGCATATCTTGCTGCGACAATTTCGAGAAAGCCGAGCAACCGACCCCCGAGACATGGTCTATGCCATGCTTGGAATCGCCTCGGACGTGGCGCAATGCGATCCTGAGGGGCTACTGTTACCGGATTATTTCAAGAGTGAGACCCAGCTCGTCCGAGACCTGCAAAACTTTCTCTTTTTTGGCGACTTTGAACACCAGATGGGTCATTTCAACGACATGAAGACATTCCTTGCAGCGCTGCCTGAATTGACGGATATGGCGTTCAGTAAAGCCATTGCTGACGGCCGGATGGACGATGTAAAAACACTTGTTGAAAAAGACCAACAGTTTGAGATACCATCCGACCTACTTGTGGGTCTTGGTGATGAGAAGATGCGTTCGGTGGTTCGGGACCTGTCTCAGCTAAAAAGCTCCAACCTCACTTTGAGTGAAAGCTTTCGTGACTCAGCCTTCAAACGGTGTGGACTGGAGACGGTCAAACATTTGTTGGACCTTGGTGGAGGAAACCTACAAATCACAGAGACACTTGCTACCACCTTTAGAAATCCAGCTGGAAATCGTATAGCCAGAAAATTGTGGGGAAGTTTATTCGGCAAAGAGAGTGCCATACCAGTCACACAGGGAGGACTTGCCGAAATGGCAGCGTTCTGTGATGCGGAGATGATGAGGATGGTCATTGAGCGTCAGAAAGAGGTGTACTTCATCACATCGAGAGTATCTCTCATGACATTGTTGAACGAGAAACACGGAAAGGACATTATTACGATGTTACTTATGTGGAAAGACGATTGGGTTCAGGTTAGTGAGGATGGCTTGCTAAAGATACTCGAGTACAACGACGCAGACATTGTGGGGTTGCTTCGTTGGCGCGGTCTGCGTCGTGTCACAGTAACTGGTGTTGGCACGAATCACTCAGATTTAGGGGCCAGCTAGGTTTTGACGGTGAGTTTTGACGAGAACACCTCCATCTTTCGAAGAGTGGCGGAAGAGGTTCGTCAAAGACTGCGTGAGTCTCGGGAGGGTTTCATCGAAGCTGAAATGGTATACATCGACAGGCCAAACATCATAGTAGGATCCTAACAGCTAGTGTACAAATCATCAACAGAGTAAGCATTCTTTTTGTTTATTCCCAAGTGCTAGCGTTTCAGGGCAAGAGAGGTTTCAACATAGCCTTGTTTTCACCCTGGTGATAGGTGATTAGTGATATTGGTAGATAACTTGGAGGATATGGAGTGGCCCTTGGGTAAGCGTGTTCTGTTTCATTCTATGCACAAAGCATAGTAGTCAGCACGAGTTCGCAGCTTGGTACACCATAGTACTATGAAGTTGGAACCTCGATTTGAAGTTTGAGTTGCTATTTGCCAACAAACATGCTACTTTGGAAAGCCAATAGTTATAGCTGTGTGCCTCATTTTGGAGAAACTGATGGTTGTTTAAGCAACTCGCCTGGTAGAGGAGAGCACCTAAATTCACGATACTGGATAAGTAGTGACTTTGGCTGAGTAGAGGTGTTTGTTGTAAGCGCGCAAGGTGTTTTGAGACTCGGCAAGTTCGTCCGAGCACGGCCGAGATCGGAGCGGAATCGCCGAGCCAAATTTACGCACGGCCGGGGAGAGTGGGCCTGCCCCTCCATGAACCGGAGAGCGGCGCGGCTTATCGATAGCGAGATTGTCGAGTCACCTCCGTCGATCCATGCGTGAACGGCCCAAATTTTAACCAGGAACTTTTCTCTCCAACACCACCATTATTTACCGCGGAGCTTTGTTTGTTCTTTCAAGATACCATAATGGCGTTCCGTGCTCCTCTACGACTGCAATTGGCAAATTGCAAGCCATGCCTGGCCGTTACCTCACGCATCAACACCCGTGCGCTCTCCTCTGCGACAGCCGCTGCCTCGAGCCTCCCGGAGGACGTGAAGAGCAACATCACAGTCAGTGTCCCCAAGATCCCACAGCTTGAGTCACCGTGGTGCTAACACATTTGTATTACAGACTCAGGCCTCTGTGCCAAACCCGGACCCGACCGAAGACTCGGCGAGCGCTGCCCTCGTCCGCGAACATGCGCCGTACATGGTTGCCACCTACGCCCGCCCGCCGCCGGTATTCGTAAAGGGCCAGGGATCTGTGCTCTGGGACGTTGAGAACAGGCAATACCTCGATTTCACCGCTGGCATCGCTGTAAATGCTTTGGGACACTGCGACCCCGAGCTGACCAAGCTCATGACCGAGCAGGTGGGTAACGCCGAGGTGCCGCGAGCCATTTTCACCGTACTGACAAGACGTCACATCACAGGGAAGCACCCTCATGCACGCCTCGAACCTCTACTACAACCCCTGGACCGGCGCCCTTTCCAAGCTGCTGGTCGAGAAGACCCGCGAGGCGGGCGCCATGCACGATGTCAACTCGGTCTTCGTCTGCAACTCGGGCTCCGAGGCCAACGAGGCCGCCATCAAGTTCGCCAGGAAGGCCGCCAAGGTCAGCCAGCCGTCGGGCGACAAGTACGAGGTTGTTTCGTTCAACAACGCTTTCCATGGCCGGACGATGGGCAGCTTGTCCGCCACCCACAACCCCAAGTACCAGGAGCCCTTTGCGCCGATGCTGCCCGGTTTTAAGCTCGGCGCATTCAACGACGTTGCGGCCATCAACGACGTCGTCACGGACAAGACCTGCGGAGTCATTGTTGAGCCCATCCAGGGCGAGGGTGGTGTCACGCCCGCGACGGATGAGTTTTTGATCGCTCTGGCCAAGCGCTGCCGCGAAGTCGGCGCCGTCCTGATCTACGATGAGATCCAGTGCGGTCTGTCCCGTACCGGTACCTTCTGGGCGCACACCCACCTGCCCAAGGAGGCCCACCCGGATATCATCACCACCGCGAAGGCGCTGGGCAACGGCTTCCCCATCGGTGCCACCATTGTCAACCACAACGTCTCGGAGAAGATCAAGGTGGGCGACCACGGTACCACTTTCGGCGGTAACCCTCTCGCCTGCCGCTTGGCTCACAACATCGTCTCCCGCCTCGCCGACCCCGGCTTGCAGAAGGCCGTTGCCGCCAAGGCCGAAATCTTCAAGACTCGCTTCGACTCCCTGCGCAAGCGTTTCCCCGACTTGATCAAGGAGGTTCGCGGACGTGGTCTTATCCTCGGTCTCCAGCTCACCCAGGACCCCTCACCCATCGTCAAGGCTGCCCGTGAGCGTGGTCTGCTGATCATCACCGCCGGCACCAACACTCTGCGTTTTGTGCCTCCCTTGACTATCACGGAGCAGGAGATCAAGCAGGGTTTGGATATCCTGGAAGAGGCTATCTCTGTCACCCACTCATGAATACCTCTCAAGTGACAAGACTCGACCAATGTAATTAATCGTTTGGCACCGGCGTTTAAAACCCTTACGAAAAGTAGACTTAGATTCCAAGAACGCAAGCAGCGAAGCGTTTCAAATATCCACCGATGGCAGGACCAGTTTAGGCTAGCGATGGTGTCTCTGAACGTAACCATTTCGAAATGGTTTTCACTGAATATCAAGTAACATGTGTCATTAAGTGAACTGTTCAAACTGTGCATGTCCATCAGTCTGGCATGTGTTTGTATTGGCTGCAAACCAAATATCACAAGAAGACGGAAAATGTGGAGGCAGCACACATGGTTTGCACCTGCGTCCGCTCTCTCAACTTGTCCCTGCGTAGATATTCGTCTAACTGCCTCCAGCTCCGAGACTCAGTTGTGAATTGTCCTTTTATCAAACCAACCCGTTCACTTAAACTCTTACAGCTTCTATTTCTTGTCTCCTTAAACCAAACCACGCCTGGCCTTGAATCAGGACCTGTTCACAAGTGCAAAAGACAGCAAATCCCAAACGATTAACTCAACTCGAACCACGTAACAGAAAACAGAGCTGCAATTCACTCCAGTACGGCAATGGCGATGATGCTTCAGGGACATTTAAGCAGCCATCCGACCCTAGGAACAGAGTTCGTGTTGACAACGTCTCAAGATCCAGTACAATAATCTCGAAACGGAGCAAGACAAGCGCACTTTCAGCGAGCTTCTCGGATAATCTATAGACCCACATCTCAGTCGTGCACTCGTCTTCGCCAACAGCAATCAAGTCCACGAACGTTGTACTAAGGTTGCGATACCGATCATTCTATTGGACGGTCCAGGACAGGTACTAAGGGCGTAAAACAAGATAACCCAGTCCTGCAAATCCCTTGAACCAAAAGTTTGTATCATGATCGCCATAGTGGACCGCCGAGGTCTTGTGTAAGAGGATTTCTTCTGACTGCACCCAGAAGCGGAGGGTCTTGATCTTTGAAGTTGACGAAGATTCAGTCTGCAAGACTACGGCTCCAGAAATATGAACTGATATTCGAGCATGTAGTATGCATCGATAGGAACATGTGATGGATTAGCCATTTTTAAGTGACCTGGAGATTTTCGAAATCTTCCCATTATTTTGTGTACGGCTGTCCCAAAAAACGGGATGACGGTATTCCGAGATGTTTCTCCCTCGGCAGGACCGATGACGTGACCGCCAAATTTGGAAAGTGGATATTGGCTAAACCACTCTAGCGTGCTGCGGGACTGTTTTCCCCGGACAGTCCATCTCCGGCACATCCCCCACATTCACGATGGCTCTTCCCTGCCCTTGACCAGTATCACAAGCCAGAGAATAAAGATGGAGAAATACTTTTAAAAAAATCGATGGAGACGAAATAAAAAGTCAGCTAGTTTGAAATTAAAGAGTACGTTCCAGAAAAGGCAGGATCCGGTCCGATGGGTTATGTTTGATTTTCAACAATGAAGGCACCCTCGCGACCTTTCCTCAACCGCCCAGTCGCCTGTCCCTATATTGCTAAGACCTAGAATTCCAACTAGTTACAAAAGATTTTGTTCAGAATTTGGAACAAAAAAAATGTTCTAGTTTAGTTTCGTCCGTCGAGCATCAACTCATTCCACTCGATTTCCTAGAAACCCCTCCTGCACACCCACTCTCAGCATCATCCACATATCGCTCAGCACCCCTGAAGTACCGTGGCTGAACCCTCTCTGAGGTCAACCCAGCACTACCCGATTCCATCGGCATTCAGTGTAGAGAATTAATCCCCCCCTCCCGTTGGTTCATTGTGAGAACCCCGTCTCCAGTACTTTGGATTCCGGCAATCATACGCTACTCTGCCTTACACTCGAACTCCTTATCAGCATTATTTGAACGGGGAGATAACGATGGCCTTCAACTAATATCCATTGAGAGCCCAGTAAAACAATCAGACACATGGCATAAACAAAATGATATTACTCAGGTCTTAATCCACTTGCCGAACTCGCCTTGTTGACAGTATGCCAAGCCGACGCACCGGTACCGAGGCAACATCGTGTCCGATTTGGGTCATCCCTCCGAATGTCCATCGATTAAGAAAGTCTGGATCGATTAGAAAATTTCCTCGTCGAGTTTGGACAGAACGAGCCGAAAACTCCAGACGAGTCTTGGCGGACGGCCAGACGGAAGGCTCTCAAAATCCGACGGCTGAGGATTTCTTCCTCAAGCCCAACGACGAAACGCACGTCAGCAGTCAACCTCGCCCTCGGGTGTGAGGATTGCTCCGATCTTTCAGAAGACAAGAACTTTGCCTGGTCGAGACGACAAGAAAGGGAAGAACAACATCAGACCAGAACAAAGCGCTGTCAGAAACCTGCCACGTCTCCCCTTGACCAAGAACCAACGGATATTTCTACTTCAGTCCACCAGCGCGAATCTCCCATCCTATCTTATGCCTCCCCGAGCCCGCCAAAACAAGATACGCCAGTCCGTACGTTGACAGGGGGGGAAAAGCTTCGGAATCAACTCGGTGCCCCTACCTTCCGCCGTTGCGCACAAACCGCCCGGTGTTTCGGGTCGTTCCCATGCAACAGATCAGACCAGCCTCATCCATGAAACGCTCCCAGCCAATCGCAACCATTTCAATCTGACAACCTGGGTCCGATGTCTGTTTCTCTCTGTCCTACTGATGGGGAGCTCCATCGGCCTGCTGCCCCCCAAAGACGTAGTAGTCATCGTTGACAAGCTTCAAATGGTCCCGGTTCTTGGCACAGCTAAGCTTGCGGCTAGCCTTCGAGTCCGTCGCTGATCAGTCAGTCAACTTCAGTCCCAGAAGACATCATCCCTAACCCCGTCTAGTGTTGGTGGCATCAGGCTGACCCCCCACGTGCAGTTCCCTGTATCTATGATCCGCCCCCTTTCCTCATCGGGATGAGGTTGCGGTACCTGAAGCCGTTGTGCTGCAGGATTAGAAAACAATCCGTACGCGAGGAATGAAGCTTATTTTTCGTTGTCTCGTGGGCCGTTCCTGGGGTCGAGGTCGAGACCCCGAGCCCGCTATAAGAATGCAACCGTCACCTCTCTCCCCATCCAATGTCATGACGAAGAGCTTTAAAGTTGTTGACCCGACTTCCACTTGCAATCATAGCTGTCAGCGAATCCTTAGTAATAGTCCCCGTACGGCACATAAAATAATCGTCATCATATCGACAAGATGCACCGCTCAACAGCAGCCTTTCTCCTCGCCCTGCTGGGCACAGTGTCCGCCTCCCCCGTCGCGATCCAGCCTCGTCAGGCCGACTTCTCGGGGAACCAGCAGGACGGTCTTAATGGCGAGTGCAAGTCCATGATCGTCATCTTCGCCCGCGGCACCACGGAGGGCGGCAACGTCGGCACCCTCGCCGGCCCGCCCTTCTTCCAGGCCCTTGCGACCCAGGTCGGCGGCAACCTTGCTGTCCAGGGAGTCGAGTATCCGGCCGACATCCCAGGATTCCTGGCTGGAGGCGACGCCAACGGCTCGCAGATGATGGCCACGCTCACTCAGCAGGCCATCACCAACTGCCCCAACTCGGCAGTCATCATGTCCGGGTACTCTCAGGGCGGACAGCTGGTACACAATGGTGCTGCAATGATGTCAGCAGACTCGGTGGCCAAGGTTGCCGGCGTCGTCATCTTCGGCGACCCACGTAAGTCTCGCTCCTGCTTCTCCGTGAGTCCTCAAATCTAACAGCTCAACAGTCAACGGCCAGCCCGTCCAGGGCGTTCCCGCCGCCAAGACCAAGGTCATCTGCCATAACGGCGACAACATCTGCGAGGGCGGCAACCAAATTCGCCGGGCTCACTTGACGTACCGCGACAACGCCGACGAGGCCGCTCAGTTCGCCGCATCCTTGATGCCGGCTGCCGCTTAAGCGCCCAGTAGCCTTCTTAGAGTTGACCTCGGAGGCTTTCTCTTGTGTACATATATTCCGTAATTACTTTTGTGTAGATACCTACACGCAAAGTTGCACTGTGTAGCACCTGATGGTACAGATGTAGTAATGTTGGTTGAGCTTGCCCCCGGTCTGGCTGCGCGGGAGGTTTGCGTTCATCGTCATTGGCATAGCTTAGCATTTGCGTAGCCATATCATAAGATCTAGACAAGACGTTTCAGTCTGAAAAAAATCTCAGCTGGTTTTTGGAAAAGGCAGCGCAGGCACCTCGCTTTGCCCTCGACGAAACAAAGCCTTTCTGCGGTGTAAATCCCTTCCTGAAACTCTAAACATCGTAATGAAGCTTCACCTTGCCTGTTCGACACCCACTGTTGACCTCAGATCGACTCATGCAGGCCAAAAGCAAACTTTTGAAAAGAAATCCCATGATTCGCGTTTCGAACCGCATATTCCTGGTCGCTCACCTCCAAAAAGAAAGACGGTCCATAGCCTTGGTCTGCTTGAGCTGCGCTGCTTGGTGGACTAGCTCGTGATTCCGTTGTCATCTCGCGAGCCCATGGCCGGAAGGCTTTCACTTATTCTATAAACATTAGCCACGAGGAACAAGAATTCAAGACAGGGAATTTTGCAAACTTTTGAGAGTTCGACGGAGATGTGCTGGACTCAGTTGGGTCTGAGTGGAAGCGTGCAAGATAATGGGCGTAAACCACCACCTTGTGCTGGCTTGTCGAGGCGTACCCGTCAACAGGGAAAGACCGTCACACATTGGCCCCCTTGACTAAAAGAGTCAGATACTCATCCGAATCTGCAAGTCTCTTCCTCCATCACGAGTTCGGAGCAGACCCGCCAGCCTTCTCCGGCCTCACAATAGCAACACACTCCCACGCTCTCCCCCCAGCCGCCTCCATCCTCTCCTCCCCCCAAACCTCAATTTCTCTCGCAAACCCCTCAAATGCGCCCCGGAAATCACCCCAGTCCATCCTCGGTCCGATATACATCACCGTTTCCGCGCTCCCCTCCCTCGAAAACGCCGCCATGTACTCCCTCACCAACGATACCTGCTTCGGATACACAAACATCCACGCCTTCGCCTCCTTCGCGAGCAGATCGAGCGCCCAGGTGCCCGGGACGGTACGGTGTGATGCGTGGTACCTGTTCGGGCTGGGCGCGATTTCGACACTGACTAGATTGAGCGCGTACGGCGATGCAAGGGAGTGCAGGAGCCCCTCGACGAGGCCGGTGCCGCTGCCTATTGAGAGAGTCAGGTGCGGTGAGGGCGGAAGCTGAGCGTGCAGGTCTCGGAGAAGAGGGAGGGAAAGGCTCAGACAGGAGTCTGGGAGGGTTTGGGGCTCGTTGGTGAGCTGTGGGAGAGGATGAGGGATGAAGGTGAGTGATGGCTCCTCATCTTGCGGAAAATCCTCGTAGGCGCCACAGGTGACATCTTCATCAGTTGTGCCTATTTTGTCTATCATATCGCGCCCATGTGCTGCGCTGATGGCTGTATCGGTGATTTGGTATGCGTGAGAGACTTGTACGGAGGTGAGCCGGAGTGCGAGGTCAGTGAGCGGCGTTTTTCGATGCTGGCACCGGCCCCACATTCATCATTGATCCACCGAACATCCCGGGGCGCACCTTCGGACGTAATTGTCTTGGACGGATCCCTGGGTCTTTCGCGCCATCAACACATGAGAATAGAGGACCGGTATCGTTTCAATAATGTTACAATCACGTTGTATTCCATTGAAGAACAAGCTAATGCGACAAGCTCCAGAGACCAACCCAGTCCAACTCCAAGTCGCGGCTAGACTCGCAGAATGATGCCCTCCAAAGACCATGCACCCAGAACCGTAGTCACTAACCCAGTTTACAACCGTAAATTTACAATCCTCTTCTCTTGCGGTCACTTGCAACCCCCGCTCTAGACGGCGCTGTAACCGCCCCGGCTGCCGCTGCCGTTGACAGTGCTGAGCACGCTGCGGGTCCAGTCCTTGACCAAGTAGGGAATATCGCGGATCGTGTCTCCGTGCGGCAGAAGATCCCAGCCCCTGGCACCGTATCTGTTGTAGTTCAGCCAGGAGCCGAATATGAGGTACGCCGCAATGCCGAGGAAAGCCCTACAGATTTCAAGGGTTAACTGCTGCTGCTGAGCCATACACAATGTGTCGAGCTGACTTACAGAACAATGAACCAGGTGAAAAAGCCCCAGTGGCTGCTCGTGTCACCACTGCCACCTTCGCTGGGCGGCTTGTCGAAAGCATCCTCGCAGGCAAACTTGGTGTGCCAGGTTAACCTCAGGACGTCCATATCGTTCTTCTCGTTCGGGCCGTAGCTATTCCAAATCAGGGCGGTGTTGTTCCCCATAATCTGCGTCTCATCTGGCGAGCGCCCATCCTCTTCGCCATCCTTGCCATCCTTGCCATCCTTGTCCTCCTCGCGTGCTCGGAATTGGTTGCCGTCGTATTGGTCTTCGGGTCTAACCTCGCCTTCAAGGCCCGACTTCTCGCGGTCGCAGATGAATTCGATGATGGCCTTCTGGTTTCTCCCGCTTCTGCCCAGTGGATAAGAGCCACCGTTGAGGATGATTCGGACGCCTTCCTTCTTCGCATCAGAGTTCGAGTCGCTCGACTTGAGCCGCTCGGGCTTGGCGTCCAAGGCCCTTCCGCCATGGTCGCCTAGCTCGCCAGCAATAGGTATCACCTTTTCGACCTCGCCTTTATCGTCCTGGCCCGGGTGGATAGTACGCTCGATGGCACACACTGTTCAAAAATGTTAGCTTTGCCGGAGCTCAAGCAAGCTGGCTCTTGGCACATCACGGAAGCCTTACCTCTCGTGAAGCTAGGACATTGCTCGTCTTTCTTGACATCTCCCTTTCGCTTGAGAGGAGCGCAGATATCGACAGTGTAGGACGTGTTCGTGAAAGTGGGAGGATGCCATCTGCTGGTCACAACGCTGTGCGGCCCTCCTAGTTCACCGAGGTTGAAGGAGACACCGTCCACCAAGATGTGCTTGCAGTCCAACATCGAGACCGCTGGCAGCGGAGACATCAGCAGCGCCAGAAGGAAGGCTGCCTCTGTCCGTTGGAGCCCAGGGAGATGCATCGCGAGAGCGTAAGCCAATTGTCCGGATTGCTTCGACGGAGTTCAGCGAGTCGGCGAAACGGAGTCGCGCGCGCGTGGGACAGCTCTGCTGGAAGATGCAACTCGAGACTAAAGTTCAGCAAGCTACAAGGTTGAATGACTAAAAGGGGGAGTGAAGAAGATGTGCAGCTCAGCACGTAAGAGGGTGGCTCTACAAGCTGGATAGGTAACACAATTTGGCGAGAGGTCACGGCGTGTGGTTCTGTGGCTTGGTGCTTAAAAGGCTGGGTAGGGGTAGTGGAGTCGACAGGATGGATGACCTCGCTGGCTGATGTGATGCGACTGCCAACAGGGACGACGGACCTGACCGTTTGGGTCAGACGGCAATTTAGCTCGTTGCATCATCGTCATGCCGAAGATCTAGCGAATCACGTGCTTCGACTCTGTATTAGGCAATTGGGCCCCCCGGGTACGGCAGCAAGACAGATACTGCTGATGTAAGCATCGCCAGCTTCGGACAAAATAAAACACTCCAACACACTTACTCTGTAAGCGCGGCCAAAATGTGTATTGAATTCCTTATTTGATACATCAAGTGATACATTAAAGTCGCTTCTCCAGACACACCAGGAGGTCCTGGAGTGTATGCACATTTCCATTCTCCACCTTCTCCCACTCCATGAACCGTTAAAAAAGCAATTGCCGTCCATCCCCAACCGCACCTTGAAGGATAAGGTAGATGCGCCTTCGTAGGGGTATATAAGATCATGCAAGATCAAGACCAGCCAATCCATCCGTGGACTTCCCAGACGCCAAAAGTGAAAAAGGACGCTCAAACCGGACCCTCACCATTGCCGGTTCACCATTCCATCTACCCGCCTCATCTCCATTTTCAACATAACCCGAGAGGCGAAAGCATGTACTACGGTGACGATGCATACACCTCATTATCAAGGGTCCGGGATCACCCTACATCCCGTGAGGACCCATCATACCACCCATTCCTTGCATCTGCTGCTGCTGCTGCTGTTGCTGAAGCTGCTGTTGCTGCATCACCTGATGGGCTCTCCTCTGCGCAAGAACGCTCTGGATCTGGTTCTTAGCCTCCATCATGCAGTTCCTCTTGAACGCCTCCATCTGCTCAGGCGGAATGTTCTCGACTGCGCCGCCCCACTTGGCCGCGAGGTTGGCGATCTGCTTGTTATAAATTGCTTGTCCCTGGATTTTGACCTGATTGGTGAGGGCATTGTTGTTGTTCATCGCCTGTTGCTGCTGCATCTGCATCATGGCCTGCATGTTCATGTTTTGACCGTTCATCATGTTCTGACCACCGCCCATCTGGCGCTGCATTGGGTTGCCCATTTGCGCCTGGAGTTGTGCCTGGAGTTGGGCCTGCATCTGTGGCGTCATTTGACCGCCGTTCATTTGGTTGGCGCCCATCTGGCTAAGTTGCTGAGCGTACCGCTGCGCGAGTTGCTGGTTCATCATGTTGCTCATGTTGCCCATGTTTCCGCGCTGTTGCTGCTGCTGCTGCTGAAGCATCATTCTATGCTGCATCTGTTGCTGCAGGAATTGCTGCTGCTGTTGCGGCGTCATCTGTTGCGGGTTCATGTTGCCATTCATCATGTTACCCATGCCGTTCTGCATAGCTGCTGCCATTTGCTGTTGCTGTATGGCCCGCTGCTGTTGCGCAACCTGCGCTGCGATTAGGTTGGGGTTATGCACAGGTTGTGGCATGGATCCCGGAGTGCCCATCATCATATGCTGACCCATTTGAGAGTTCGAGGCCATCATGTTGGGCGGCGGGCTGGCCTGGTTCATCCGAGGTGTAGCCGCCACTGCCGGACGAGAACCAGGTGTTCCCTGCATTGTAGGTGTTCCGTGATGCATGCGGGGAGTGCCGGCCTGATGGCTCTGCTGGCTTGCGCGAGCAGACATGCTGTGCGACATCGGAACGCCGCCAACGTTGGCTGGGTGGCCAGGAACTGCGGATGGTGGGCGTGGAGGGCTGTTGGCCATTTGCGAGTTGGACTGCTGCATGGGCACTGCGCCGGGCATGGGGGACGACATGCTGTGCGGCGTTCCTTGGCGAACAACGGGCGAAGACACAGCAGGCTGAGATGCTTGAGAGAAGCGAGCCTGGGCCGGTACGGCGCTTGCAACGCCACTGGATGTGCCATTGGGCATAGGACCATTCGCCTGTTGCTGCTGTGCCATGTTTGCCGCGGCATTCTGGTTGTTCTGGGCAGCCTGGCTCGCAGCGGCTTGTGCAGCCATAGCCCGTCTCTGCTGTTCTCTCTGCTGCTGCTCTTGACGAGCCTTGAGTTCCTGGGCCATTTGATGTTCGCGCCGCACTTTCTCCGCTTCTGCTTGTCTTTGAGCCGCAATGACGGCTTGCTGCTCCTGCATCTGCTTCTGCTTCTCCTGTGCGAGTTTCCGCTCGGCCTCGGCCGCCTTGACCTTCTCCTGTTCTTTCCTCTCGTCATGCTCTCTCTTGATATCGGCAATGACCTTGAAGCGCTCGAACCTCGGCTCAAAGGTAGACACAACAGCTGGGCCTTCCTTGTCGGCCCCGTTGCCTCCACCTTGTGCGCCATTGGTGCTGGAAGAGAGCCGTTCGTCCAAGATGAGCATATATCTCTCCTGATCTGCCGCAGCCGCTTCGTCGGCTGCCATCTCCGCCACGGTCCTCTTCCTGGTTTTAGGCTGAGGAGGCGAATCCGAGTGCTTGGGATGCGCCAGGACGTCCAGAAGGGCAATTGTCTCTTCCGCATCCCTAGTCGGCTCCAAGAACAGAGGGGCGTTAGTCGCAAGGAGGATTTGGGACTCTGCTATATGAATATTGCTTGCATCGAGCTCCATGCGTTCGCGCTTCTGTTTCTTGGCAGGAGGAGGCATGCTACCCGCAGTAGGAGTAGGTGGGACCATTGATATTGGCGTCGAAGGAGGCGCAGTCCCATCGACATTCCCACGGGTATCAACCGCACCGCGGGGAGTCGTAGCTTTGATCAGAAGGTCTGCTTGCAAACTTTCCGGCGTAGGATGCAAAACCACCGTGAAGGTCTTTGGCTTTGAGGGGGCTCTACTTTTTTGCCCTTCACCTGGCAAGCTGGGAGCTGGCATGCTTTGTTTGTCTTTTTCCTCCGCCGTCTTAGGCTTCGTATCCTCTTGCGTGGCAGATGCAGCATCTGGATGGGCCCCTGACGACTCTTTCGGATAAGGCACATACGGCGAAGGCACGATGTATGGGTTATGGTTGTGGATAGAGGAAGGTACGACTTTGCTCGATGCTGACGTAGGTCGCTGAACGTCTTTGGATTGTGCCACCGATTTGTGGTCATGCACCTGAACGATCAGGCAGCCCTCATAGAAAGGTACGCCGGACTGTGAAAAGTATTCGAGGAGATCGTGGGGGACCGTCCGCATGCGTAGGTGCTCCAGAAAGAGCCGCATCGGAGATTTGTATGGGAAGATGCCATCCTGCTGGTCGAATCGGAAATGGGTCGGGTGCATATGTACAACCAATGATGGGGGGTTGCCTGAGTACTTCTTCAGGATGTATTCATCCGTTACAACTATCATGTGTCAGCAACAATGCTCATCATAGGACTCGAGGAGGCTCGAGAAGTGACTGACTGTATGGCGGCGGCTCCACAGCTTGGGCAGAGGCCATATCAGCCGCGAGAGATGCTGACCGCAATCCTACGCTGTTCCTCGAGATGCGACTGGCTTGAGTCGACGGCTCGCGGCGCGTGCGATTAGCGGGTCGCGCTGATTGTGGGTTCGCGCCATTCGTCGTCGCGGAGTTTGGGGGCTTCTTAGTCGACATCGAAGGCGAGGGTGATGATCGGATTGAGCTTGCTCCGTTGGTTTGGATGCCGGGGGGTACGGGGCGCTTGATTTTGGACGCGACAGAAGGCGGCTGGACCGCTGTCACGACCGGCGCCATGATCGCCGGAGGGAGCGGCTACCGGTCCGCAGCAGGCCAAAGAAGTTGTCGCGACGTTGTAATCCCACTGTCGAATGATGCCCAGACGCGTGTTACAGAGCAATCATTTGAAGGAGATATTCACCTCGTCGATCGCGATGGGGGTTCCGGGGGTAGACGAGGTGGATGATTCGCGTTGACAAATCGGGTGACGTCGGCGTGGAGAAGGGTACTCTGGGTCGAAAACACAGTCGCGGATGTCGGAATAGCGAAGCGAGAGGCCGAAAAAAGAAGATAAAATCGAAAGAAGAGCGTAGAAAAGATGCACGACAGCTCAGAGGGATGGAATTCCAAGCGTGTGGGGTTGGGATGTAGTCAGGCTTCCGCGTGAGAGAGGCTCCAAGGAGGAACCGCCGCAAGTCTCCGAGACGGGGTCGCGGGCGTGGAGGATAGGCTACGGAGCCTCAGGCAAAACCCCGGGTGCACGGGCCTACTGTGCAAGTACAGTGCATAAACTGTACTCTCCGCTCCGGGGACCCGGATGGAAAGCCATGCAATACCTCAGTGCTTTCTGGCGACAGATTGTGCATCGACAAAAGCTTTGTATCGAAACCAGTCTACTCGCCAATGGGTCTTGTTTGTTTTGTTAGAACATTAATAAGTGTGCCCTCACAAATCCAGTCTAAACCGTCAAGGCAATTTACTAGTGAAAGAGGTCATTCCGCGTCATAGTAGTCAATTACCTTCCTCATGAAACCATCACATGATATCTCGTGGTATATACAGTCCAAGCAAAGCACACAATTCCATATCCATCAGGGCCTCCGAGTATACGTAGGAAATTTCACGGATTCCCAGACCTTCATTTGTACAACGGAGATCGTATTTACTCCTTGCCCTGGACACGGCGGGCCCAGTCGTCGTGGACCCTCATGCCGTCAACAACAACCACGCCCCTGCCCCGCCCAACACGGTCCGTTCGCTGCCACCACTTCTCTTCCTTGTCGGGCCTCTCGGCTTCCGACTCGCTGTCAGCGAGGCCACCATGGCCACTTTCTGCGCCGACAACCAGGATGATGTCGTGACGCAGCCAAGTCTGCAGGTTGGAGACTACACTGCCGTTCTCACCCGCCAGACTCTCCTGAAGATAGATAATCTCAGGTTGCAAATGACGGAGGATGTGGTTGTGGCCGTTGGGCGTGGTGAAGGGCATGACCATAGTCTCCTTCTCAACCAAAGCCAGTGCCTGGGAGTAAACGGCGTTGAATGCAGGGTTGTTAGATGAAGCGTGCATCAACGGACTCTTTGACGACTCCTCGCCAGGCGTCTGGGCTTGGTGGTGCTCAATGTTAGAGAACGACGAGCTCAACGAAGGTGGCGGAAGGTTACTCGTAGATTCACCAGTAGTCTCCTTAAGACCCGGCGCATAGATCAACACGAAGAGTTTAATGTTGTTAAAATCATTGTAGCGCGGGATATGCGACAAGATGGACTGCACAATGGTCAGATATGCGTGGGACGACGGCTACAATGGGTAGGAATAATGAACGTACAGCATGTTCATGGAACCCATCCTCGTCAAAATCATCTGCATGGCTATCGGCAGACACGACAACAGCGACTGTCCTCCGCCGTTTGCTCGGGTCCCTAGGCCCGGATGTTCGTTCCTTTCTGGCGTCTGCCTCCTCAGACCAGGTCTCATGGTCGGCGTACGCGTTCTTGTCCTCCTCGCGGATAGCTGCAAGGGCACGGCCGGCAACAGCGCCAGCCGCAGCGACGCCTGCGGTGACGGTCTTTCCAGCGGACTCAAAGAACTGCTGTGGGCTGGGTGTACGCCTCAATGCGCCCGACATGCGCGCGCCCCATCCATCACCCGCTGGGTCTCGAGATCCGTCGGCGGTGCCATATGTTTCGGTCCCCACATTGCTCGGGGGGGCTTCGGTCCCCGGGCAGTGCCGTATGCGGGATTGTCGCCATAGTCGGCATTGTCGTAGTCGAGGTCGGGGTACTGTTCGCTCTCGGGAGTTTCGTCCTCATCTTTGCGCTGACTCCAAACCCAAGCTGCCAGACCGACTGTCGCAACAGTCACAGTGACTGCAAGCGGCACCCAATGGCTCCATACGCCGCGTCTCCGAGAGTGTTGATCATTGGGCCACGACATTTAGTTGGATGTGGTCATTGCACTAAGGGCTATGGCCCAGGTGTAGGTGTATCGGCTTGAGGTTGGTAGCGGCTTCGAGCTTCTGGGGAGCTTTCCGACGATAACTGGGACTTTTGAGCAAGTAACGATATCGGAATGCAATGTAAAGTTACCAAGTTGCCAACGGGGGCAGATTCAGACGTTTTCGCGTCGAGATTTGTATCAAAGAGGTTGACAACAGGTAGAAAATCGCAATCGGGGAGCGGGCTGGAGATCACCCACTTGTCGCGAGCTCGGGTGGCTGGTCCTAGGTAGACAGACATCAACATGGGGATGACAAGGAGCTACGGCCCAGGGGGTCTTCCCGAGGTTGACCGTGCTTGCCATTGGTTGCCGGGCCAAAAAACCTCCCGCCTACACCAAGTCCCTACACTACAGACGAACTGGCGGACCGAGGATGTGCCGATCATCACGTGCATCACCCCACCATAGATGCCGAACGTCAACAGTGGGTCCAGCCAGCCCGCCGAGGGGCGCATTTTTGGGCGATGACTCCCTCGGCGCGCCCGTCAAATATCAAAAAATAACTACCGAGACGGGCCTGGGAACTGCACGGCGCAAACAGAGCAAGTCTACGTCACAACACTTTAGTAGGAGCCTCCTTCTCCTAGCGCATAAACCTTGACTGGTATACAGCAATTCCACGTCTCGGAATAGTCGTCAACAGCCTCTCGACGTAGACGCAACACCCCACCAACGCATCTCAAGATGCCCCACGCTGTGTCGATGCCCTCACCAGGGCTCCAGGCTTTGGTCCTTTGCGGTCCGGGATCTTCCTTTCCGACCTTCACCTCCAACCCTGATGAGAACCCAAAGGCCCTTTTGCCGATTGCCAACCGACCTATGGTCTGGTACCCTGTCGACTTCTGCTACCGTATGGGCATTACAAGTAAGTGGCTGCGGCCGGTCTCGCTCGGTTAGAGGCAGGCTCATATGAGTCTAACTGCTTGTTTCTTGGTAAAAGTTCCCTCGACTGACCATCCTAGACATCACTCTCATCTGCCCCGCCTCTGCAGAGGAAGCTATCACTACTGCCCTGAACACCAATCCGTACTTGACAGCACTTCCTCTTCCCAGACCAGACATTCTCGCTCCCAAAGACCTGGACCAGACCACAGGCACGGCTGAGATCCTTCGTCTTCCCGAGGTCAGGGAACTCATCACTTCCGACTTTGTCGTCCTTCCCTGCGATCTCATCTGCGAAATTGCCGGCGAGAAGCTGCTGCAAGCATGGATGGTCAAGGGTGCTAGCATGTCGGATCTTCTCGACGCACCAAAATTCTCAGCAAGCAACTCAAACTCGTTCAGCGGTGGGCTGGGTGTATGGTACGAGACAAAAACTGCAACACCCGTCAAAGGAGAGGAGACGGACTTCATTGCTGTTACCCCCTCGGCCCCATCCCCGTCTCGCCTCCCAAGGGGTCATTGCTGCCGCATCTGTCCAATCTCGTCTACTCAATGCCCACGGACTCCCTCAAGGACCTTACTGAAGAGAGAAAAGGCCTTCCCATCCGTCACGGTCTCATGAGACGCCACCCCCGGTTGAGGATGCTCACAACACACCGAGACGCTCATCTGTACATCTTGCCAAGATGGATCATGGACTTTGTTGAGAAGAACGATCGATTGGAGAACATCGGCGAGGACGTTATTGGTTGGTGGGCCAAGGCTGGCTGGCAAACTGGTCTCGCGGAGAAGCTCCATCTGGACGAGGTCCTGCGCAAGGATGACGAGAACGACGACGACGATTCCCTGCAGGAGAGCACAACATCACCTCAGGATGAAGACCCCGAAGAACTTCGGCCCCACAGAGGCACCGAAGACAGCAGACATGCTGACTCCCGGGACTCTGACGACGCGAAGACTTACGGAACGGAGATGAAGGTGCCTCCGATGCTGGCCTATGTGCATCCGTCGCAGCCCGACGCGCCAATGGTCAGGCGTGTGGACACTGCTCAGCTTCTTTTGAACGTGTCATTACAGCTTGCCAAGATACCGTCAGTGGAGGAAACCGGCAGCGATGCGGCGTCCCCTTTTGCACATGCCAAAAAGGTGGCATACCCGGAAGGCGTCAAGGGCCGTACAACCATCTCAAAGGCCGACAGTCTTGTTGGTGAGAACGTCACGGTGGAAGAAAAGGTAGCTATCAAGGAGTCTGTCGTTGGTGCCGGCTGTCAGCTCAATGAGGGAGCCAAGCTGTCCCAGTGCTTGCTGATGGAGGGAGCCGTGGTCGGCAAGAACTGCAAGCTCACAAGATGCATCCTCGGCAAGAGGTGTGTCATCGGAGATAACTCGATCCTGACAAACGTCGAGGTGCAAGAGAACTTGCTTGTTGAAGCCAAGAGTAAGTCTAGTCCCATTTGTTCAACTATGCCCATTGCTAACCGCGCCATAGCTGAGGAGAAGGACACAAAGCTGATGAGCTCCGATGGTTTGGAGGCTACCGAAGAGGAGATGCAGGGAGTACTGGAAGACATGGATAACGAGATCATGGCCCAGAACGAGGAGGCGGTAGAATAAGACTCCGAGTCTAGTCAAGAAAGTTTCACAGTGCTTCGCAACGGGGCACATTAGCTGAACCTTTTTTTTTCCTTCCATGATGCTCTATCGTGTGCTGACCGCGGCCCCTTCTAGAATGCTATGGACGCTACCTGGTTCGAGATAAAAGCAATGCCAGGGTAAGTGTGGAACGATGTGTCGGTACTAGCCACCACCGACAACGGGCCACTGCTCGCTAGATTCAGACCGAATGGTGTTACGGCGAGAAAGAGATATGGTGATGGCAATACGAAATGCTCGCGAGACCCAGCCGCAGACGACCGCCAGTATATTCGAGCCATGGTATACGATAGTGGAACTCTATTGATGCTCCATTGGGACAATGGACGGGCCCGCCAGCAGTTGTACCGGGGAAGTTGGATGGCATCCGGTAGGCATGCATAGGAATGACCATGGTGGGCTGGACACTGCGGAGAGAACGGAACGAGAATTATCTCGACAAGTGGAACTTGCAAGGTCCTCGACATTCCTGACATACCATGCGAACCCAGGCTTACACTTCTTATCAGGGCCACATTTGATTAGCACCGGCCTGATCGGGATCTATGGGACTCAAGGCGTGCTGCTCAGCGCGAACCCATTCGTCGTACGTCGCGGTCTGCTCCAATGTATATGGGCGAGGCAGCTTGGCAGTAGACATCTGGCCGGGGCAGATCTTTGGGACCACATTAGGAGGCTGGCAATATATTGCCCCGAACCACAGTAGGTTTCCCAAGAGTCCTTAGGCCGATTGCCCAAACCACGATATGCCCCCCTCCCCCGCCCCGGAGATCTCTTTTCAACGCTTCAGGAGGATGGACATTGAAGGAATCCCTTGATCTTCTTACCCGGCCCATGAAGGATGAGCTATTTGCCATCGCCTCTATGATGCACGCCAGGGGCAAGAAAGACGTGGGGATGAGCTCTGCAGAAACAGCCCACACGTTCTGTCAGGGGCGAACCAAACCTGCAAGGATGATCATCAATATTTGTGCCACTGAGAGGCCCGAAGAGAGACATACAGCATAGGGGATACTTCAGTCGGAGCGGGGCGTAGCGTGCGTATCCCATTCGACACCAGCATCGGGGCATTTGGCTTGCAGGTGGCAGATGTGAGCTGTCACAAATCGTGCAAACACTGTTATTCCGTACGTCCCAGGCTGACGGGTAATGGGTTATTGTCGTCCGATATTCCCTTGCTCCCTCGGGACAGATGGGTCAAGGGGCAGGGCACCCATCCGGTCCATGAAGGGCCGGCCGACGTATCATGGGGATTTAGTTCGCAATCTGAATCGCGAGTGTTGTCGTACAGAGATCGAATGAGTCCAGACTAACGGTGTTCAAGCCGAACGAGCGCCATGAACCAAACACAAGAAAGGAGGCGTTCAGGGGAGCAGCCAAGCAAGCGAGTGAGTGACGGGGGGGAGAGGGGCAAAAGGTAAACCCCACCCAGCTTTGGTCAGGAACGCGGTTACGCGGGCCCACGATGGTAAGACCGTACTAAATGGCTCGCGCGAGAGTTGTTGCGTTCCTCGTGGGTAGCCGTGGCAAAGCAAGAAAGCTTCGTGGGAGAGAGTGTGTGAGAGAGAGCAAGAGAGGTTCTATCCACGCGTCGCGTTGGGGGCGGGCGTTTCTCAGACATAACAAGGCTAAAAGAGGCGTATTGTCAGCATTCCGCTCGCGTGTTCCAAGCAGAGGAAAAGTAAGAAAACCTCTACTCGGCGTGCAGGCCTCACACACGATCTCTCTTGCATGGGGGGAGGGGAGAAAAAAAGACATTGGTCTCGCTCAGCATGCGCCTTGGAGGGCCCACGAAGCAAGCAGGCCAACAATCCCGCGAACCCCGACGGCAGCGGAAGCTGTGGGAAAAGTCAGTTCGTGGGACCGGTAGCGCCGTGTCACCTTTTCGTTTTTGGCGTTGGGCTACTGGCCGACAGCTCTAGGCTTAGCTTGGTGGCCGCCACCTCGTTCAAGGGGGAGCGCGGGAAATGGGCACTAACGTTGAGGGTTGAATCATGGCATCTTAACAGAAGGTGAAAGAGAGATGCGTGCATGGTGGCACTTTGTGATGCGGCATCTTCTGGCGCAGAAACACAGGTGTCAAAGGTGAGTTCGCATGCTGTCATGTACTACGTGAGAGCAACGTCGGTGTCTCTCTGTGGCAACCAAGTCAGGCAATGGACATGGGTTGGCTGGTGTGACGACGATGGTGATCATCGTCGACCGTTGAGTCCCACGCCGCCTGCGGCGGCAGAGCGTTGTGCGGGATGAACAATGGGAAGCATGCGGACGAGATTCGTCCAAAATAAGCCCTTGAAACTCTAACTTTGTCTTCGTCTGAACTGAGGCATCGGGTCTATCAGAGAGACTGGCACAGACGGGGGGACCCTGCGAGGCCAGGGAGCTTGAGCCAGCATCGGGCACGAATAGCACTTCCGGTCCGTCAGCCCATCGGCCCATTAGGGAAGTTGGGGAGGGATGAAGGCAATTCTCGACCAGAGTCTATTATGGGGTCTATTGCAACAATGGTTCCCATCACGGAGCGGGTTAGCGAGGTAGGTACAGAAGCAGAAGTAGTTCCGGCCCCGTTCTCCACGGCCGCCACGGTTCGTGATGTGCAAAACTTCGCAAGCTGGACGGAGCATTTGGCGGCAGGGGAGCTCGGGGCTTTTGGTGAATCTTGACTACTGCAAGTGTGAAGAAAGGGAGGTTGATCCGGTACTGGGGACATGGGTACAGCCCTGCCCGCCTGAGGAGCGTCTCGGCTTCGGCAAGTTCGTCGTCGATCATAGATTGGCTGGGGGCTTGCAGCTCGACAGGGGCAGCGGGAAGTGGGTAATATGGTTATGGTGATGGACTCATTCTGTGCGTGCTTCAGTAGGTATCCTCCCGACACACACACACACACTCTCTCTCTCTGTGTGTGTGTGTGTGTATGTGTGCATGTGTGTGTATGCCGCCAGTGATTGGAACTGACGTATGGGGGACGGATGTTTGAGCGGAGCTGCCTCCTCAGACGCCTGCAGAGACACAGACGTCCAGCTCCGAACACACAGACGAGAGGCGGCAGTGCACGGATTCAGCAGCCTGAGTCGGCCTGGGGGAGGCTTTTTGGCTGGACGGATCCCTTCCTTACAGGCGCGCCAAGCAGTACATGCGATAGACGCGGCTTTTCGGGTCCTAGCTGAGCTAACTATACCGGTAGCGTTGTGCTTTTCTCTCGTCAAACCCGAGTCCACAACCCCTCCCCATTTCCTACGGATATCCCGTCAGTATTAGTATCGCGTTCGGGAGTCTAGGGCCGGAGTGAGAGACGGGATGCAGGGTCCCCTAAGCACCGGAGGCTAAGGCTGGCCGGCAGGACATAGCTCGTCCCAGCAATCGGACAAGTTGCAGCGCTTTTGCAGTGCCTTTGCAGCAGCCTTCTGCGCCAGCGTCAAAGGCGCATCGATGGGGCGTAGACAACCCCCGAGAGGTTATCAGGCATGGGCAGCGTGAGGGTGATGGTCGACATGGGTTCTGATCGAATACGTAGCACCAGGCAGCTCCGATGATAGAGGAGGGTGTGTTGACTGATGAACCGTCGTTCCCTTGTCAGTGATCTGGGAGGGGGAGTGAGAGTGTCAAGTCAAGAGAACCAAGAGAGTCTAAACATGGCACTGATGGGTCCAATGGCGTCCGAACAGGGCCCCGCTTTTTCTTTCAAGACGCGCTTGTTGAACGCCCCCTTGTCCATGAGGTAGGTACTGTACCTTGAGATGGGCGGCCAGGGTCTCTCTCATTGTGTCGAGGGTCTGAATGGGGGGGGTGTGTGTTTGTGAAAAGGGCCGTGGATGACCTAAGCAGCCCCCAAAGAAGCTCCTCCGAATGAAGAGGAACAGGTACATGAGTTGGAAACCAATGAGGCAACGGATCAACGGCAAGCATAATCGGCGGGATTCTGCCCATTGGCTGATCTGGCTGGCCAAGAGTCTCTGGGGAGGAGAAGGGGGCCTGGGACGCACGTTATTTTTTTCCTCTTGCGTTCCCTTCGGGTGCTCCTCTCCTCTTTCTCTCGCAAGTCGATTCTTCTTGGATTCTGATTGTTCAATGGCAACTCGGTCACCTATTCTCAGCTCATCGTATTGCATCGCATCGACCAAGTGTGCCCGCTGAGCAATGACTCGAGTCTTGCAGGCCGAACCAGAACTTCCATCGCTCTAGCATCCACCCTCCCTCTCCCTCTCTACCATTCTTCTGCCCGGTGGCCAGTGGCCTTGAGGCTTTTCTTCCACACACATTCCGGCCCATCTTGCTCATTTGGTCTTCTCGCAGTTCTAGTCCCCGGCTGGCCCCCGGCTGCTCGAGTCCGTCTCCTTCAGAGTTGCTCGACCTTTGCTTTTTGCACATCTCTCATCTGCGTCTGCATCGTCCCTGTTTCAGCGCCTTACAACTTGAGAGAATAACGAGATTTGAGCCACTAGCCATGCGCCCCCCCCTCTTCCAGTGAGATGTGCATGCCTTAGTTACGTCAGTTGGGCCTTCTTCGACTTCACCGTGCGAGGTGCGTCGGCCATGGGTGGACGGACTTGACCGGGGTTCGCACCGCCGGACTGTTGTTTTTTTTTTGCTTTTCGCTCTCGTCCTGCGGCCGGATCTCTTCAGACCCTTGTCACATCTCGCCTTCTGCACTGTGTCTCAAATGCATCATCCATCCGCCTCTTGGAGGGGAGACGTGGGAAGAGAGCCGATTGTTGTTCACAGGTAGAATGGCTTTGCACCGTGAGAGGGGAGTGGAAGGAGGCCTGTGCCTGATGTCTCACACCGTACGTATCAAAGCTATCAGTATTCCATTCCATGACGGGCGTGTCTCCATTCCGCAAGGTTACACACATTCATACAGACAGGCAGAACAGACGCAGAGAGACACGCACAGCAGCAGCAGCAGCCCGGTAGGTCTGGGTACCTCTGCATCCACGCTCTTGCTCGACCTCCCGTTCCCCTCTGTCGTCGGTCTTCGAACCCCACCACCACCACCTCTACTACTGCAGTTGTCTTCGCGCTGTCATGTAGCTAGTTAGATCGTCCACATTGGGGGGACGCGTTATTCTCTCATATCTGACGATGAAGCTTCCGGCCTCCCTGCTTCTTTTGGGCTCACCAGTGCCAGTCTACTGCCTGTCTCGCTGGCTCGGACGTCCAATTCTGGCAGAGGAGGAGACTTGGAGGACGACTCCCGAGTGCATGCCCCAACCCCTTGTCGTGCATCGCCTTCGTACCTCACCACCAACTCACGATCCACGGTAGGCCCCCAAGCGGTTCATGCAGGTACTCTTTCTTCTTCTTCGAGCGCCCCCCAGCTCTCCGAGTTTCCAGGTGCCTGGCAAGTCCAGTCCCCTCGGCCGTGAACCCTAGTCAACCCCTGTCAACAGTTGACTCGACCAGCACGACTCCCCCTCCCCGACAAGGGTAGAGCCCACGCCAACTGCAAACCCAAGATAGAGTACGACTGAGCTTCTGTGTCTGGGCTTGACGAATGGTTACCGGGTCGTCATCCAATCGCAGCAGCTGCAACTTGAACCCTGCCTGCTGCTCCAGGTTTGGACTCTGGCTTTCTCAACCAAAGACTGCGCACACAGGCATAGCCCTGGCTGCGTGCCTCTTTCCTCGCTTATGATCCCAGCTCGAGCAAGCGAGAGAAACCGAGAGAGGAACTGGCTCGAGCGTCCAGATGCCCAGCTAACGCCGCCCAGAGCACCGTACCTGGTTCAGCTTATCCTTTGATCTGACACCTATATGTACGTGGGTCACGTTCATGGACCGGGCGATCGTCTCATTGTTTCTCAGGGACGACGAAACAGACTGGACCGACCTGGACTGGACCCTCCCACGACCAAGAAACACTCTTTTGCTCTGGACCCTCTTTCTCGCTCGAGTCCCTGTCTCCATCTTCTCCCATAGATCGGTGGATCCCGTAGGAGATTAGAGCCTCTTTGCCTCCCTCCTCCACGTCCATTCTTTCCAACCCACACACCCCCCGGTGGCTCTCTCTCCCTCCCACAATCCACTCCACCTCCACTATCACGTACTCAGACCTCGATACATTCCTATCTGGGGCTCTCTGTCTCTCCAGCTGGTGTATTGATGACACTATTTCCCCGTTTTGTGAGGATAGACTTGTCCATCGCTCGTTAGGGGCGTCATCTTCATCTCCGTCCCACTCCGTCCCACGATATAATACTGCCTGAGCTGCTCATCTGTGGAACGCTTCCATTATCCCATCATTCTTCATCCTACTTTTAACCGGACAACTCGCTCCCTCTTCTGACGACCACGCCCTCTCAACAGCGAGTAAGCAACAACAATCAACAACACTCACAATGATGTCGCACCAGCACCTCTGGCAACAGGAGCAGGACCACTCCATTGAAAGCATCATGGACTCCTTTGCTCCGGAAACCAGCTTCAACTTTGATGGTTCCGTGAGCTGCGGGACCACAACACCAAGCTTCTCGGCCGCCTCGTCCGTCTACGACCCTAACGGCCCCTTCACTCCTCGTTCAGGCCGTTCAACACCCCATGACCACCACTCCAACATTGACTTCGACTCTTCCTTCTCCTCTCAGAGCTCCTTCTCCTTCGACCATGGCGCATCACAAGACCACAAGGGCTACTTCCACAAGCCCGAGAAGGTCGAGATCCAGATGCCCATGCAGTTTTCATCCAACGATTCCCTCACCCCGTCGCGGAGACAGAGCTCAGGGTATGGCATGGAGCACCTCGACTACAACACGATGCTTCATGTCACCCTCAACTCCCACTGTATGCCCGGCATGTCCTCGCCTCACCACCACCAACATCAGCAGCAACAACAGCAGCATCATCATCACCACCACCATCATGCCGAGCAATACTCCCTTCCCCAAGACCTCAGCTCGTCACCCTTCGTGATGCCCACACCTCACCGCGCTCTCCACAGCTCTACCCCCAGCAACGGCAACATCTGGCCCTGCAGCAGCGAAAGCCCCATCATGATGTTCGGCAACGAGTCCACGCCCTCAACCTCTCCTCTTCACTCCATCACCACCAACGTCAAGCGGGAGACCACACATTCCCCTTCGCCCCTGCACTCATCGCCCTCGGCCGCCGCGTACCGCCAGGACCCTAGGCGCAAGCTCTTTGCCGAGGTCCAGCGCAAGACCCTGGCCCTTCAAAAGAACCAGAACGACATGGAAGCACTGAGGCAACTCAGATCGATCCAGGTCAACCAGGACGGGTCTGTCCTTGACTGCGGCTCAGTGAAGGTGCGCCATGTCGCGCCGAGGCGGGAGAGGTGCACATACCCCGACTGCACCAAGACTTTCAAGAGGAAAGAGCACCTCAAGCGTCACTTCAAGGCGTAAGTCATCTACAAGGGCCCTTTGGTTGACTTGCACATATATTCTAACATCCTATGCAGGACCCACGAGAAGGAGGTCGAGCTGTACACGTGCCCTGCCACGAACTGCAACCACGTCTTCAAGGAACGCCGCGACAACTTCGTCTCCCACCTGCTCCTTCACAAGCAGGGTAAGAGCAGCAGGACTCCCTACAACGAGAAGGCCGCCAAGCTGTACGACGAGATGTGCCTGCAGAGCAAGAGCCGCAAGCGCGTCAAGACCAGCACCAGCTCGAGTCCCAGCAGCAGCACCAGCAACAAGAACTGAAGTGGCCTGCTGCTGCTTCCTGCGTCCGCTGGCTGTCTGAGACAATAAAATCGGGGGGTCGAATATCAAATCAGACGCGGCACAGACGCTGGGTTTCCGGCCGAGAGGGAGGGGCGACGCCAACTCGGGGACCCTGACCCGGTGGATGAGCTGCCCTATGGCCTGCTCGTTTTCCAAGACACTCCCAACGCGCGCACGCCACTCGGCATGGGAGAGAACTTGGACGATCCCTGCACCGGGCCTCTTTCTTCTCCTCCTCCACCCTGGCCTGGTTGACCAGAACCCAGCAAGCATCGGCGAAAAGCAGACCCCCGAAACTGTTTCTTCCAAACCTGTAATAATTCCCGCCGTTGCACGAAAAAAAAAAAAGACAATTCGGCGTACATCGGCAAACTGTTTGCATTCTCACTACCATTCGCTTCTCTGTTTTGTCTTTATTGGATCTTGGGGACGGTGCCTCTGCTTATTATCAGAGACAAAATGCTCCAACATGGTGGTGTGGCCTCCAGTCCTCTGTTCTCCCCGTTTGCAACAACTGTCACTTGCATTTCTTACGATTGCCCCTGGGAAAGGAAAAAAAGGAACCATCCAAACCACACACACACTCACACACAAACGAAGATTTACATATTCTTAACGATTGCAATTCCAAACATGAATAGGGATGATCCGAGCCAAAAGGCGGGAGTGGAGGAGGATACCAAAGGGGGCTCGTTGCGAACGGATCAAGGAGAGGCCAACTGTCTTAGTGTACCTTTACCCGTCCGCGGGGGCGAGTGTTCAAGGATCAACGGCGAAAATTTGGGGCTATGGGTTGGACAAATGTTTGTACCGGATCACCAGGGGCGGGCAGGCCGAGAAAGACCATATTGGGATGAGATAGATTGTTACTACTGCCGCCTCGAAAAGGGAGCAAAGCTGCCAGAATCCAAAAGGGCCCCATGACGAATCCAGTCATGTGGTCGCTGTTCATACCAAAAGCTGAAGTTCTCCGGGCGCCTGGCGTCTATCACATGTCGTCTGCATGAGCTGACAATCTGTTGGGGAATTATCACCTCACATTCACTTTTCAGCTGCCTCACGCAGACTCGCCAGGCCGAGTTCAGCCATGCCTTGCCCATCAGTTCACATATGCCCGCCTGTTGGTTTGATAAGCGATGAGCCCGAACAAGCTCTCTTGATGTGCAACGTTTTTTCTGGGGGAGGGTGGCATCGCGGCCTTGGCGGCGTTGCGTTCTTTGGAGAATCGCGCACACTGCCAACCTGAGCTCAGCTGAAGTGAACTCTTGTCCCTTCCTCGTCTCGGCAGGTGAGGCTGCCGATCACCCTCCGTCCTCGGCGCAAGCGTGGTGACCCGAGCGGGACGGACCCCACTCCAAGCCCCCGACTACCGCGCGTAAAAAGCCAGGCAGGGCCAGTTGAGCAGGGCCCTAGGGCGGATGTCTTAGATTCAGCGCAGTCTCCGTGAAGCACCCCATGCAAAGAGCACGTCAAAAAAACCTAGCAGGACAAGGCAGTTGGACAGGCAGTCCGGCGAACTTTGCTGTATGTAGTTCCACCACCTGGCCCTGGTCCTGCTCACGGCATGGGACAATATTGAGGTCGGGTGGATGAATGGGACGATGGACACGAGTCGACGGTGGGATAGGGGGAGGTGCCGGGGGGAGCAAACGGCGCGGGCGGTACAGGCCGTCCAGGGCCAATTTTTTGTTTCTTGCTGCGAAGTTTCCCCCCACCCCCTCCAAGATACCTAGTTTACAAGCTTCCGTCATCAGGGGAAACGTTTCCCGCACAAATCGGGAGTATTGACGGATAGGAGGACGGGTGAGGAAGCGGCAGGGGGCGACGACTCTGGAATCTAGGGGGGCCTTCTTGACAGGTCTGATTAGTGATGATGGCATGGCAGGGGGTCCTGGGATCAGGGGCAGGGGTGAGAGGGCGGGGCGGGGGAGTGACGAGGAACAGCAGGGCCAGGAGCCGATAGGCACGGTCGTTGGTGAAAAGTAGACAGGACATGACAGCAGAAGAGTGCCGCAGCAGCAAGAGAGCAAATTCTCCGTCGGGCATGTTCCAGGCCGTTTTGGTGTGGCCGGCAATGGCGCACAGCCAGATGTTGCGTAACTGCAGATGCATCTTGGGGGAGGGCATTCAGTGAGCTGCGGCTTTGCTCTATTTGATTGGCAATGGCAAGAGAGACGGGCCGAAGGCGCCTGCATGACATGAAAGACAGCAGCAGCGGTGATTCAAAAAGAGCTGTGTCGCAATGTTGTGCGATGAGAGCCTAGGAAGAGGAGATGCACCTCTCGAGCGAGTGAGACCCGACGATCGAGCGTTACGGGCGTAAGGTACGTCTGGTTGACGATATCTTGACTTGAGCTTGACTGACGTTTCGCCGGAGATGTAATTCCCGTACTACGCTTCATCCCATGCTGGCAAAGGTTCGAAGGGTCGGTCGTCGGCTGATGCGCAACTGGGGCCCGGTGCAGCGATGGAGTGGTAGCGCAGCATGGTAGCCACGTTTATTGGACGGGGTCTGAGCGTCGAAGCGTCGGTCCTGAGGCTTTTGCGCGACGACCCTGTCAGGTCGTGGATCTTGACCGTATTCCTGGGACGAGGCGGGGGGGGGAGAGGGGTTCGCCATTCACCTGAGGGGAACCCCCAAGGGGGTCAGATTCTATCCTGTCCGGCGGGTTGATTGCGAAGCGATGCTACATAGTACTGAAGACAGTGATAAATGTCCGCTGTGGGCGGCTGTGCTGCAGCAAGCACCCTGCAAGACACGGATATTTGTCAGGTTTGGTGGAGGGCCTGCAGCTGGTCAGATGCGGCCAGCTGCGGTATCTGCGGCGTGCTGCAGCTAGCCCTCGTGCAGGGTGCTACGGTGAGCCAAACACAGGCACATCAAAGGGCAAGGAATCGGGGGAGTACGAGATCATGTAGCCGCCCTTGATCTCGGTGCCCCTTGTCGCCGAGGAAACACGCCGAGTTTCTCTGGTTCGGTATCATCGCTCATTTCCGGAGAGAATCCACGTGGAAGCAACATGGCCTACAAGAACGGTACCTGTAGATGTTCCCCATGTCCGTTGGAAAGGGCTAGCCAGCCAAGGGTCCCGGATAGCATGGCTGTAGGCAGGCACCAGCCCGGCAAGGAATCTTGGTGCTCAGAAGTACCCACCGCCAGCGCTTGGAAGCAGTGATGCCATGTCGTGTCGGAACACATTGGAGAGCTATAGTTTTGTTCCGTGGCTGGGGCTTGCGGATCTTGTCAAATGGCCGTCAATGACGATTGCTAGGACGGTTTTCTGGACTGATGAACGGGTAAATCGGGGGTGCTGTGGCGGACACCAATGAAGCTTGTTCGGGGCAGCGGGCTGGAAGCTGGATGTCAGAAAAATGAGTAGACAAATGGAGGTGGGGGATAGAAGGGAAAAAAATTACAACGGCCATACGGGGCATGGGTGAGGGAAGCCGTTAGATGCGCCGTGCGCCGCTGTGGAGCGAAGCCGGGCTGACGGCCGGTCGCGAGGAGTCGGCGCTCGGGAGGCGGGGCGGGATTGGCCAAAACTACACTAACTAACCCAAAGGTAAGGTAAACGAGCAGCGGAGTGGAGGATGACGGGTAGGCCCGGGGGCCCTGCGCCGAATCGTTAGTGCCGGGTGGCTGGCCAAAAGACCCTTGCCGCCGTGGGTTTTGAGTTTTTTCGGACGCTCCGCATTTCGTGATCTGTCAGTATGACTTGGTCGAGCAGAACTCGCGCTATCGAAGTCAATATCTGCCCTCGCTACCTCGGGAACCACAAGACTGGTGAGGTGGAAATCCATAGTACGCGTTCGCCGGTGGCGGGTAGGTAGGTATGGCGGACCTGCCAAGTTGCATTCCGCTCCCTAGCAGAGCGGCACAGCGGGAAGTCTCCTGAGGTACGTACCTACCGTCCGAGGCTTCACCTTCACCTTGCAAGTGCCCCCCCCCTTGTGCCCCCCCTTCCCGCCCTGCACGTGCTTAGGTAATCAGGTAATTTGGCTTCAGCATCTCCCCCCCCCCCTTCTCTCCCTCTCCCTCTCTCTCGCGTGCGCGCGCTAAAACAATCGGCCAATTCTCCCGACCTCCCCGGATTCCAGTCGTCGGATTGTACGGTACCCAGGGTGTGCTTCCTCCTCCCTTTATTGTTGACTGCGCTCGTTTTCGCATTGGCATCCATACAATGTCTACGTAGTAGTGTCCGTCCAGAGCATTGCTGACGTCAGCCAGCGGCCGGCCGATCAATCTCAACGTCGAGGCACGAGCACGAGGCGGCAGCCGCAGCCACAAAATCGCTGCTCGCTTGGTCAGTGAATGCTGCTGATCGTCACCAACAGCTGGAGAACCAGCGCCTGCTGCCACTGTCATCGGGCGCTCCCATGCCGCCCACGTGCTACGCCTTCTGATTGCCCGCCTCCGCCGCTTCAGTTGATTCGGCGTTGGATTGCTTGGACATCTGCCGAAAGGGCATTCTTGGCCAATCCTCGACAATGTCAGGCTGTAAGGCTTCGCCTTCGACTTCATTCCTGCATCGATTTTTTTGCGTCGCTGGCATCATTCGATAATTACCACCATCGTTCAGTCTGGATCCTGCTACATTGTCTGTCGGCTGGAACGGGGCTGCATCATCCTCATTTCTTCCACTGACTATCCCACGATTCTCACGCCACTTGCTTTTTTCGCCTCAATCTCGCCGGCGCCACGCATACCTTTTGACTTCTCAGCTCACGGCGCTTGCCGTCAGCGATACCTCACTTTCAGAGTGCAGCACCCGTTTGATCGCCAATTGACTGCATCGTCCGCGTGATCGGCCCCGGGCTTTATTCTAGGAACAAACGTCCCACTGTTTGTTTGTCCACATCGTCGCTGCGTCGGCCGTCGACAGATTCCCCAGATCGGCAGAATAGACGACAAACTGTTTCATCGTCTGCTGCCCACTCGTGCATGAATGATTTGGAACCTGGGCCCTTCACGCAACTCGCATTGGAGGGGCAAACAAAGACATCCGTCGCCAGCATGGCCGCGCTACCATCATATCAGGATGCCGTCAGCAGACTCGACTGGCTTGGACTTGTCGCACCATACGTCGAGGACAAGGACCTTGTCAATCTTTGTTCTGTGAATAGACGCTTCTACGCCGTCTTTGCATCCCGCCTCTGGAACGACCCGTTGGTCGCCGTTCGACGCTTAGGACTGGATCCTAGCAACGGTATGTGTGTCTCAGGCCACACCTGTCAACTATCGCTAACTACCGCTGCTGTTTCCCTAAGTTAAGACTTGGAGTGGTACCTCGCATTTGTCTTTGATCGCATGCACTGCATGCGGCAGTCGACCCTGGCTCTGATCACCACTCTTGACTTTCGCGACTTCGCCAAAGACACTGCCCATTTTTCGTCTGATAATAGCACCAGGACAATACCTGAGACTTTGCGAAGATTGCCCACAATACTACCGAATCTGAGGTGCCTTCTCTTGGACGGCCACGTCGAGGCAGATCCTGCCTTTCTGACTGCCACCCCGCCGTCCGGAGCAGAATCTACGCCCTCTGACCATGGCCAAAGTTTGTCGGTCCTTAGTGTTGCGTACTGCCAAACACAGCTGCCCAATGGCTTTTTCTTGTCGGACAGGGTCCAGCACCTGGTGTATCTCGACGTTTCTGGCCTGCCTGGTTCACTGCAGCCGCTTGTAGTGGCAGCCCACGGACGTCGCCATTTGAGCCGCCTAAAGATCCTCAAAGCGAGGCGTCGAGAGATCAACGACGCACTTGCTCTAGCCCTGTTCAAAGCATTCAGGAGTTCGTTGTGGAGTCTGGATGTTTGCGAAAATAACATCACAGACGGCATTCTCGATCAGTTTGCTGCACTCTGCTTCAATAGTCCGTCTTTGAGGTCTCAGTCCCGATTCGTGACTGAGGGCAAACTTGTCTTTGACGGCCAAGGCAATGACACCTACGGGAAGTTCGTGTCCATCCAAGAATCTGACTGGAGCGGAGCCTTCAGCCATCCGGAACGGCACTTTGTGGATGCCCCCGCCTACTGTGCCGATGCAAGTCGGGTTCTGCAGGAGGACGAGGCATTCCGAGCCAATGGCCGAACCCCATTGAAGAGAGACAGCGCAGACTCTGTTAAGGCCGCAATTGCGGGGAGCATAGATCGGACAGTGCCTGACTGGCTCGACGTGCCCTATCTCGACGTCTGCACTGCACCTGCGGGGATCACGCATCTGCATATCTCAGACAACTGTGTCACTTCATCAGGCTTGGAGAGGCTGATACGCAGTTCACAAGGCCAACTGGAAGAGCTATCTTGCGATTCTCCGTTGTTTCAGCCAACCCATCGTTCTGCTGCCAAGCATCATGTCCCATGGCCTGCCAACCTGAAGCTGCGTGGTGCTCTGGGTTGTGCACACGTATTCCGTCCCGCTTTTTCGTCCAACCTCAGGGTCCTGCGCATTCATCATTCACTGGTAACTCAAATACCGACACTCGAGGCTAACGGTCTGTCAACCATGGCACGCCTCTGGCTAGCTGAGACAACCATCAGGGAACGATCCGAGAGTGCTTTCCCCCCAGCTTTCGAGCCGGACATGAACCCGCGACTGACGTCCTTGACTTTGACCAAGATCCCGCGGCGCTCGATTGGGCCTTTGATCGACAAGCTTCTGCAATTTGTCAAGCTCATGGGGCTACAAGAGTGCGCGATACAAGAAACGGCTCACTTGTTGTCTCGGCGTGGTCCTTTATTGCTTCGCGGGCTGCGTCATCTTCGCCTCGAATTTGAGGCCGACCCGATCGAGGATCCCACAGGGTTGTCAACTGTGGAAGACCTTGATGCCGAAGGGCTCATGAACATGGACGAAGGCGAGAGCTTCAGTTTCTTTGGAGATGAGCGTCCCCAGTCTCGCACGTACGCCGGGCGCGCCACGAAAAAGCAAGCAACAGAAAATGATGGGTCTGCTGTGCTACCACCAAAGGTCGTTGCAGACCGCTTAACAGGGTTTCCTCATAACGAGGCTGATGCAGAGTGCATGCGTTATAGTGATACTTGGGGCGAGCGGCAAGTCGACCGGGGCGTGTGGATCGGAACCGGTATCCTAGGCGCCAACCACGCCATCAATGAGTACATGAAGCTGGTGATGCACTCATCGCTGAGAAGCAGAGTCGGACCCGCGACCCCAGCTCACGTAAAAGCAGGTGTTCCAGAGGGCGCTCTCATCTTCCAGGCGGCGTGGGACGCCATTGTCATGCCGCTAGAATTGAAACCGCCTAGAACGACGGAACTTCATGGAATGCGGGACGTTCTAGAGGCAATCAAGGAGTTTCGCGTCAACACGAAGGCGGATTACGAGGCCGCAAAAAGGGAGGCCGTTGAGGGCATGGCAGAGCCCACAAGGCGGCAGCATTTCTTCTGGACCGGGAGGCTTGAGGTTTCCACCCAGCAGAGCATGGCACACTATCGAGCGCCCAATTATTGGCGATAGGTACCTTTTACTTTCACTTGTCACTTCAAAGTACTTGCGCGTCGTCTCAGTCCTATGTGCAGCAGACCTGAGATTTGGTCATTTGTGATATATACCTGTTCTGAAATAACTATAGACAGTGGAAGGCGTGAAAGGGGGAGGTTTGAGACAGTGCCCATATCCCGCACGTCTGTCTCAGTATTGAAAGCTGCGCCCACAAAGAATACCATTGCCATCTAGATCACAGCCGACTCAGGAAAGAGAGGCGGTGTAAGCAGTCGTGGTGAACTTGGCGTTGGAGCCGACAAAGGGCTCGGTGCCGGCGCCGATGCTTTGGAGGATCTGGGACGAGGGCAGGCCCTGGCTATTGACGAGGTAGGTGATGAAGGCCTTGAGGTCGCCGCTAAAGTTCTGTACGTTGCTAGGGGCGACGAAGCTGAAGACGGTCATCTGCCCGTTGACGCCCTTGTAGAGGTTCCAGGTGCGGCCGGCGACGGTCGGCGTGGCAATGGTGCTGCCGGTGGCGCTAATGGGGCCCGCGCCGCCGAGGGCGCCCAGCCAGATCATGATCTCGTACTGAGCAGACCCGGAGGCCGTGGAAGAGGTGAAAAGGTCGTAGGCAACGTTGGCGACGATGCCGGTTCCGGTGTAACTAGGGCGTGTTAGTGCTATTCCAACCCAGACGCAAGAAGAGGGAGCGCGAGAGACGGGGGCGCAAAAAGACGTTACCTCCAGGTCCAGGTCGAGGGGATGCTGCCGATGGCGCTGAGAGCCTTCTTGCTGACACTGACGACGGCGTTGGCGTACGACTTGACATTGTACTGGCCGCCAGACCAGGACCAGGTGGTGGACCACTGCAGGTTGCTGCCGGAGAGGCCTGTCAAGGTCGTACACTGACTGCCCGTGCCAGAAGACGCGCCCCAGAGGTTGTTGTAGACGGTGTAGGTGCCAGTAACGGCGGATCCCCACTGGTCGCAGAAGGTGGTGGCTCGCTTTTCGATCGTCGGCGTCGGCGTAGCAAAGGCCAGCGCGGGGATGGCGAGAACGGCCGAGAACTTCATGATGATAGGATGGGGTGGAGAACCGCACAGGTACTGAAACTGGGCCGAATATTGAACAAGATGAACGAGCTTGATTTAAAGGGCTACTGGGATAGAAAAGCTCATGGGGGCAAGCTGTGGTGATTGTGGACAACATTTATATACGCTCCATATGTGGTGATTGCGAAGAGATTGTGTGTTCTAATTGAGTTTCTTGGCCCGCGTCTCGATAATCTGCCTTTCTCCAATATTCATCTATTCTTCCCCAACGTCCCTAGTCACGCCGGGAAGCTTGCTGTCAAGGCAGCGGTCGACTTGGGAACCTCGATATATCCGCACGAATAATCTCCCCAATATACCGACTCCCTGGGCCTCCTTTCCCTAACCGCTTCGGAAGGTGAGGTCACGAGAACCGTTCCCCTGGAAGCTTCAGGGGGCAGCTTCCGGCCAGGATGACGATGATCATACCCTGACTCGATATAAGCTTCCAAGGTAGCATTGAGCTAAGCTCAGGTGCCGAGCCTTCATTGGCGGCTCCAGAGATGTGATGGTGTGCCCCAGCGAGATGCAACCTGTTCGGGAGTTTGGGGAACCACGAATCAGGAGAACCCGGCTATTGGGATGGCCGGGGTTGTGGATGAGATGGCGAGTTGCGGTGAAGTTTCTTGGGACGTCCAAGATGAAATTCAGCCAAGGCATCAGTCACCTTGCGATAGGAATCAAGTGAAGCGGAAGAGTATGGAAACACAAGAAATATTTATTCGCCCTCTACACTTTTGTAAAGGACACTTTGGAATTAAATGAGCATTGAAACTAGCAAAATGCTACCGTCCCTGCTCTTGCGACTTTGACGTGACCTAGAACCCAGAGAAACCCATCCAACAGTAAATGCCGGCATCATGTATCATCTCGGAACCCCCGGTATGGCCTTCAACGCACGAGGTTCGAAGAGACATCGTGCATTCGGACAGAGACTGCCGGAAAATGCGGGGTTGACTGCCGCTTCCGCTTCCGGGAGAAGCCCCGATGTCAGGCGAAGAGGCAAGTGGAGTAGACGGGCGGGATTCCGAAACGGTGATTGGCGGAAATCAATCGGGTGTCAATTTACTGGAAACGAGCCCTCGTCGTGAGCCTCCGCACGTTGTTACGCTTTGGCCCAGGTGTCGTCTTCTATTATTTCCTTTCTTGCAGACTTTCGACTACGGACGTGCATGATGGAAGCGACTGCAGAGATGTTCCTTGAGTTGAGTATTTTCAATTTGCTCCGGGGGTTGTGTGCGAATTAGCACCGCTACATGATGCACTCTGGCCTTCTCAAAGGACGATCGGTCTTGAGGGGGGTGTATGTGTTGTGGACTGGCCACTTCGCATCCTACAATGGAAACAGCATCGCAAGGATTGTACAATCGAATCGAATTTAGCCAACTTTGTCGCAGTGGCGACCGGTTTCCAGCGGCCTCTGACGCCATCACATCAGCGGCCAGGCTTACTGGAACGTGATGCAAAGCCTACGAAAGAAACTCTGCCATGCCCAGCACGCCGCACAATGGAACAAGGCCGTTGTTCTTGTCCTTTTAGTTTTGATGTCGAGATGTCGCCAAGCACAACTCGGCGCTGTTGCTCCTACAGATCATTTGGGCCCGAACTCATTTATCTGTCCAGGACGGAGAACCTCTACCGTGTGTACTCAGTCAACTGGGCCCTCATATTAATGTTCTCTAACCTACTCTGTTCACTTTTTTCACCTTTTACCCAATGATAAGTCTGGGATCTGCCGGCGAGCTGTCCCTATTGGGGCCCAGTTGACCGAGTAAATACGGTATGGCAGAGTTGTAGGCCTGGCTTACCCTCCCTTATCATCACATGCGAGTCGGCCAAGGACAACAGAGCTGCCATCGGTCACCGAGTGGACGTTGACGTCATTTCTTGCAAATAAGCGTGCACAGTTGTTACTGCCCCCTTAGGGAACCGTATACTCCCCCTGGTTAAATCCTGAAGAGAATATTTTCAACCATTGTAACGGAAGACACCAAAAAAAAAAAAAAAAAACCCACCATGTTATCTTGTTATTATTGATCAGAAAACACTCGCAACGCCGTCGTTGAAACGCCACGGAGGAGCCCTATCGTGGCGTTGCCGCGCTGGAGTTCAGCTGCTTCTAGCCCTGAGCCTTAGGAAATGGGGAAGAAGGTTTGGAGGACCAATGGCTCTCTCGTGGCTGCGTGTGAGAAAAACCAAAACCCTCGAAAGAGTGATTACGAGAAGTGACAGAGTTTCTCTGCCTAGTCTCGTGGAAACCTCGCGGTGTTTGGTTTTTCCCAAGATTTCAGCCAAGCCTCGCAGAGCAAGCCCTCTGGGGAACGTGGTGTGCCCTTTGTCAAGTTTTGGTTTTTCTTCGTATCTGCAAAGTTGCCTCGCGTGGCTCAGCGGGTTTAACGGATATGAGATGTGAGAGGTCGGAGGCTGCCATCGCTAGCTCACGAGGCGGTTAATTAGGTTGAATTGTGCCATTGTTACACGTCCCCCAAGGAGCGCCTCACTAGAGCTCGGAGACGACGCGTCTGGCTCAGATGAGAGACCGGGGCCAAGGTGATGGTCCTTGCCTCCTCTCCCACGAATCTGGGAAGATCTGCCCCTTGATCCTGGAAAATGTCTTGGCCGTCTACCTGGCTTTTGCTTACCTTGGGGTTCGCGGACGTGCGTCGTGCCTGACCCAGTGGAGACGCGTCGCGTCGGGATGGCCATGATTGCAATGTTGTTGATGGTCGGGAGGAGGGGTGTGTCGACGCTTAGCGGCAGGTTCAACTAAGTAGCGTAGCCGACAGAATGGGCTCAACTCTAATTCGATAACGTTGCTTATTCTCACCTGGGAGGCCCTGAGAGGCGTGCGCAGCAAGTACTATACAAGATGGGCTTGTCTCAGGATAACGACACTGGAAGAGGGTTGGTTTAACGGGCAGGGGATAAGTTCCGGGCCCGAGGAATGGAATTTGAGTTGTTTTCAATCCCTGAGGGCAACTCAACACCGTGCTGTCTCATCTGTCCTACATTCCCGATCCGAAGGAGAACAGGGGAAGCCTGAAAGAGGGCGTACCAGTTCCACGTGTTCGGGACCGCGATTCATGACGCAGAGCTGGGGTTGTGTATGCGCCGAAGGAGGCTCTGAGAGAGGAAAGAAAAGGGTGGTGTAGGTGAGGTCGCACTGTAGCAGGGGTTGCAAGAGACAGACTGAGACACTTGGCGCGCGCCGGCCGGTACGGCTTTCGTGGCTTATCTAGGTCCAGAACCTGATCTTGGCAACCCTCGATGGAACGGGCACCTATCGTGGAATGGAGACGGGTAAATCACACGGATGCGTCCAAGTGGCTTGGCCTTCACAATGGGTTAGTCCTGACTTCTTCGTCGGACTGTTGGCCATTGTCGGCGTTGCAATTGAGGTCAAGACATGAACGGGTCGGCGTGTGTCGGATGAGGCACTTAGAGGGCTTACTACAACAATTGTTTGGCTTGTTTTTGTTGTTCTCAAACGCGCTAGACGGGCCTTCTAGAGGCGGCCACGCGTCTCTATCGAGGCTGTATGCGAGTAGCAATAGTCAACGGCCGCTGCTATGCCCTCGGTACGTGTGGAATTATGATGTTTGCGACCCTGGTGGTTTTAGTTGATATCGATCTCGTGGTTTGCCGAATCCTAGAACCAAAATCACTTCAAATCTTAGGTACATTTCCCCTAGGAGAATAACGCTGACAGTCAACTGAGGCTTGTTAATCATGATTTGTGGCGTCCTTTCTCATGTGTGGCATTTCGCCATCGCATTATGGGGTCCGTTTCGCATGTGGGCTGGCTGACGGGCGTAACAAACTATCGTCCAGAATCTGCCATATGCATGTCTCTGCCACATCTGCAGCTTAGCAATTCGGGACAGGTGTAATTACGTTTTGGTAGTTAGCTCGCAAGATTTCCCCCTCCAACTCGCCTAGAGATGAGGCTGTGGATCCTGACGCTAGGGTATGCAGGAAGATGGGATCCGGGGAATGCAGGCTGGTCTTCTTTAGGGAAAAGACGGCCCCGATTGAGGAAGACTTTTGTCCCTCGACCTCGGCCTTGGGTCTTGGAATCTGCGACAGCTCGGCTTTTCATGAGTGACTACTGGTTCAGCACCCGACCAGCTCATGTCAAGGACCTTGCAGCCTAAGATTATCGTACAACATGCGGGAAGAGGGTGAAGGAAGATGTCTCTTAATATTTGCGTTTGATGCATTAGCGTCCCGGAGCTGAAAGATACAGCAGCCGCGGGGCTCAGCAGGGGGCAAGGCGATCGAGATCCCGATGACGACGGAAAGATGTCCTAGTATCCAAGTTTTTGTGAGCGGCTGAGGATCCGAATCGCCTTGTACAATGGATCACGTCGCCATACCGATAGCTGTCGCTCCTGGCCGTTCAGAAACTAGATTTGAGGCTGGCGTCAGCCGTTTCATCGGCTTGAGCTTGCAAACTTGGCCCAGAGCTTCATGTTGTGTAACATGAGGTCTCTATCAATGCTTTTTCTGCTTGTCAGTCGGCATTGGCAGCCATCTTGGCGAACTGTTGTTTTGTTGATCACAGAGGATCCTCGATTGTGAGATGAAACTGGCTATGTGGTTTTGCTCCGGTTATCTTGTCTGTCTTTTTTAGCTGGTATCGTCAAGCCATCCATACTTCTCTGCAAAATTCTCATTCCAACAGATTCTAGAGAAACTCGGTGACATAACAAGGACACATAAAATGACAAATGGGAGTGATGAACCTGGCTCGAAGATTAATTATTCTGAACTATCCACGTCACTATCAACGTACTTCCCTTTGGAACTTGGACCATGTAGACAGGCAGGCCGTGAGGTACTTCAGATAGCCACAGGACGTTCCAGCCTCAAGATCGGGTGCTAGTTGTTCCCGACTTGGGGAATTCGTTCTGATGACCAACCAATACTCTGTTGGTCGTCGTATTGAGTCTGATATCCAGCCTATTCCAGTCAGCTAATGTCGAGTCCGTCTATGTCAAGAAACGGTGGATTATCCCTCGACGCATAGCCCTGGCAAGCACATGTTGAATGCTTTCATGTAATATATACCCCATTTAATGTCTGTTACTGGGTGGATTCCCGTAATCTCTATGTAGGTTTTCGTAATCAGCTTCCCCTATGACGTGGTCATTCATCGCTACATAGCCACGTGATTGTTGAGAAACCAAAGGACGAGAAGCAGCACCATCATATTTTCCTCGCTGTCTAAGGTCCAGGAGTTATAAGGACTACAGCATGATATGGTCACATTAATGAATATAGAGTGATGACTGAACAAGCCTTGATAATACATTCCGATGCCAATGTTCATGACCTGACGCTTCTCTTCTCTCGGTGGTAGCTTTTCCTGATCCTGTCACGACTCTGGACGGTGCGGGAATGATAGATCTGAGCACGAATCCAAACCCAATTTCACGGCGTGGCATTGCCCCAAGACTTGAACGGTGGCATCGGCGGAAACGACGCCGTACATGTTGGCCTTAAGTGATGTGGTGTTGACGACAGAATCAACCACAGATGTGCGGTCAGTAATCATAAAAGGAGTGCCAAGAGCATTTTCAGCAGTCACGGGGCTGGTTCAGATGAAAAAGGTAACAGTTTACACTGTGAAATGTGAAGTTAGAATGGCTGAATGTAAATAATGCTGTTGAGTTCGATGCCGAAGTATTTAAATACTTAAAGCTTCAAATAAAGATCTGACATGCGTTCGAGAGCGAATAAGACATTAAAAATAGCCTGTTAATCCTTGAATTATAAGTAAAAAATGGTTGAGATTCCATTGATCGCCACCTTATATCTAAATCCGCGGTTGCTTCGTTAGGAAATCATTCAGCTCGACAGCCATCGGTTTATTTCAGAACTGCGCCACAGGTAAGCAGACCTATTGCTGTATAGATGGTATTATAGTTATTCAAGACCTTCAACTAGTGTCTCGTTGCCGTCTCTTTAACGGTCTCACCCAATAACGTTTGAGAGAGCAGACCGTATCCCAGTGCATGTTAAGATCGAGCTGTTGAAAAGATTTGACTGACTGCTCTTGTCTCCAACCTCGAATGAGTAGGGGGCAGTAGCGGGATACATCAGAAGTGATGGATACATCACATCGAGTTACTGAGTCGCAGTTTTAGATGCAATGCCAAGTTGGCTTAGGCAGACAAATGGGTTAGTAGATAGAAAGATTGGATTTCTTGGAGAAAATATCGTTTGGCTTGCTTATATGGAAAGCCAAGCTGATGCTGTACATTGGAACACATAAGCGATTGGGGAATCTTGAAGGAAATTGGTGAAACTTTGCCCACGTAAATGAAGCTGTATTATGATGTTGCAAACTATGGCATCTTCCGAAAAGGAAGTTCCTAGTTGTTCTACAGGGGTTTGATTGATAACACATTTTTCCTTGCCGTATGGCCCTGAAGAATACAACAGGCGAAGACCCTACCCAGGTGACGGGGATTAGAGCTGCTGAAGATGGAGAAATTAATGAGGAACTAAAAAAATGCACCTTAGATTTTCCAACAAGAGGATGACGAGACGGAGATATATAGTTAAGGACATCGGATTTTCATGACATCAGACTAATGTGCCAACAATGTGTTATCTGTTCAAGAGGCATGGCTTAGTTCGTACTGCCTCATATAGATACATGATAGAAGCTTGTTAAGCAATGGGGCCGTAGAAGCTGAATCTTCCGTTGGGGTCGTACTTCGTCTTCAAAGACTTGAGACGGTCCTGGCGCCACTGCTCACTACCGTACCAACCCGTTGGAGACTCATCACCGAAAGCGTAGTTCAGGTAAACATGCTGCTCGGTGCGTCCAGTGCCCTCATGAATAATGTCGCGAAGTTGGTTGCCCAGCGTGGCGGCCTGCTGGTCAAGTTCCGTACCGTTGGGGGTGTAGGTGATGAGAGGGGCGAAGAGAAGGTTGTCATCACGGTAAGCAAAGGCCGTTGAGTCGTGATCAATAGCTCGCACGCCATCGACTGAGTAGCCTTCAAACATGAAGAGCGAGTTGTTAAAAGGTGAGTCGCCCTTGATGGAGGACGCGAAGAGGTCATATGCCTTGCGTTGAGACTCGATGTTGTATGACTGAGTGTAGATGGGGAAACGAGGGTTATTTCCGCCAACCTTCTGGCAAGGAATAGAATCAAGAGCGATACCAGTCCACGCCGCGAGATCAAGGTAGGTTCCGGACTCCGGGGTTGATGAGATAGGGCCAATGTCGTGGAAAGGTTGGGTGTAAATGGGGTCAACGGTGGTAACGCCCTCTTGAATGATCCAGAACAAAATGACCGGCTTAACGATTATGATTAGTAACACTTACGAGGTTTGTTTCAGCTGAAAATGCACTCACGTTCTCGGGGTCAACATCAGGGTTGTTGAGCCAGTATGACCAGTTGACAACATCAACAGCTTGAGTACCGTTCTTGACAAGGTGCTCGTTGGCAGCTTCATAGACTTCTTCAACTTTGTCCCCGCTAAAGATGAGAGTGTCGACCGCCCAATCGCGGTGCTCGATGTCGTAAATCTTGACGTTAACCGATGTCACGATACCGAAGTTGTGACCGGCACCCTTGACGGCCCACCAGAGATCAGACGTCTCGTTAATGGTCTGCAGGGTGCCATCGGCTAGTACAATGTTCATGGACACAAACTGGTCAGCGACGAGGCCATGACGGCCCTGAAGCCATCCATGGCCACCTCCCAGAGCAGGGCCCAAAGTGCTGACGCATTCACATGTTCCCGTTACTGTAGAATTTGTCAACACCATAGGGCGCACCAGGTGTTGAGTCAAAGCGTTCTGGCTTACCTGTCTGCTTCCCGGTTGCCCATAGTGCGTCGGTGACATTTTTGGACATGGTGCCACCGGCAATCTTGGCAGTTTTACCATCCGCAGATACTTCAACGCCGCTCAGCTGGTTAATGTATATTTCGATGCCACTGTCCATTCTCCCAAGGGTTGTAATAGCGCCGTGCACGCCATTGTATGCCAGGAAGGGAAGGCCCTGTTCGTTGGCAAATTTGACCTACACCGCGGTTAGTTAGCAGCTCGACTTGTAATCTGAAGAATGTAAACTACTTACAATCTCGACGACGTCATTCTCAGTGCCAGGAACAACAACGAGGTTAGGCTTGGGTGCATCGAGGTTGGACCACCGAACGGAGGCCTCGACGAATTCAGCAGTGCCCGGCTCAAAGATCTTTGCGGTAGGCGAGAGTCTCTGTCCAAGCTCAGCTGTGTCTCTGCGGCAGATGCCTCCAAGCATTTGACGAGCGACGGGCACGTTGAGGCATGCAGAAGTGATCGCCCATGCAGCTACAGCTGTGAGAATTTCCATCCTGAATCGATGCATCTTGGCAGGGAACGGGGACAAAACAGACAGGCAGCCGGATTGGCAAAAGATAAACTCTCGGATGTAAGGATACAACTGTTTCACCAAGTCGGGCCAGATGTCACCCAGATCTCTTCGGGAAGTTTGAAAGGAATGTGATTGCAGAGAACGGCCAGACCTGGTGGACGATCGCGGCTAATACCATGCTCATTGTCAACGAGCAGGGAATCAACCGTTATTTATTGCATGTAGTACCGTCAGTGGTGGCAAGGAGCTAACTTTGCCGAGCGCAACGCAGCTTGCATTTTTTAATTTCGGTTCTTTGGTCGGGACTCACCCTGACGTGGTATTGGCATGCAGGAGGCCCTGCCTATTCATCACTAAACCATCACCGGGCCAGATCGAAGTAGTTAAGCCCCCTTTATCCTTGCCAACATGCACAAACATAGTCCAACTCTCTCGGAGATAGCTCCTGCAAGTCGTCCAAGCCCGTCCGGCTTTTGGCTGAGGACTGATCCCCGCATGTCCTCGTAACGAAGCCTCGTGAACTTCGGAAGATTCTTCTGGTTGCCCCCTTCCCTGCCTAGTTACGTGCGTGCACATACATATATTCCTTTATTTTTCTCAAGCAAGCCGCATACATGCGATTGCTATGCTTCCAATTACCACCGACATCACAGCGGGTCCCGAAGTGAGCCCGAAGGGAGGAGCCTATCTCGAGGCGAAGAATATCATTCCTTCCGGCCCCCTCGCGGATAACTCCTGCAATCGAGTGCACGTCTTGCGCGGTCCGTACCTTGTAATCCAACGGCTGCTAACTTGTCTACTGCCAAGCTTCCAGTTCATGGATAAACCTCCGAGGGCTACGCTACGCTACCCCAAGGCCACAGTTCTAAGCGTAGCAGGGGCTTGAAGATATTTCCCCACTGCTTGCCCATCCTTCTCTCTTGCAGCACATTCTCAATGGCTGCCGCAGAACTTGATGTCCTCTGATGCTCAGCTGTGTGGGGCTTGCAGTGGTGCAGTTACTTGATGCGGTATGCTGAACGAGCAGAGAGATTTCTAAGGTGACGAGTTGTTGCACCTGTAGCCGAATAGCATCACCCAATGCACAAATGGCAGCTGAGTGGAAGGCTACTGTTGGAGACGAAGCTCCAAGCGGACTGAAAGCAGCACGCTAGAGTGCGCACCGGAAGTATCAGTGCCGGGAGTCTACGCCTCCTAGATGCATTTCCTGGAAGCTTTGCCTCTCGGGCTATTCTGACCTGTCATTCTGTCAATCAGGCCAATGTTTCTGGTTGTAATTATTGTCTTATTATTTTTCTTCCCCCTCCAGGCGTTCGTTCGGGCATGACCGTCTCATCACAGGTTTTTGGAGCGAAGGGTTCGATTGCTCGAGATTTCAGGGCAACGCAACAAACATCTGTTTCCAACCCTGGTGGGCCAGGCATTAGTTCTCGTACCACAGACTGGACCAGTCGCCCCGCCTCCTCATCACATCACCCGAGGTATCCTCAATACCTTACTTTATCGTAAAGAAAGGGAAGCATTGGGTGGGGTTGCTCAGCACCGGGGAATCATCCGCGCCCGCTCGGACCTCGTCCAGGGTTCGAAAAGTTGCGCATTCCAAGTTGGGCAAGGTCCCGTCCCAGTTTTTGTCATCCTGTACTAGAGCTTGGCAGTGGAGGAAGTCTCCATCAACTGACTAGACATATATATGGCTTACGCATGAACTGTGGTAGAGGGAGTCGAGTTCCAAACTTGCTTGCAATAGTGCGTTTTTAAACACGTCTGCTCCGGACTGTGGTTGATTAGAGAACTGACACACAAATAAGTGGCGTGGATGCAGGTGGGAAACCCCCTACGATTGATAGTATGGGAAACTTTGATCCGATCCGGATCCATCCTCGTTATGCATCGCGTAACAATTTGTAGACCCCCGGAAAAACGGAAGGAACGCCAATCGCCAAGAATATTAAGAAGAATCTGACGCAATAGGAAAGGTACGTGAGTGTAACATCGTCCTACCTGTACGTTGCCTCCGCTGGTCAGCATCGCGTAGTGTTCTCCAGAAATGGATCTCGTCCGACGAACATGTTCAAGAATCTTGAACCCTTACAGCTGCTCCTTGACTGTTCTGCTGCTCCCCTGACACAGTTCTTGGTTCGTGGTGTTGCACCTCGGAGATGGGCTCATGCAAACTGAAGCCGCATGGGCCCCTGTTCATATACCAGAATCATCTTTTGATGCTGAGGGCAATATCTCCCCCTTGAGCACGTTATAGTTGTTGCAAACTTGGTCTCTAACTTGCACTTTTAGGCCTGTGATTACGATTTTAATGGCTGGTCTCTGGGGCTTGGGCAGCAGCACTAGCCTGTCGGCCTTGATTGAGACATCTAGACTTTTGTGTCAAACTAATCTGTTTACTTTAAGCTTTGCGTGATACGCACCCTATATGTATCGATGAAATCCCCAAGAGCCTAAAGCCATTTCTTCTGGCCGTTCTTGGAACTCTCGCCTGCCCTCACTCGCTGCTGCCGCCCCGACCCAAGGTAACCAGAGCCGACATTGTCCAAGTGTTAATGTCCGATAGTTATCCCATGGACCCGGCCGCGCAAGCCGTCGCCGCTGCAGCTAGTCGCCAGTTCACAATCGAGGCATGGACATTGTACGGAGTTGGCGTTGTCGTGACCATATTTCGGACATACGCTCGAGCGAAGGCCGTAGGATTCCGGAATTTCCGGGCTGACGATTATCTTGTGTGGGTTGCGCTTGTATGTGTCCCACACGATCCAATTGAACCCTATGATCAATGCTGATCCCAATCCACACAGCTGTTCTATACGGTTCAATCTACACTGGCACATAGCGTTGGCAGCATTGCCCACGGACTTGCCAACAATGGTATGTCTGATGAAGAACGGGCGGCTTTGTCTCCTGACGACCCAGAATTTGGATTGAGGTAAGCAATTCTACGTAATATCTCCTCGCAAACACTTACTGAGATTTCGCAGAGTCATTGGTTCAAAAATCCAAGTTGCTGGGTGGACGACCTACTCTGCACTCATCTGGCTGCTGAAATTGTCGATGTTGGTCTTTTACCTCCGTCTTACAGTGAGCAATACCCCAATCACGGAAGCGCCTTTGGTTAAGAACTGACATCTCAGTAGGAAGGTCTGGGCCGACGGTATCGCATGCGCATCTGGATCGGCTTCGGTCTCGTTCTCGCAACTTCCTTCGCTTCTATCGGTGTGGTATTTCTGTCATGCATACCCTTCGACAAGTACTGGCAGATCAACCCAAACCCCGGAAGTATGGTTTTTGTGCCTAAAGCCTCTGTTTGATTGTTTCTAACAACTGATTATCTAGATTTCTGCCAAGCCGCCGTTTCCTTACCCATCATTTGGACTTCCTTCGCCGCAAACGTTTCGACCGACATCTATTTGATACTGATTCCTATTCCTCTATTGTGGGAGTCTACTTTACGCCTTGTGAAGAAGATCGCATCGACTGTCGTATTTGGTGCAGGCATCTTCGTCTTAGTCTGTGCAACTCTAAAGAGCGTATTTGTTCTCGTTGTATGTTGTACCCTGAGTCATTGTCTTTAAACTCTGAGCTAAAAACCGGTATGCGCTCAGGATCCCGTCAACGGCGCTCAACTTGCAGGCACATGGGGCACACGCGAGACATTTGTTGCGGTAGTCACGACAAACCTACCCATGATTTTCCCGTTGATCAGAACATGGCTCAAGCCCCTGTGGCCCAGCGTTTTGCGATCTTCCAAAACTTCCAAAAAGGCCTACAGAACACCAAGCGGCTTCCGAACAATAGGAGGCGGTAACGTGGATTCGCGTAGCCGAGATCGCCGGACTGGTCCACCGCACGTCAACCCGGTCGCCTCCAATTCAACCTTCACCGAAAGCGAAGAGCGAATCATGAAAGATGTCAAGTTACAAGATCTTAACAGCTCTCCGTCAATCACTTTTGGAAAACAGTCACCGAATACGATCATAGTGTCCAATGAGATCGAGGTCACCACCGAGGACAGAACTAGTCAGTTTGGTGAGCAGCGCCCTCGACGTGTACACGATGCTTGGTAGCAATGGACCGTTGAAAAGTCGGTCGACTTCAATCGACTATTTCCTTTTTCCAGCCAATGCCGGTTTCGTATCTCAAGCCTGTTATCTTTTCTGAAGGTGATTATCGAAATGTAGCATATCTAACCATGTTGTATAGCTGAGCGTCATGCAAAAAGCTGGCTTGACTGTTGAGTCAAGTGAAAGTATCAACTTAATTCTCAATACGCGAAACAAGGTTTCTTGAGAGTATGATCGTTCGATGCAGTCAGAAAAACCATTTGCATGGTTCCTCCAGCACATTCTCGGAGGTCTCCAATGTTTATGTAATGAGTTTAAAGAGACAATCACTCTCCAGAATGAAGCCTAAAATGAGATGTGAAAAAACAAAAGACTTGGATAAGCTAACCCTACACTATACCGGCAGTATGAGGATATATGTTAATCATTGAGGCTTGCGTAGCAAGAAGTTTGGCGGTGCAGGACGTCACAATCCGGGGATCGTCCATCGCCACAACTAAGTCAGAAGTAAGCTTTCGAGGTCAATCGTATTCACACAGCTATTTGGGAATCTTCTTGAGTATGCATGCACGATTTGACTGCTGCGGGCCACTGGAATACTAACGAGTCTTATGTGTTCGTCGTGCCACGAGTGTAGGTTTCATTCGGACTGATAACACTTTGCCTAACCAGATTGAAACTGCACCAAACTTTACATTCGTCAATTGACATCTGGGTAAGCATATCTCGGTGCAAACACTAAGATGATTATAAACTACTAGGCGGTCATTCGCCGCCTCTAACATTGCACATAGCTTCAAAGATTGAAGATCCACTTTTGGGTCTTCAGCGTGCAGATTGCCGATCATGTAGTGGTTGGTAAGCTGGCTCCCCAGCCAATCGATAACTCACTCTAGAGCACGATGTCGGTATACCATGCCCGTTAGTGTAACGTAAGACACGCCTACTCGTCATCGTGGTCGCAATCATTGCACTCAAAGACGCTATTCAATGGGGGTTTGGCCGATTGAGCTTCGCAAAAGGGATTAGAGCGCCAAGAGCTTTTTAACGAACACCCAAGTAGCATTGACCTGATGAACATGCATGAGAAAAACGTGGCCTCTTTAACTCACACAGTTGGCCTGTGATGGGAAAAGAGCGACGTTGATGTCACATCACTGATGTAGTTTATTTCATTTCAAATAGGCAATAATCAACAGAAGGCCGAACTGGCTATTCGGTGTATATAGAACGTATCGCCGGCCAGCATGCTCTTGCTGGTTGGATTGAGAAGCTCATGCCCCAAATCACAATGTTGGCTTTCAAGACCTTTGTAGCCGGCCTTTTATTGGCTCACACAACTCAAGCCAGCTTCGACGGGAACTTGAATTATCACAGTCCATCTCATCGTCACCCAAGACTTGGAGTTGACGTGTCAACCGTTCAGAGGCGCTCATGGAAACGAAACAATGTCGCATACACCCCAGATCAGCTTCAATTCACTCATGGGGTCGCTTCGGGAGATCCATGGCCCAACAGTGTGATTCTCTGGGCACGCATCGCACCTTCAAGCGAGTCTGACAGCAGTAACGTGGTTGTCAATGGAACAGCACCTGTGTACAACCATGAGACAGAGCGATACATTAAGGCTGATCCGAACCCAATCTGTGTCGACTGGGAGATCTTTGAAGGAAAGCCGTCTAATGGCAGCACGGGTATCAATTCAACTCAATCGTCAGTTGTTGCTCATGGAAAGGCGTACACAACATCTGATATTGACTATACCGTGAAGGTGAGTGACTATCATAACTGACTAGGGCGTGATACTTAGCGTTCACTGACTCAAATGATACTCCAGGTTGAGGCGACTGGACTCCAGCCGTTAACGATCTACTATTATCAATTTAGTGTCTGCGACTCCAACAAGAAAAGCCCTATTGGCAGAACTAAGACATCCCCAACCGCGGATGACGATGTCACCAATCTCAGCTTTGCTGTCTTGCAGTAACTACCGTGTGTGAAGCACCTTCCCTTACAAAACACATGTCACTAATCAGCATCCCCCAGCCAACGGGTACTTCAATGCATATGGCAATGCTGCCAGAAAGGATCAGCATGACTATGTTCTTCACCTCGGAGACTATATCTACGAGACAGGGAAAGAAGGTGAACGTGGAACAGCTCCCTCAGGCACTATTTTCACCCTTCAAGACTACCGAACACGGCATGGACAGGTGCGTCATTTCCACGGTAACCAAATCGTCTCTTCCCACCCTCCTCTCCCTCCTTACTTGGTATTGGTTGAATGTTGAACATGAATACAGCACCGAGCCGATCCTGACCTCCAGCTCCTCGCAAACGATTTTGCTTGGATTGCCACCTGGGATGACCACGGTAAGTGAAGCTTCCTGCTCCGGTTGCAAGCTCAGATCTGACTTTAGTCTAGAGTTCGCCAACAATGGCTACAGAGATGGTTTCAGTGGCCTTAACAACACAGAGGAGTCGTTTCTCAACGATGGGCCGCAAGTCAGCGTCGATTCTCGCAAGGCTAATGCCGTAAGAGCCTATTTTGAGTGGATGCCCATCCGGTGAGTATTCTACTCTTCCCTTTATTCGGGTCGCTTTTAGAGTAACGAAAAAGATCAGACAGACCGATCTCGACGATGGTCTTAGAGTTTGGAGATCATTCAAAATGGGAAAGCTGTTAGATCTCATCATACTCGACACCAGAAATTACGATCGAAGCATCACGTCGCTTGGTAAGTTCAGATACGTTGGGTGCTGGTAGAGCATCCCCAACATGACTGAATGCTAACATTTGTATAGGATGGAATGACGAATACATTGATCTCATCCGTGATGATCCCAGCCGCACTCTAATGGGCTCTCGTCAAGAGAATTGGTTCTACAGGTCTTTAAGCGAGTCAAACGAGCGTGGTGCGACTTGGCGTCTCGTCGGAAACCAAATCATTTTTTCTCGCATTGTGGAGAGTGATGACGGCATACTCAGCGGAGATAATTGGAATGTGAGTTCAATCTTCTACCATCTTCCGACTTTACTGGCTCGTAGGTGTTCGTAATGATACTAAGTATGACTACAGGGATACATTGCCAACCGAAACCGCACATTGCAGCATCTGTACGACCACAATATCGGCAACAACATCTTCCTTGCGGGAGATAGTCACCAGAATTGGGTAAGCAATTTTCCAAGGCTGAAAGCCCGTAGGTCCTATCATGGAACAAATTAGTGACTGGTAGTCTAGGTTTCGGATCTTGCATGGCTCGGAGTGAAGGATTACGATAATACGAGCGGAGCTGGAGGCATTGGCGTGGAGTTTGCTGGTACGGCTGTCAGCTCAACCGGCACTCGCGGCTCTATCGAGCCTACGGTTGGCAACTACTCTCGTGCAAGAATTGCCCAGAATAAAGAGTTGATGTGGCAGGAGGGCTACTACCGCGGATACTTCACTCTCGAAGTAACGCCCGAGACAGTTTCTGCCCACTTTTTTGGTGAGTGATTGCAAAGTCAACGATTGCTTCCGTGGTCACACGGCTAATCTGACGCCACGACAGGCTCCCCGTCGGTTGCCTCGAGGAACTCTTGGGACATTCCACTGGCAAATTTCACAATAGTGTCTGGCGAGAACCATGTGAAAAGACCCATCGCAGGTGGTCTAGTTGAATCAGGTGCATTGAGATTTGGGGAGGTGAAGCATACCAATCTGAGCTTGAACACTGAGACGCGTGAGTGGGATGTGGTTGGTTATGAGCAAATGTACCTATGAAGCACTGGTGGAAACACCTTTTCGAAGGGAGGAAGCTTCGATCTTGGATCGAAGTAGAGTTAGCGGGTATGCAGTAGATGCATTTGTTTATACTCAATATATTCAACCCTGAAAAACTATCTTCACGAACAAAGTCCGAACACTTTCGTTTTGCTAGGGTTTGGCCAGCTTGCCTAGGTAACCGATGATATTTTACAGTCAGCTTACCCACATCATGAGACGACAGCCTGGCCTACCGTCGTCCATACACCAGCATATGCCCAACAAGCGCATGATGCGGAGTACCGAAATGATCATTCCCGCGGAATCAGTAGGTTTCGGGGCCGGTTTGCACATATCTTGAATAAGCTTAGAGGTGCTGCGTTCGCTGACAAACTCATGATGGCATGGATCTTGTAGTGTCGATATGCAGCATCCCTTGTCGTATGCCCTGACCAATCATCCCGCTTCCTCAGTCCTCGGCGCCGAAATGGCGGGTCTCTGGACCTTACAGCAATTCGGTCAGCAATTATATCAGGCAGAGTGAGGAGACTTAATAGCACCTTCATGTTGTAGTTCGACACTCCTCTATGATTTCCCAATAGCTTTCTCTTCAAGGAAACAGGAACATTTAACCACCGTCATTACGTTTCAAAATGAGCGCTACCACTACACTCCACCGACGCATTGTCTTGTCGAACCTACCCCTCAATCCTGCTGATGGATCAAGCAACACTGAGCCCGCAGTTGAAGTCTTTGAAGATGAGTTGAAGACAGAAAGCCTTTTCGGAGGCTTTGTGCAGAGAACAGCGGTTGGTACTATCTCAACTGTTCCCGCCAACAACGAAGGAACGTCAGTAATTACGAGCTCGAGAGTCTCACGCGAACCAATGTTGACTTTTGACAGAGGGTTTCTACCATTTTATGGGGTACCCGGAAGTGGCATTGTTTTGCCGGGAGGTATTAATATGTACTTCTTAGATCTGGCCCCAGGAGCTACAACACCGATGGTTAGTGTAGATTCCTTCCCTCACTTTTCTTATTTTCGCCCCAGCCATAAACTCTTCCTAATGAATAACAAACTACGTGGCATGTGTGTAATTCTAACAAATGGTATTCAGCACCGAACCGTATCGGTTGACTATGTCATCGTCAACCAGGGAGCGCCTACGTTGATCACGCCAAAGACGGCTTTCCAAGTTGCCAACGAGAAGGGAAATTACGAGACTGTCGAAACCTTGCTTCAATCTGGTGATGTTGCTGTTCAGCGTGGAGCCATGCATTCGTACGTTTTATTGGCCCTAGTTATCATGCCTCTATTTGATTCGATTCTTTGTGCTGACAAGAATGCTATTTTGAAAGATGGGCAAACAGAACTGGCTCTTGGGTTCGGATGGTAGGTGTAGTTATAGCTGCAAAGCCTTCGGAGGTGGTTACTGGTGGAACTCACATAGAGCTGGGCGAAAGATGGCTTCAATGATGGTTCGGATAGGTTCTCATACCTATTGCCGACTACGTGCAGTCATTTCGCATCATAGATCTGGGAGAATCTTTTGTAACTACGCGCAACGGGCAATATTTAGTTCTTTTTCACGTCACAAAGAGTTACTCAAGACATTCTTCATACGCAACTTCTTTTGTTAACCGGTAACAATAATTTCCTATGTGATTTTGCTCATTCGAGCTGTGTCAGACAATGGAAGCCGAGCGCTCACTATTTGCCTCAATGCGACTGTAGCTCCGCTCACCGACATGTGTGTGTAGTCAGCAGTAAAAACTGCTACCAGGCCAATCCCAAGGAGACGGTCTAGACCTTCGCAACCGAAAGCAAAAAAGCGCCGGACTACTGCGGCCTGTCCAGTCCATCTGCGGTATGACGTCAGGAGTCCCCTGTCAATCCTGAATTCAAGGCAGTAGAAGCCTCAGATTCCGCCATTCGACGCCAGTCCCAACAGACTGGTGGCTGAGCGTCCATGGAATCCTGTTAGCACTGCGCCATTTCCGGATTCGGGGTTCTTCTTATCGCAGGGACGTGTGCGCTTTTCAAATGGACTGGTGTCGGGCGACATCGCGCAAGGGCCGGAATGCTGCGATCCGCTCGTCTGATTTGCTGCTTGTCGCCGCGTCAACCTCTGAAGCTTAACCCAATCCTGGGAATTGGTAACCGCGATGGCTCGTGAGATTTGCTGATGGGGTAGCAGCAAAGGACGTGCACTTTCCTTGCGGTGGTGAATATGATATATCCCGCGGAAGGCGTCTTTTTCTCTCCCGACGTGTTTCCATCTTGCTCTCGATTCCATTCTTTCAAATACCCATTCGCCCAAAGTTCTTCTCTTTACCCCTCCTCAACCCCTCATTCTCATCCCCTTTTCCCAGGCCCAATCGTCCGTCGGCCGCCACGACTCAATCGCCCATCATGGGAGACCAGGAGCCGACCCCCGAGAACCACACGATGATGCAGGGCTTCGAGTGGTACGTCCCTGCCGATCAGAAACACTGGAAGAGATTGGAGAAGCACGTTCCGCAGCTCAAGAGGTTTGGCATCGACAACATTTGGATTCCCCCAGCGTGAGTGCCATCTATCGATTGAGTGCCACACCGATCGGTCGGCTGATGCTTAATCCTAGATGCAAGGGCTCGTCCAAGACAGGAAATGGTTATGACATCTATGATCTGTATGTCCTCAGGCATTTTCCCCTCGAAAGGCCAAGCTGACTTCCAAGGTACGATCTGGGTGAGTTCGACCAGAAGGGCTCCGTCGGAACCAAATGGGGAACCAAGGAAGAGCTTCTGAAGCTCGCGCACACCGCCAAGGACAACGAAGTTGGCCTGTACTGGGACGCCGTCCTCAACCACAAATTCGCAGCTGATCGCAAGGAGAAGTGCCTCGCTGCCGAGGTCGACCCTGAGGACCGCACCAAGTTTGTCACCGACAAGTACGAGATCGATGCTTGGGTCGGATATGACTTCCCCGGCCGCAAAGGCAAGTATAGTGAAATGAAGTACCACTGGTATCATTTCAGCGGCGTGGATTACAATGCCAGGAATGAGAAGACTGCCATCTACAAGATCTTGGGCGACAAGGGTGACCAGCAGTGGGCGGACAGCGTCGACAATGAGAAGGGCAACTAGTAAGTATTCAGACCCAGCCCTTAGACGTCTCATCGAAGCTTACGCGCTTTTAGTGATTTCTTGATGGGTTCTGATCTTGACTACGATCACCCCGAGGTTGTAAAGGACGTGCTAGATTGGGGCAAGTGGTTGGCCAAGGAAGTGCCACTCAAGGGAATTCGATTTGACGCAATCAAGCACTATAGTGAGGACTTCCTGCGTCAATTCATTACCGAGCTGGATAAGGAGTATGGCAAGGGATGGTTCTTCGTTGGCGAATTCTGGAAGGACAGCCTCGACGACATGTCCGAGTACCTGGCGCGGATGGGCAGGCGATTCACACTCTTTGACGCACCTCTGGTCTATAACTTCAGCAAGATCAGCAAGGGTAACGCAGCCGACATGAGAAAGGTTTTCGATGGAACTCTTGTTCAAAAGGAGCCAGTCAACGCTGTGGTATGTCATCACCTCTCTCTAATGACCTGATACAACCTAACGTCACCAGACACTGGTCATGAACCACGATACCCAACCGTACCAGGCTCTGGAGGCTCCCATTGAGGGCTGGTTCAAGCCCATTGCGTATGCTCTCATCCTTCTCCGAACGGAAGGCTACCCCTGCGTCTGGTATGGCGACATCTATGGCATCAAGGGAGAGCACCCCTTTCCACCGTCATGCGGAGGCGCTGTGCCCAAGATGACACTCGCGAGGAAGCTGTACGCCTACGGCAAGCAGGCCGATTACTTTGACTACGCGACGTGCCTTGGTTGGGTCAAGTACGGAACTTGGGATCGTCCCTTTGGATGCGCCGTCGTTGTCAGCAACGCCGGTCCTGGATCTAAGCGCATGCACGTTGGTGAGATGCATGCTGGTGAGGTGTGGACTGATGTCCTCGGGTGGAATGACCGGGAAGTCACCATTGGCGATGACGGCTTTGGCGAGTTTGTATGCTCCGGCACGTCCGTGAGCATCTTCGTAAACAGGGAGGCGGACGGTAGGGAGAAATTCAACCAGGAATTGTAAGCACCAATCAACCCCTCCACCCCGAAAAGCAATTTTATAACTAACTTACGACAGCGACTCCAACATCTACGAGGAGTAGGTCAGATTATGATTTACAAATTACTCGCTGCCACTGAAACCAAGGGAACCCAGGCACCGCAGAAAGACTGATCATAACCGTAGAAAACATGTACTACGTATAGATGATTCAATCCAGCCACCCCTAATAACCTCTGAGATGAATAAAAGCACTGATCTGCTATATAGTCTTTGTAATTTAGATTAGAACTATGTGACATCTACGCCCTCAATGAACACATACTGCGGCGATCAGCCTTTTTATTTATTTATTTATTTATTTATTTAATTTTTTAAGAAGCTCAGTCCACGATGCCAAGAAGTTGGGCATCTACGGCCCCACAAGAACCTTTTGACGCAACTGACAAAGGTGTTGAGCTATAACAAGATCCACCATCACCGGCGAGAGTGCTAGGAGCTCGAGCCTATGTGTTATCTTTGGTACGCCAAGCTGTAGCAAAGCCGACCGGGCCGGGCGGCTGTGGGTCTAGCCAGTCCGGCCCGGCTGTGGCCCCACTGCTGCGACACCGGACTTTGTGCGTTTGTAGTAAGACACTAGCATGCTTTACAGCTATTATTACATGCATCTGAATAGCCTGATTCTCCATGGAATATGTTTAGGATGAATACATCAAGATGAGTGCTTGGTTTCTAGAATGCCAACATGTAGTTATTGTTGAGTCACTAACAGATGTTGCGAATAATTGTCTTACTCATACAACCGGAACCACCGCTCTTTGAATGAAGAGACTGGCAATTTTCTTAGCTGGTAAAATACAAACCTGCATGGACTTGGGCGAAGTGACGATGAGTGTATGGAGAGTTGCAAGGAGCTTCCCTTCTTTTTTTCCCGCAAGCCTGATTGTGTCTCCATTCAATGCAAATATTTAATCCCCTCTGCCCGGTTCAAGGAACGCTCAAGCTTGACCTCCATCGGCGACAAACATCCAGATACTGTCCCTCGCTGATGTACTTGTGCATCCCCGAAGCCAAACAACCAATCCCCGCAACGTGACAAGTCGAGACCCCTTATCGCCGATAGGGACCCGGCCCCCCACGTCATATCCCCGCCGTAGGGCCATGGGCCAAATTCAGCAAGTAAATGCGGAGTAGCTACGCGGCGTTCCAATTGGAAGCTCGCTCCGGCCGTCCCATCGTCGCCTTTCGATGAAGCAGTAGAAAATGAGCTTCTTCTTTCTACTTACTCTTCTGCCTTCTCGCAAACTTGCGAACTTCAAGTTGCTGAATGCTTCTCTCTCTTCTTCTCTACTCCCGAATACTCCTTTTGCCCGCCTTCGATTCAAAACAGCGTCATTCACAGTGACCCCGCGTCTGTTCACATCTACCCCTCACAAATCTCGATCCCGGACCACCGTCAGTATGTCCGACCTTTCCGTTGAGCTGACGGCTCCCAATGGAGTCAAGTACACCCAACCGACTGGTCTTTTCATCAACAACGAGTTTGTCAAGTCTGCGAAGGGCGAGACAATTGAATCGATAGACCCAGCGTGGGTGATACCATATCCGATCCCCGAGGATAGGCTGACATCTGAACCATAGCACTGAGGAGAAGATCGCTTCTGTCCAGGCCGCAGAGGAGGAAGACATTGACAAGGCCGTCAAAGCCGCGTATGCTGCACTGAGACATGAGTCCTGGAAGGGGATCTCGGCAACAGATCGTGGGGCCATGATGTACAAGCTCGCCGACTTGATAGAGCAACACAAGGAGACTCTCGCAACCATTGACGCATGGGACAACGGTACAACTTTACGACTTTTCTCGTCAGCCCAAGAAGCTTACTGACAAAAAACAGGCAAGACGTACAACGACGCCCTTGACATTGACCTGGCGGAGTGCGTCACCGTCATCCGCTACTATGCGGGCTGGGCCGACAAGACTTACGGCCAGACGATCAGCACTATCCCTCAAAAGTTTGCATACACGATTCGCCAGCCCATTGGAGTGGTCGCTCAAGTGCAAGTAGCCTCTCCTAATACGAGGACCGGGAATGGATACTGACCTATCTCAGGATTCCTTGGAATTTCCCGTTGTCCATGGCGACATGGAAACTTGGCCCTGCGCTCGCCTGTGGAAACACCGTCGTGCTCAAGGCCGCTGAGCAGACCCCTCTCAGCATCCTCTTTCTTGGGACCCTCATCAAGGAGGCAGGCTTCCCGCCCGGCGTGGTCAATTTCGTCAACGGTCACGGCCGCGTTGCAGGTAGAGCGTTAGTGGGCCATCCTCTAGTCGACAAGGTTGCCTTCACCGGCAGCACGGCGACAGCCAGAGTCATTATGAGTGAGGCGGCCAAGACGCTCAAGAACATCACCCTCGAGACTGGCGGCAAGTCCCCCTTGCTTGTCTTTGGTGACGCGGATCTCGAACAGGCCGTCAAATGGTCACACATGGGAATCATGTCAAACCAGGGTCAAATCTGCACTGCGACGTCAAGAATATTGGTCCAGGAGTCCGTGTATGATGAGTTCATCCCCAAGTTCCTCGAGACGCTCAATACCGTCAGCAAGGTCGGGAGCCAATGGGATAAGGACACTTTTCAAGGGCCTCAAGTGTCCAAGGTCCAGTACGAACGCGTGCTGGAATACATTGACATCGGAAAGAAGGAGGGCGCCAAGCTCGCTGCCGGCGGGGAGCCCCTGAACATTGGCGGCAAGGGCAAGGGATTCTTCGTTGCGCCCACGGTCTTCACTAACGTCACCACCAAGATGCGTGTGTGGGGTGAGGAGATCTTTGGTCCCGTTGTGGTCATTGCCAGCTTCAAGACTGAGGAGGACGCTATCAACTTGGCCAACGACAGCCAGTACGGACTCGGCGCCGCTGTCTTTACGCAAAATATCGAGCGTGCCCACCGTGTGGCTTCGGAGATCGAGTCTGGTATGGTGTGGATAAACAGCACCCAAGACAGTGATCCGCGCGTGCCATTTGGCGGCGTTAAGCAAAGTGGTATTGGCAGAGAGTTGGGCGAGGCAGGTCTGGAGGCATACAGCCAAATCAAGGCTGTCCACGTCAACATGGGCACAAAGTTGTAGTTTCTATACCAATAGCTGTTGTTTTAATGACCAAAAACTTTAAGGCGTGTCGTATTATCAAGTGATTTAACGGGAAAATGACCAGATTGTATCTGCCGGGCAGGAGCTTCAACTTTGTTCCTTACACTTTCCTGATCCCAGCACTATCTAACCGGCTAACGTTACCCCTACTCCCATCTCTTGACACCGGTAACGCCACTGTGATTCTCTTCGGTATCACTGCTTTCATCTGAATATACTCTCCGGCACGCCTGAAACAACGTCAAATTGTCCACAGTCTTCCAGTCTGGCCCGAAAGTGATGGCATCTCGGCTTTCATCCCTCCAATAACATTCTCAATCTCTTTAAGCGCATTACTAATATCAGCAAAGCACGGTCTAACAGAGGCACAAGTCTTATCGATGTACATAAATCTGGTTAATTCTGTAAGGCGGCAACAGCTTGTTCGATCTTGGATATGCCGAAAAAAGCTCACTGACGCTACTAGACGTCGCTCGTTCGTCTTTGTTCCAAGCGATATCTTTGCGGAAGCGACTAGATACTATCAAAACCGCCATCTGGCTTGCACAATATGTCATTTGGGGAATTTCTCTCTACTTTGCCAGAGTCCTAGAAGGATTTCGAAAGGGCTTTCCATCAAGTCTCTCTCCCCCAAGGAAAACCTCCCACTCGATAGGCAATCTGCACGACATGCTCGAGATCTGACTTGAGCTACCGGTGGAAGTGAATTGAATCAAGGTCCATTCTCGACATCTCAGGAAAGACATGACGCCACACCGTGGTGACCTCACTCAGGATAGATGACAGAGGGGATATCAAATGTCCGGTGAATAGTCGTGATCTCAGCTGGCAGCGAATGATGGCAGCTTCCATGAGGCTTATTGGCACCTGAGCCTTCATGAACGTAGTGAATGTACTGATTCCTGGAATGACCTCGGTCAAGTTCCGTGTGCTGATCCTTGAACGAATGACACTGCTCGAATACAAACCATGGCGACAACTGATCAATGAACCGAATTGACCGAGTTCGTTACGTCGCTTACTCAAAGAAGGTGGCCCTCCGAGGCTTCGAACAAGCTAGTCAAAGCTACCGTATGTAGTTTTGTAGGATGCATTGCGCCGAATCTATGGCCAGAAACCGCTAGTGGGAGACTGGCCTTTGGTACTTGGCAGATGGAATATTCAGTCCGAGAGTCTCGCTGGGTGGGGTTTAACGAATGAAGAGAATCTCCTCAACGAACTTGACCATCCCTGCCCTAGCGTCTCCCACCCCGCACCCGGAATTTCCGGTTCATAAGACACACAATGCCTAAGGTGGGTTTGTCGAGCTCGCCACACAAACCTGGGGTATTTCCACCTGAGAAACGTCTAAATAGACTTGTAACTAATCCTGCTCGAACTGAGCTTTGAACGTGAGTGGGGCCGTTGTCATGTTCCGCTGTCAGGCAAAGCAAACTTGGTCTTTCCACACAGATATCTATAGCTCCGGTCAGTCACTCACCTTAATCACAGTCTAGGAGACTGCCTCTCGTGTACGCCGCTTGCCGGGCTACGTCGAGCGTTGGACTTTTACGACAGCATGAATGCAAGCTTCGATACCGTGGCTTGCGGCGATCGTCATTATGAACGAATCAAGGGACTACCTACCAGCCTTCTCGGTGATGTCGGGGTAAAGATGCAGCTTGACCTGGGGTCTGGGGCCCCAGATTCTAGATACAACAGAACAAGGAGGGATAGGCTGCATACAAAAGCTACGCTGCCCCACTGGATGATACCTCGATCCGATTCATTGGACAAACAGGGGATCTGTCTCTCGGTATTATACGTTCTGGTAATCCGTTACTGTGGTTTTGATCCTTTATCGGGCGCCTATTTCAATCCAATCTTCCCTCTGTGCCTTGCCCACGATAAACATTTGACATCGGTATTCGAAGCATTCTTCTTCGTAAACGACTGTGTCTCTAAACACCGCAGTCATGGGACGCCTTACGACAGTGTTCTCAGGCGTCTTCCTTGCTATAGGGGGTTTCCTCTTCGGCTATGACTCCGGTATCATCACCTCCACTATTGCCCTCGACACATTCGAGGCGTACTTCAGTGATCCATCGGACACCGTTGCCGGGGGTATCGTGTCAGCTTTCCAGGGTGGTGCCATCCTTGGTACTGTCTTCAACATGTTATTCGCCAACAAGATGGGTCGTCGTCATACCATTTTCGTTGGATCCGTCATCTCATGTCTCGGATCGGCTCTGCAGGCTGGCGCAGTCAACATGACCATGTTGATCATTGGTCGCTTCATCGGTGGTGCGGCCGTCGGCATGGTCACCTCGACGATTCCGATGTACGCCTCTGAGTTATCAGAAGCTAAATACCGTGGAACTCTCTCTGGTTTGCTGCAATGGATGCTGAGTTGGGGTTTTCTGGTCGCGCAATGGCTGGGATACGGATGCTCCTTTTCCAAGTCCCAATTCTCCTGTAAGCCTGCCCTGCTTTCTGCCCAGTTCCTCCATGTTTGGCTGCATTCTTAGACTTCCGCCTAGCAATCGAAGATTTTTGTCTGATCGATATGCAGGGCGTTTCCCTCTCGCTTTCCAAGCCATCCCTGGTGTTATCCTCGTTGCCGGCGTTTACTTCCTCCAAGAGTCTCCTCGATGGCTGATGGAACGAGACCGACACGACGATGCCCGCCGTTCCCTCGGTAAGCTCAGAAGCGGTTTAGACGAAGAAACGATCAATCTCGAATTCCGAGAAATCCGAGATGTCATCCTTGCCGATCGTGCTCTCGGCAACATCTCGTGGAAGTCTATAATTACCAAGCCATCATGGCGCAAGCGCCTTATTCTGGGCTGTGGCGTGCAGGCGCTCGGGCCGCTGAGTGGAATCAATGTCATTAACTATTACGGTCCTCGAATCTATGAAATCTTGGGTATCGGCACCCAGACATCGTTGATGATCATCGGCATCAGCGGTGCATTGTCAATCGTATACTGCACTATTGGATTGTGGCTACTAGACCGCATCGGCAGAGTCAAGCCCCTGATTGTCTCCGCAGCCGGTATGGGTGCTGCCCTGTTGGTCAACGCTGTCCAAGCTCAATATCTGAATGAATACAACGCCAACCAGTTGCGAAGCATGGTTGCCATGAACTTCGTCTTCAGCATGTTCTATACACCTCTAGGAATTATCAGCTGGGTCTATCCTGCTGAAATTTTCCCTGTCGAAGTCAGAGCACTTGGAAACGCCATTACCACCTTCACAAACTGGACCGTGAACCTCATCTTCGCCCAGATCTCACCGGAGGCATTGACAGCCATCGGCTTCCGGTATTTCTACGTTTTTTTCGTTCTCAATCTTATCGGAATGTTGTGCTACATATTCTTTTATCCGGAGACCAAGGGGCGGACGCTTGAGCAGATGGATGAACTTTTTGGAGACCAACTGGTACCTCACGCTATGCAAGACTCGGTTGGTGCCGCCGCGGCTGTGTCGAAGGACAAGAAATTAGTAGAGCAACTCGATCATGTTTAGCTTCTACAATGCTGAGGATGGCGAGAGGGCAATGCATCCCTTCAACACAGCAATGTTTGACGCCTATTACGTATGGGTGGAATGTCATTGGGGTTACGATATAGGCCAGTCTTCGATGGAGGGATCATGTCGAAGGAGGAGGTGCCTTAAAAAGACAACCGCTTCAATGATGCGCAGTGGCTAACTTAATAAAACTGACCATAATTAAAGTTTGTACCTGCATTTGTACGCTAACACCAGGTTTTGTCTTTCAAGTCCTTGTGCGATCTCTAGGGCGTAGGTAGACGTTAAGGGTTCCCTTGTGCCACAATAAGTACACCTCACCGCGTTCATCCCAGTCTTTCGATCATTTAGTCAACTCCGTTTTGAAATTCAAAATGATACGGGCCATGATGAGTCTCATCTCTACATACGCAAGGCTATAGGCCAGTCTGTGGTTAGTAATCCGTCCATATATTCCAACCAACCCATGAAGGTGACTCACTTTCTGCCAACTAAATTACGCGGGCCATACAAAAACGACTGAAAGATATCTTTCTAACCGCCGATACGTCGAGGGTCCCCCACATGCGTTGGTCCCGTTAATTCCAAGAAAGAGAAAGGAAGTAACGGGAGAAAAAGAAGCAGAGGCTGGGAAGGGGATTTGAAGCATTGGGATGTGAAAATGTTTTCAAGCTTGTAGAGGGAAACATAGCATGTATCAGACCATCTCTTAGGCACGCTGAAATACTTGAAGCGTCATGCAGAATATCCGAAATAGTAATAAAGAGACACGCGGCAATTATTTATTTGCTGAACTTTTGGTCGGCTGTGGGTTCTGTTATCCACAAGACAGTCTATTGAGAGTCTCGCGGCCAAACATTACGTGTCTCAGAAGCCTAAGCATCGAGCGCTTCTAGATGCTATGTATCCAGGCCTTGATGGGCAGACTCATGGGAAGCTTACGCGGACTATAGGGAGTTCTTTAACTTCACTCTACTTCAAGAGGCTTTATAGGTCAAAAGAATTTGAGAAGATACTGCCGGCTGCATCGAGGTGTATTTGAAAAGAGCTCATTGACGACCATGGTGACACACTTAGAGAGCACTCAATAATTCTGAGGAGAAATTTGACTGTGAGGCTGTGATAAGAATGTGGTGTAAGAAGTGGTTAACAATTATCACTGTATTGTACTTTGGTCCTAAACATCAGAATAAGACTACACAACAGTGAATCGAAGAAGTAAAGAATAACGTAGTAGATATGGCCGTTAGAGACAATGGATGCATTTCTTCATTGTTATTTTACTCACTTTATAGAACCTTGTCACAAAAATGGTTGATCACTCAATCTCGGAAGTTGGGATACTACCGGGGACACTAGAAAGTACAGGGACGGCATCAGAGAATAGGGAAGGGGATTGGGAAAGTGAGGGAAGGTGCTGAGAATGAAGAAGAAGAGATCTTGCTAGTCAATTACTTAATGTCTTTTCTTCTCTAATCTTTGAACTCTTCACCTTTTTGCTCTTCCCACTTTCTCTTTTAGACAGCCTTGTGTGCCATCTTTGCGTCTCACCTTTCTTCCAGCAACCTTCACCTTCTGGACGTTGCTTCGAGGAATAACGTCTCTTTCTTCGTACCATCCTCTTCCTTTACTATTTTATCTTTCTTCTTTTTCTGTCGCTCAACAAACCATTCCATCGTCAAGCATTCGCTTAGGTTAAGCCTATGTTGGCAGTCATGGATTTCGACGATGACGACTCGCTCTTTGGCTCGCCGCAATTTTCGCCAAGGGCACAACCCTCTAGGGACACTGCCGGTGCTCCGAGAGATTTGAATCCCCTCTGTCTCCCCGGTATGAACGTTGGCTCACTGTCACTAACTCCACAGGTGAATTCCACAGACTTTGATGTGGCGCAGGGTCAAAGAGGCATACCGACTTCACTTCAAAGCCCTTACCGGACACTTTCACAGGCCTCAAACCCAAGAAACGTCAGCACGTCCACCAGATTACGTCCTTTTGCGAGTCAACAAGCCTCAAAGGAGTCAAATGGAGTTGAGCTATCAACATACGTTTCGCCGACATTGGAGGCTCTCAGGAACCCCACAGGCCCCGTTCGTCTCTTTCCGACTCTTCCTAATGACCCATTATCCGCCCGTATTGCTTTACCAGCCATTTCGACTTCGCCCTCTTTGCCAATTAACGGTTCTTTTCAGCCACCTTTGTCCTTTAACACCCCTCAAATTGCCTTGTCAAGCTCACCACACGACATGACATCCTTCGATGATAGCTTCACTGCGTCAAACACAGCCACCCAAGGCTCCAAGAAGTGCACCAAGTGTAACAAAGACAGGCTGCTTTCAGATTACGAATACATGAGCCCCATGGGACAACAGCAGTCTCGTGTTCAGTGCGTTAGCTGTCGAGAGAAGAGAAGAGCCTCAACGGCGCGTAGCAAAATGAAGAAGGAGGAGACCGTAGCCCAGGCACGGCTCCGAGCGCAACACCAAGAGGCACAAGACCGACAGCAGCAACAGCAAACGATCGGAACTTTCCATGAACAATCTTCTCGCTTAAACAACCTTCAGTCACTTCATAGTGCTACAACGACGGCGTTCTCTCCTAGCCCAGGTCGGAACGTTGAGTTGGTAGCCAAGAGCTCTTTTATGCGAGATCCAGCTGAGCAGTCGTCTATTCAATCATCTCATATGACCCCTCTGAACCTTCAACATGAGTTGCCCAATTCTCTTGGTGTAAGTGTTATTGTTTAGTGCTGTTACTTTAAGTATACTGACAGATTCCAGTTCGAAGGACCCTGTCCTGCTACAAACCTTGCCTCTTCAAGTCTTTCTCCATCGATGGCTCAGGCCTTATCTAGATCGCCTTTTGCTATTTATCCTTATGACCCACAGGTTGTCCAAGATCATAATGTAAGGTTGTCGGATTTTCCCTTCCTACTAGCGTACTGACTGGTTTGCGCAGACTCTTGAGTCAGACTTGTCGAATTTCGTCCATCTCACCTCTTTGCCCCTACCATCACCCAGCTCCGTCTTGCCACCGGATCTGCGCATCGAGGACAACATTTCTCATGAACAACAGCGGCAGATGGACCATTGCACTCATCACAACCTTGTCACTGTCAAAACCCTCCCTGTGACCCTCAACGAGGCGGAGATGCAGCTCCTCATTGACCAAGAGATGGAGAGATTCCATTTGAGTAGTGGAAAGTGTCACTGGATGAGGGATCAGGATGAGGCAACTTTGCAGCAATGTTGGCGAAAGCGAGAGGCGGCGATTGTTCTCGGACTCGTTGAGGTGCCCCCGCCCAACTTGCAGTCAAAAATTGGGATTATACGCTCAGAGGGCTCACATGATTTCCTGCCAGGCGGTAATGATGATGTTTATCCTTACAATTGAGACAAAGGCAGGATTTTTTCTGACAGAAGACGACGCAAGCAAGTCTTTGTTGTATGCAGGAAGGCAACTCAAGAGTTTGGGTGAACCCATAGTTACCGAGCCCTCTCCAAAATGAATTGCTTCAGTTATCGTATATGCTCTCGCAGCATCAGGAAACACAGTTGAGTTATGAAAAAGAAAACCTCGCAGGAGAATAGTATTCAGTTGAACTGGAGGACTTCGCCCTAGAATCTTGTGAATATAGCAAATTGTCTCATCATTGGGGCAGACGTTTCAGCATTCAATACTATCTACTAAAAAAGCCATTTGAGGAATTTAAGAATGGGCAGAGAGCTATAACTCATCATGAAGGATTGATTCATGACACCATTATGCTGTGTCTCTCTTTGTCCTGGTGCAGGTTGACTTGGGAGGCGCTGTTTTTTACAGAAGACACTGCTCCAACTTGTGTGTGGATTACGGGTGGACACAAAGCATTTCGAGATTTGACGTTTAGGTTATCATCGTTAGATCGTTCAGCCAGCGGAAAATAATCGACATAGGCTTAGACGCTGCATCCACTTTTCCAGCCACTGTATTAGGGGCTAATTAATGGGAACCTGGAGAGTTATCAAACAAAGGCATGCAGATGTTTGCGACAAGCGCCATGTACAATCCTCCCAATTGAGCGATGATTCATTCTAACAATCCTTAAATGCGGTGTTTTGGCCTATGTCCTAGGGCGTTTGTGGTTGGCCAGCCTTCATGATGTCACCATTATTCGCGTGTGTCAACAACGTCATTTCGTATACGTGCCATGCGCCAAAGATGACGCGTATAGGCATCACCGATCCTATAAAGGTCCGGACCAGGAACCTCTTTGAAGTCTACCTCTTCATCACAGAATACACAATGAATAGAATTGCTATCAGACAAACCAAATTATTCGTTGCGTCAGCATCCAGAGTCAGAACCATGTCGTCCCAAAACCCCATCCACAACACCGCCGAGACCCTCGGTCAGAAGAAGGACACCAATCCCGCGAAGCCTAGTGTAATCTCTTCCGAGGGCGCCATTGGCAAGCAGTTCAACCCCGATGGCAACGTTGGTCAGATTGGTAAGTGTAACCAGAAAATGGCTGCTAGAACTTTGACTAATTGTTGTTAGGCGAGGCCGTTGGTGGACCCTTCTCGAAGGATGGTGCGATCGGAAGCCAATTCGATGCCAGCAAGGGTGGCATTGCTGGCACCGTAGAAAAGGCGGTTGACGGACCCAGGAACCCAGCGAAGAAATAGATTTTCCAATCTCAACGGAGGAAAGAGCTATCAACATTTGACCTTATATTGTAATAATAGAATTTCAAATGGGCTAATAATCCATTGAGAACTCTCCGCATATGGCTTCTTTCGTTATTTGTACGCCCATGTGAACTGTATATACGTCTCGGTCCGACTCTTTCCCCCACGTCACTATAGTGGTTATAGATTTTGGAAGAATCTACATATTTATGATTGATACCGAACAAATTTCATCGAGTCGGGATTGCCCTATCATGGTTGGTGATTGGACCTCCATTTCATCAAGACACTAAGTGTACTCTAAGTTTTATTATCTTATATATTGTTGTTTAATTTTATATAGTAAAGATATATGCCATGGATAATATTCCTCGAGGACGAGTCCGTTGAGCACGCTGTGTTGACTAGTCTTCATTATAAGGCCCTGATATACGTGGTATTGCATGTGCGAGGATAAGAAAGATGGTATGGAATACGGATCGTGTTATTTAGAAACAGATAGGAAATATTTTTGAATAAGACGCTTGTTCAGGCTGTCTTTCGTTATTATGTCACGCTCGTGGTATGCTTGAATTGCTATGGGGCTGTCGAGCGACTATTCTACTGTTTCAAACACAAGTTTGTTGAGTTAAACGTTTAATCTGATGCTTGGATCACTAGCATAAGTTGGAGTGAGCTCCGTGGTTTGGACTGCGAACATCATAAGCTTGACATCACGACTCAACTCATAATCTCATTCAAGTTTCTATGAGCACGTCTTGAGCGTCTTCAATTGTTGAGCAAGCTGATCTCAACTCGCCCAGAGAACAATAAAACAATGTGTTAGTAACAATGTTATCCTTGCTTGGTTCTGCTGAATTAGATGACGCTATCAAGTGTTGACTACATTGTGAGAATTAGGAACGGCCTTTTCAGGTGATCCTCTAGTTCTCTCGCATCTTTGCTTCCCCTTTGAGAATGTCTCTTACGAGAATGTCCGAAGCACAGTGTGTTGTGCCCTCGAAGATCTCATCAATCTCTTCTAATGTTTTACCTTCCGTGGCCGGAAAATAAAAGTACATGATGGGCAGCTCAAACAGGATGTTCCAAAACGCTGTGATCAAATAGAACCCCCAGTCGGACCATTCCATCGCATACGGGATGGCAAATGTATTCAAAAATGCCGTCCCGTAGACGAATCCGTTGTAGAGACCCAATCCGTTGCCTCTCATTGAGTAGGACAGAACCTCCACAGGATACAGAGTTGCCAGTGGTGTCCAGACCAGTGAGTATGCACCCATAAAAAGGAATATCATCGAAACTTGAGCTGCTGAACTTGAAAATGTCGGGTCGCCACTATACTGCTTTGTCAAAACTGCAACAAGAATGAGAAGACAAGATATGAAAGCCGTATCGACGACTGTAATGTGAACATTAGTGGGAACCCAAAGTAAGGCATCATACAGGGCCTTTTTCAGCTAAGTGCATAGATGAGGACTTACTAAAGCTTCTCCTTCGTCCCATTCTATCTGCAAAAAAAGAACCCACAGTAGAGGTGATCATGTTGAAGACACTCAGTCCAATGTTAATACCTAATTGAGTCTGAGTGTCTTGAATACCGGCGCCAGTAAGGACATTGCCAAGGTAATAGCTAATGATGTTGTTACCGCTCACTTGGCAAAAGACTATGAGAGCGATTAAGAGTCAGCTTGAACAGGCTAGAAGAGAAGTGGTGAACAGGGAGATCATACTAGCGACGGCAATGGTAATGCCAATCCGCCATCGGTTTGGCCTGGTATTGAACAAGGATATGTAGTCGGTTTTCTGGACTGTCTTCTCGTGGTCTAGCGTCTGACGGATCTCGTCATACTCGGCTTTAACCACCAGAGACTCTGAATCACCGTTGCCGTGATATTTGACCAGCATGGCGAGCGCCTCCTCGTGACGGTCTTGGTAAACCAGCCACCGAGGACTTTCGGGAATGAATGGCAGGGGGGCGATGCACAAGACAGATGGAAGTAGTTGGAGCTTTTGGTGGCAATCGAGTTAGAATGACATCAGATCAGGAGGTATTCCACTGTCCGAGCGTTCACTCACCAGGGACGGTATGCGCCACGACCAAGTTGAATCAATGAATTGGCTCCCGTAGGTAATACCAGCAGCTATGAGACTGCCAACGTACCAACATGCGGCATAAATTCCGGTAAGCATGACCCGATCCTTGGGGTGCGCGACCTCTGAGATGTATCTAGTTTCAATCAATTAGTGTCGTCGATCGACAAAGGAGTTGGTCGGTTACATACGCAGGGGCAGCAGTTGCACCGGTCGTCACAGAGAAACCCACAAGCATCCTCCCAATGCAAAACATAGCCTCATGAACAGCCACACCCTGGATGATGGCTCCAACTATTGCAATGATTGCAGTGATGGCGATTCCCCATTTACGGCCAAACCTGTCACTAATCGGTCCGGCAAACGGCATTGCGATGACTGACCCAGCAAAAACGATGGCTACATTGAGTGCGACTAGCGCGGTATTGAGGTTAAAGTACTCGGTGTACGATGGCAATATCTGGAGGCCGTTCTTTGTTTTGTCAACCCCTCGCTCATGGTTAGCTGAGACTGTGTGGGAAAAGCGCGCACCATCATTGAGGAATCATATCCCACAGTAGCCGAGTTGGCTGTCGCGACGAAACAGCATGCCGCAAGCAAGTAAGTGTTATGACGAGATGGCCTTTCTGTTGCCGCCTCTAGCGTATCAGGGTGGTTTGTTTTTGGCATAGTGAGAAAATAGGTAACGACGTCGAAAGGGTGTCAAATAGCTATTGCATGCCAGCAATATCATGTAAAATGGCTCCAGAAAGTTGGAACCCTTTGATAAGATATACACCTCCTCAGGCGACTGATATCAGTGATATCAGTAATACCAAAGGCCTGTCCGGGATGGTGATCCCACGTGGCAGGGTTTTGCAGGGTAGCACGTCGGTGTTCGTATCTTTTCGATAGGTTGCATTCTGGAGAGGCCTTGGGTTGAATCGAGTTAGCCGATCATACCCACGAGGTATTCCAGACATCTTATTCCCGGATCATCATGACTGTAGTCAGCTATTTGCAGTAGTCTTAATTGCAATGGGGCCTTCCTAGGGATGTTTCGCGGGGATTGTGGTGTGCACTACTAGTGACTACTTGTTTGACTTCGCTTGACCAAATACGAGGAAGACCAAGAACTCGGGTTCTTGATTGCAACTGCAATGTGGAGGAGTGCCTCCTGATAACATAAGATATGCAATTCACCAAAAAGTGGATGCTGTCGTCTCTTATTCGTTACGTACAGGCATCCATTCTCTGACCCAGCCGATAGCAAGGTAGCAGGGCGGGCGGGGTATGTCCGAAGAACAAAGGTATGATCCTCAACTGGCGGATTATGGTCTTTCGTTTGCATTGAGGTGCCTTAAATTTGAGCGAGAATTCTTTTGTGGTCAATCAATCTCGCCTGCCATTGAAGTTAAGTGTGGTGGCCAATTTCACCTCACAGCAATGGAGATGGCAGAATCCACGATACGTCAACTGCTCGAGCAACTCACACTCGAGGAAAAGGTTTCACTACTCGCTGGCTCAGACGTTTGGCATACGCAGGATATTCCCAAATATGGAATTGGGTCCATAAAGGTTAGCTCTGACCCCAACACTGTCGTCTTAAGGGAGAAATAGTGCATTGCATCTCAAACCTTCATTTGATACAACACAGACTGACAAGTGCGTAGACAACGGATGGGCCTTCGGGTGCCCGAGGGAAATTCAGCGTTGATGGCACGAAGGCAGCTTTTGTTCCGGGACCAATGTGCCAAGCAGCCACGTGGTCCAAACATCAATTGAGGGATCTGGGTCGCTTGCTCTGTAGAGAGGCGAAAACCAAATCTGCCCACGTCGTACTCGCACCTACAATTTGCTGTGCTCGCAACCCCTTGGGCGGCCGTAACTTCGAATGCTTTGGCGAAGACCCCTTTCTGGCTGGTTCCCTTGCGGTGGAGTACATAACAGGAGTACAGGAAGATGGGAAAGTTGCAGCGACACCAAAGCATTTGTAGGTTTCCTCTGGCAATGTTATTGATTGCACGGGGTTGGCTAGCTTCAGTGAACTGGAGGCATATGGCTAACACTTCTGCTTCACAGCGTAGCTAACGAGCAGGAGCACGAGAGATTCAGTGTTGACGCGCAGGTCCCCGAGCGAGCGTTACGCGAGATTTACCTTAGACCATTCGAAATGGTAATCCGGGCCTCCTGCCCTCCTGAATGCCTCATGACAGCGTACAACTCAATTAATGGCAAGCATGCTGATATGAACAACTGGTTGATCGAAGAAATCCTCCGCAAGCAATGGGGCTTTCAAGGTCTTGTGATGAGCGACTGGGGCGGCACAAATTCAACCCTAGAGAGTCTCCTTGCTGGCACGGACCTTGAGATGCCAGGACCACCCGAACGGCGAGGCCAAAAGCTCCTAGAATCTTTATATGCAGATACACCAGATGTCAAGAAGGCACTGTCCGCAATCGACACTTCGGTCGCTCGGGTTTTGCGACTGGCTGGAAAACATGGGCTCCTAGGATTGACGCCCGAAGCAGCTTGCCGTACGCGGAATTCCCCAGAGGTTTCATCAACCACGGCCCAGGATGTACGGTTGATGCGTGAAATCGCGGCAAACGGTATTGTCTTACTGAAAAACAACGCAAAGGCTTTGCCGCTATGCGTGTCAGACTTGGATGGGAAGCAAGTCGCCTTCATCGGGCCCAACGCTTTGGTAGGCACGCCGGGAGGCGGTGGTTCCGCCAGTATGAACCCTCAATATCTTAGTCATCCTATGTCTTCTTTCCAGACGGCAGCGGCTGAGCTTGGCAGTAAGGTCGAGGTAAAATACGCCATTGGTACCGTCGCGCACAAATGGCTACCTCTGCTTTCGAAATCACATTGGTCAGCATCTGGTCAGGATGCGACCCAGTCAGAAAACTCCCTGATCCGAATCGACTTTTACAAGAGTTCGAGTCCGGAAGGGGCCATCGAAGAGACACAGTATCGAGACAGCTCGTCAATCGACCTCTGCGACAGCGCCCCAAAGGCGTTCCAGGTTGACCCGGTGCCTCCTTACTCCTTCCGGGTGACCTCGGTTCTGACACCTCATTCAAGCGGTACACATTGCTTCAGCGTCAGCAGCGTTGGTGATGCGACACTCCGAGTTGACGATGAGCTTGTTGTCGACAACCGAAACTGGACACAACACGGGGAGACGTTCTACTCTTTCGGAAGCGCCGAGCTCACAGGGAAGAAGTACCTTGAGGCAGGAAAACCATACCTCGTTTGTGTGGAAGGCTGTGTTCGGAAAGAGCCTCGGCCAGATCAGGCTTTCTCGTCAGTTAATCACGTCTTTGCCACGCATCCTTCTGTGCGTCTAGGTTACGAAGAAGAGCTTCCCGAGCGCGAAGCGCTCATACAGGAAGCTGTCACGCTGGCCGATGAGAGTGAAGCTTCTGTGGTTGTTCTCGGTTTGACTGATGAATGGGAGAGCGAGGGTTATGACCGACAGTCAATGGCCTTACCTGGGGGGCAAGATAGCCTTGTGGATGCTCTATTACGCAAGGTGAAGCGTCCTGAGAGGCTCATCTTCGTCAATCAGTCTGGGTCGCCAGTGGAATTGCCCTGGATTGATCGTGCGTCAACCTTCGTGCAAGCTTGGTATGGCGGCCAAGAAGCAGGAAACGCACTGGCAGATATTCTCTTGGGCACCATTAACCCCTCTGGCAGATTGCCCATCACCTGGCCCAAAGCATACTCCGATCTTCCGTTTGCCCATGACCCGGAGTCATGGCCAGGCGTGAACGGAACCGTCAAGTACAAGGAGGACTACCAGGTTGGATATCGTTGGTACAGCCACCATGCAAAAACGCAGCCTCAATGGTGGTTTGGTTGTGGGCAAAGCTATACCAATTTTGAGCAAAACATTACGTCCATTAGCTGCGCTGACACTGGCAGCTGGACAGTTGAGGTGTCAGTTGTGAACGTTGGAAACTGTGATGGTGCCGACGTCGTCCAGCTCTATCAGTGGCCAGCGGCAGATGAGGAGGAAGTCATGCTTGTCAGTTTTGCTAAGACTACGGTCATGAAGCCACAAGAGTCGCTACATCTAGCTTTAGAAGTCAACAAGCGTGATGCAGCTCGGTGGGTAGAGGACAGATGGGTCATTGCTCCAGGAGAGTATGTGTTTGGGCTTGGCATTGGAGCTATGGAGAGAGACGGAAGAACTTGGAAACTGTATCAAGATATGGCAGAGTGGCCAGCTGCCAACGACATGCAGTGAGTTGGTGGCCGGACTAAGCGAGGAGAGGTTGGGTTCGGGCTAGCCTCCAAAGTCTTGTTACAGACGGTGCAGCCAATTTTGATTACTTATTGTCTGCTGAGCCGCGTTCTTGCGATTAGAAGAAAACAAAATCGAATCAAGAGATGGAATCACTGATAAGATCCAGAATTAGTCCAAGTCTGAGACCTCCGAAAGGCTGTACCTCATGAGCTTCAATTGGAGAGATCAACACAAGCTCCAGAAAAGGAAACATCCCCAGAATAGAACGGCGTTACGACGCAGATCTAGTCTGTGATCAACTGCAGTCTGAGAGAAGCCAGTCAGCTTACTGAGTAGGATGGCAATGCATAGTAAATGCGGAAAAGGTCGGGATCTAAGGTGTAACGCGAGGCATATCAGAAGGCAAGGCAGAGAGACAACGACTCTTTAGCTTCGATAATCCCAACCCTATCACCTTTAGTGACCATTGCATTGACTCGGACTCCTAGCTGTTTGCTCGATTGATGATGACTTTCCGGCTTAGCGTCTTGGCTAGTGGCAGTGTATCAATAAGATATAACAACTCGTTTTAGTATAAGCTTTGGTCGAAGCTTTGAATTTCTCACAACCACTAGGGTTCTCCTTGTGACGCATGAATATGTGCTTTTCATCTTATTGATTGCATTCGGTGCCTCGACAACCTTGAGACGCCAAACTGTACTCGCTTACTTGCTCTCAGCACTCGCCTCATACCGACGTCGATGGTTTAAGCTCTCGAAATGACGACGCATCACCCGAGGAGTTCGGAACCCATAGCCATGGTAGGTAGGTAATCTTGCAATGTTTTGCGGCGCCACAAGCCGATCGATCTAAGTTAACGAGGAACTTTGGCCTGTCAGTATCACATACTAGGCTATCAAGACAGTATGTATTCTCAGGCACCCACACACACACACCTGCACTAGCTTCGCCAGGCCGCCGTCGAACCTGCCAAACAGGATCGATCATGTGAGGCAGCTCTCTCTTAAAAAGAACATCAACTTCCCCAAGGCGGAATAGATGCCGATCAATAAGGCGCGGCAGCCCGCGTGGTAGCCTGCAGCCTCAAGCACTGCACGGCGCATCCGAATATCCTGTCCGTACCCTGCACCAAGAAACCCAAGCGTCCAATCGAATCCGCATTTGTTCGTATTTGATAGACCCGATTTTCTGTCAGCCGAGACCTGTATACGTGGAATACGTTGCACGCGTTGCTTACAAGCCAAGAGAAACAGAATTTAGCCCAATCGCCCCGAATCTGTCCGAGACATCCATGTCGCAATCCAAGACCTAAGTCCCTTCTCACCACCGGTTCCCCCAACTCTTTTTAACACCTCCAAATTCAATCGCACACCGAACCTTGAGCGACACGGAGCGAACAGCAGAAATATAATGCGGGGAGGGGCACCAGGTGGACTTGGCGCCGGTAAGCGGGATGATGTGCTCGCCACGCTGCACCATAGTGCCTACGTATGCCGGCCGAATCCTACCAGCGTGCATATACTGTCTTGGCCTTGTCTACCACCTTGCTCTGTGAGCTTTTCCAGCTTCCGCTCCCTCTCATGTCCGTCTGATGTTTCCATCTTGTTTCGGCCTCCCAAGTTGGTATCCGGTAAAAGTATGTTATCCGTCCCACCGTTTGGATGACGAGCAACTTACTTTCCGTTAGGGTCGTATTTTAAGTAAAGCTAGCCTCACGCCGGCTCGAATCCCTAGCAGGGGAAAAAGAGGAGAGATGCTCATCCCGCATCAGCGCTGGTACGTAACGCTAGCACTGATCCTGGTCAGCGAAATGTCTTGACATACGTCGCTCCCTCCGTCCTTTTGAGCGCGTCGGGGGTTTCAATGCGACATGGTGCCTGTCTCTCATCAGTCCCGCCTTCCAAGGTTGCAGCTGTGTCTCTTCCCACGCAGCCACGCAAACGCTCCTCGGAATCAAGATTCCAGGCGCAACTGGGTGATCTGCAGAGAATACAAGCCCAGCCCCTCTTCGCCCGCGATCCATGGAGCCCGCTCCTCCATCATCTGTCCGTCCACCCGTCAGCCCGTCTCGATCACGGCAAGCCAAGCAGCTTTACAGCACGCAGATGCAGCTTCCCCTCCCCCAGGTTTTTCCCCACATGTTTACTTTATGCCCAGAAACGAACAACAACAACGCCAAAACGTTCAGCCCCTCCATTCCCTATCCGCCAAGCAAGCCCACGGGACGCCTCGCCTCCGCCCGGCCTGACAACTCGCGGTGGAATGACGCATGATGATGCCTAACCAAGAGTTGGATTGACTTAGACTTAGAATGCCTTGCAATTAGACGAGACAAGATAGTCCGAGTCGGCTCCATTCATCTCAACGGGCAAGACTCGCCAACACGTCCGGGTATATGAGGCCTTGTAGCTCCCCTCAATCCAAATGACATGTGAATAGCTGGTGTTCTTGGTCAGGCCCATCAAAAGTTGTCTGGATATCACCGTGGTAGCTCACTTGACTCTGTTTTGCCATTTGTTGTCTTGTCACCTTTTGTTCTCGAGGATCAGCCATACGATGCAGCTCACCCTGACGCTCCTAACGCTCGTCGCAGGAGCTTCGGCCGCGCCACTTAAGGGCATCGACCGCGCGACTATTCAGGATGAATACGACTTCATCATCGCAGGCGGTATGTCGCATCATCTTTATGTTGCGGGCTCATGATGGAAAGACTAACAACCACCCAGGCGGCACGGCCGGCCTCGTCCTCGCAAACCGCCTCTCCGAGTCCGGCAAGCAGCGGGTCCTAGTTCTCGAAGCGGGGCCGAAACCCGAGGTTGTATCGGCCTACAAGCCGCCCGGCGGCAACCAGTTCCTTGCCGGCACCGCCATTGACTGGTCCTTCTACACTACCCCGCAAGAGCATCTCAACGATCGTATCCTCCGCTACCACCGCGGAAGATGCCTCGGCGGCAGCAGTGTGACCAATGGATTATACTACGGCCGCGGCAGCGCCTCCGTGTACGATGACTGGGTCAGGGTCGGCAACCCTGGATGGGGGTGGAAAGATGTCTATCCGCTGTTCGTAAAGGTAACATGCTTCTTCTCTCCTCACCGAGCATGACATTTGCGACGAAGCAGTTGACTAATTAACTCAGGGTACGCACTTCAACCCCCCAGACGACCACGAAGTAAAAGGCTTCGACGTCTCCTACAAGACCCACGACCCCTCCGCCTATGCCGACGGGCCCCTTCAGCTCGGCTTCCAGGGATACGTCCCGCCCTCGGGCGTCGGCTTCATTGAGGCTGCCGCCGAGGCCTTGCAGATCCCCATCGTCAACGACCATAACACGGGCAACAGCACGGGGGTCAAGCAGGGAACTGGCCACCTCGATTCGAAACTTTTGCGCAGTTCCAGCTATGACGGCTACCTCAAGCAGGCCCTCGGCCGCAAGAATCTGGACGTGCTGTACTTCGCACCCGTGTGGAAGATCAACTTTGACAAGTCCGGGGAGAAGCCCCGCGCCGAGGGAGTCGCGTTCATGGACCATCCTACAGGTGTTGTTCATGAGGTCAAGACAAAGAAGGAGGTCATTATCAGCGCGGGTGCTTTCAACTCGCCCCAGTTGTTGATGGTTTCTGTAAGTGTTCGGTGCCTCAGTGTGAGTGCGAGATGAACCTGACCAAAGACGCAGGGAATCGGTCCCTCCGCCCAACTCAAGGAGTTTGCTATCGACCCCGTCCACATCAACGAGAACGTCGGCCAGCAGTACGCCCCCCCTTTTCTATCTTAGGTTTTCCTTTCACTAATCAAACACCAAAGCCTCAATGACCACTCCGTCTTCAGCATTATGGCAACCTCGACCCCTGAGTTCTCCACTTCGGACATGGCCGTGACGTACTCGGCCCTGCGCGAGGCTCAGAACGAATTCTATACGAACATGACGGGCCAGTACTCGGCGCCCTCGGGTATCACGAACGCCTTCCAGAAGCTCTCCGAGGACGAACTTAAGAAGATTGGCGCAGGCGACGTCGTCACCGCGGGGCTCGCGAATCAGTCACACATTGAGTATCTCTTCGAGAGTGTCTTTTACCCCAGCGGCCCCACGCCGTACTACACGCCTCGCAGCAACGAGACGTACATCTCCCTCACGGCGTCGAGCATGGTGGCGCTATCAAGAGGCAACGTCACGCTACGGTCAAACTCTATGGCTGAATTCCCCAAGATCAACCCTAACGTAAGTCCTTCACCACTTCTCTCCTCTCGTGCGTTTCTCTCTACTTCTCCAATGAGAAAACGACTACAAAGGCACAAAGGCTAACGTCCGTACAGTACTATGCCCACCCCGCCGACAGAAAAATCGCCGTCGCCTCCTTCAAGTACCTTCGCAAGATTCTCTCGCACCCGCGCATGTCCCAGTTCACCGTTGGCCCGAACCACGGCGAAGTCTCACCCGGCGCGACGGTAACCGAGGACAACGAGGACGCCATTCTCGCCTACGTCCGCGCCAACACGATCCCCAACTGGCACGCCTCGGGCACGAACCAGATGCTTCCCGAGGCGGACGGCGGCGTCGTGGACCCCAGGCTGCTCGTGTACGGTGTCGATGGGCTACGGGTCGTGGACTGCAGCATCATCCCCGTCCTGCCGGATGTCAACATCGTCGGGTCTGTCTTCATGATTGGGGAGAAGGGTGCTACTATGATCCGGGAGGATTGGGAAGATTATGAATGATCTAACGATGTATATAATGGAGTATTGCCTTTTGTGTTAGCAACATGTTAATAACACCGAAGGGTATCCATCGATACACAACTTGCCGTTCGACGGCGTTGAGATCCATCCATGGCTTATTTGGTCGCTGCTCGTCCTTGAGCTTCAATCTGGTAGTTTGCCATCATCAGCTCTCGCCTGGTCACGCAATGACAGTCAGCATTCTGAGCCGCTATTTACAGAGTTTCAATATCAAACTAACCATACGCTGGGCAATCCTTGTAGCACATTATCGATCCTGCATCTCCACTCTGCCATCTCAACTCTCCTAACTCCCCGCGGATGCTATCCAGCTGATTCAGATTCAGAAGGCAAGAGACAGAGAACCTCCAATTCAATGGTGGCAGACTGAATCAAACCAAACCAGGTTAATGGAGTATCACCAGCACCAGCAGCACCCGCTATACGTCCCATCACACACCACTTGTGTGGAGACCCGTAGTAGCAAATGTAAGCAACAAGATAAAAACAAACAAACAAAAGCATTCGGAGGCCTCCATTATATTGTACTGAGCTCGCTAGTATGATAGTCAGCGGACAATGGAGTTTCAGATAGTTGTGCGGTTCTGTGACCCGTCCATATACCCCATCTGGCCGCTCCGGAACGTGGGGATCGCTCGGGAACATCCATCCCATCCAACAAAATCAGCCCGTGCAAGATCGGAATATCTTGGAAGAGATCCTCCATAAACCGAGCCATAGCCGCCACGTTTCATAAAAGAGACTATGGTAAATGGATGGTGATTGGCGTCGGTGGAGATTTCGGAAGATGCCACGCGACATTTTGTGCCTCATCTTGTTGTATGGGCCCATTAAACACCAACATGAGACAGGTTAGAGAATCGAGCAGGCATCATAAATACGGGGAGAACGATAGTGGTCACGATGAGAATGAATGATGGAAAGTTTGCGAGTTTTTATGAATTCCTTGTTGTATTCTTCAGATCGAGATGCGAGAGCGCCCAATCCATCTAGTACACGATGCCCATGGCAGCCCGTGATCCCACCTCTTTCTCGCCAATGTTAACAATCATCAATCGTACCGAACCAGCTGTCCATATAGAATTCTTTTCATCCACCACAACACAAAATAAAATAAATAGATGCCTATCCCGGTTTGGGTGTAGTTGATCCCCATGTGAATCCCAACGCCTAGTCCCAGATATCAAGCTAGTATGCACAGAAATGGTGTAACGAACATAATGCCCGTAATAATGGCGCTAAAATGAAAGTGGAATAGAGAGCGTGAAAATTAGAGAACCAGCGACTCTAATCTTGCGAGGATTGGCTCCAGGCTGGCTGCGATGCGTTGCACCTTGGCCATGGCCACACAGGCGTTCTGTTCCTCTTCTGAAGCATCAACCAGTTCGTAGCGGGCAAGGACCTTCTCGGTCTCGACGCCACCGAAGATGGCGACGTGGGAGAAGACTTCAGTGTCCAATTCGATAGGGCCCTCAGAAGCAGGAGCAGAAGAGTGGTAAAGGGCGAACTCGGGGTCGTTCTCGAACTCGTCATCGAAGACCTCCTCCTCGACGAGGGCTTGAGACTGGACCTCGGGAGCAAGAACCTTAGGGGCCTCAATGGTGGGAAGCTCAATCTTCTCGTCGTCCGACTCAAACTGCTCACCAACAAAGTTGGAAGACTTGCCAGAGAGAACGTTGGTATCAATGGTGACAGGGACATCAGGAGTCTCGAGAACAGCGAAGACCTGGGGTTGGAAGTTGTAGGCATCGTTATCAATGTTGAGCATGGAGAAATCCATGTTCTGCTCCGGGAGCATGGCCACACCAATCTGTTGCTGCTGGCTCTGGTTGGCGTAGGGGTTGATGTCCTTTGGGATTTGGCGCTGCTCGGTTTGCCTCTCGACCTTGACAGGAGCGGCAGCCTGGGGAGCAGCCTGAGGGTTGGTGCTCAGGTGATCAAGGAAGTTGGAGAAGGAGGGCGAGGCAAGAAGCATACGGGTAAGATCCTGCAGACGCTTGTTCTCATCCTGGAGGGCGCGGTTGTGGGCACGCAGGTCGCCGTTCTCAGAAACCTTGTTGGCAATCTCGGCCTCGAGCTGAGTGATGTACTCTGCAAAATGGTCAGCAAATGGTTCTGTAAAGCTATCGAGCATTGGACTTACCCTTTCTACGAGAGCGGAAGGCGCGAGCGGAAACCTTATTGCGGAGCTGGCGACGCTCCTTGCTGCTAAGCTTCTTGCCCTCCTCGCTGGCCAGAAGTCTCTCATCCTCGTCCATGTCCTCCTCATCCTTCTTGGTTCGGGGAAGGTTCATGAGAGGAGTGGGGCTGTCGCCCTCTTGAGCGGGCTTAGCACGCATCGAGTTGAGGAGCTGAGTGATCTTCTGTTCGACGATGGGGTCGGTGGGTTGCTGGCTCTTGGTGCGCGGCTTGTGACCCATATGCTGCTGGCGCTGCTGCTGCTGCTGGATGATTTGTTGTTGTTGCCTCTGCTGGGCCTGGGCCTTGGCGAGGGCAGCCTGAGAGTGCATGCCAGGCCAGAGTCTGCCGACATTGCTCTGCTGCGACGGGACAACTGGCGACTCCTGACCGGCGATGGCCGAGGGGTTGACAGTGGGGTTGGGGAAGAAGTACTGAGAGTCCGGGGGAGAGTCGAACTCCATGTCCATGTCAAGACCGGCGGAGTTCTGCGAGGGAGAGGTGTTGAAATCGAAAAGGTCGTTCTCGGGGCTCAACCCACCGCCAAGATATTCCATGCCGTAGCCGCTGTTGTAGCCGCTGATATGGGGGTTGATCTCATTCACGGCCAGGGTGCTCGCCAGTGCGCCTGGCACGATGCCGGTCTGCTGCTTGTAGAGGTCGTACTGGTGGCTCGGGCCAGTAAGGGGTTGTGATGCCGAGGGCAGAGTCGGGGTCGCGACAGTGCTCACCGACGGACGGGTGAAGGTGTTCTTTGCGGTAGCGGTAGGAGAGAGCGAGGGAGACTGGTATGACATGTTGTCGTACTCGCTAAAGTCAAGGAGGGCGTCGATGTTATCGACGTTCTGATTCGAGGTCGTCATTGTCGTCGAATGGAAGGGTTCGATCCCTCAGGTATCGAGATATGTATGATGGTGGATTCAGGTCCGCACCAGGTCTATGGCGAACCCGTGTTGCTGTTGGTGATACCCCGAGAATGACAGGGTGGGAGTCTCTTTAATGTGTATCGGTTGGTAGTACGCGACTCGATGGATGAGGCTCGTGACGATGGATGCCAATGCCCGAAGTTGATGTTTTGTTTGGTGGTTTGGTTGTCTGGAGGAGAAGGAAGGAATCGAAGAGGGTTGAAGATGGTGGGTGTTGACGGAGAAAAAAGAGAAAAAGGGAGCAGGAACCAGAAATGGATTTTGGCGGGAGGTTTGGGGGGGGGCTAGGCGATGGATGTATGGGAAGCGTAACAGAAAGGGAGCAGAGCACGGGGATTCCGTTTCTTGAATGATTTGGGTGCCTGGTCCTCGGAGGAGCAGGGGGCAGAAAGGCGGGCCAAGCGGACTCTGGGCGGGCTGAGCAGGGATACTGTTCTCTGGGAAGGAGGGACGCCGAGGGAAGCAAACTAGCAGCCTCTAGCAGACCAGAGCAGGAAGGGGGGAGGGAGGGTGAGGGACGCCAGGAGGGAAAGAGGGACGCGTAAGCCCGGTGGACGACGATACCCGATTGGGACTAGCGCGGGGATATGAGAGAGACGGGGCCGGGTGTCCTTGGCCGATGGGGCCCGAAGAAGGTGCACTGGTGCGTGGTGTGTGTGTGTGTGTTCCTTCCCTCTCACTCTTTTCTGTCCCAGCAGCAGGCGCAGGTAGAGCAGGACTACAGGTGCGACACGGCGGTAGGCAGGAGGTAGATACTGTACAGTAGGTATCCGTAGCGGTAGAGGATGTAGGGACTTTGGAGGGCTGGCGCAATCCACGACCACTAGGCACTAAGTCGTCCCGTACGTACTTTCCTGCTGCAGCGCACACGAAGAAGGTACACGTCTGCGGCCTGAAGATGACGACGCCAGCTGCCCTTTTGGGTCGAGCTGCCCGCTTCGTCGTCGCCTACCCAGGGAAGTGAGGGTCCTTTTGGGTTCTTTTCACGCCGTTGCGGTCACTTTTGGCGCTGTGCAATTCGGCAAGGCCTCGTCACCGGCCAGATAGCGACCGCTTGTTTTGATATGAATTGACGACCTGCCGCCGCCAACGAGTGCAATGGCGCGATGTCGCTGTTTCGAAATGCTACTGTCGAAATGCTGCTGACGACGATGCCCACGACGCCGCTTATTGAAGAGTTTTCCCCCACTCTCCCTCATCTCTTTTGTTTCCTCTCTTTTGATTTGGGTTCGATATACGCAAGCAACAACGACGAGAATGGTAACACTGTAAGCCTGGCGTTTCCTCTATCGAGTTTCTCCGTGAAGAATCAGAAGGAACCTCTTGGCCGAGGCTTGTCGAGATGATTGCTGATGCTGCGGAATCCGGACACGAGTGGGATGCCGACGTGAGCGAATCCCATTCTACCTTAGGTATACGATGGTACAAACGGGCGCTGACCCGAACTGAATTCACTGCCCGACAGAGGCAGGCAGCGGAGAGTTGTGAGCGTGCGGTGCCCTTCGCTCGCTCCCCTGTTCGCTTTCGCTTGCGACGACGAAAATGAAACCCCTCGTACCCGGTACTCGATGACTAGCCCATAGCTACATGTAGACAGATGTACTGATACCGTGAGAAGTGAGATGGGGTGGCTGTTCCAGTTGGCGCGCTCTCCCCTGGACTACTCATTACTTCAGGCGGGGGTTGATTCATGTAAGCACCAAGCTTCCCTCGCTCTTCCCACCATCAACAAATGAGAGCTCGTTGTTTGGGTTGCTCGAAAGAAGGTTGTTTATCCGTGTGCTCAGCCTCAATGACTGAACCCCAAGTGGTTCATGATCGTCAATCTGTCCCAAGCTTCTCTCTCAGCTGCTCGAGGTGGGCTTGGAGTCTGGCGATATGCAAACGGTAGCCCCCAATCCCACACTCTTCGTACAGCCAGAACAGCCTGTAGCACTTCAGCGTTCTCTCGACACCATTCGATACTTCTCAACGCATCGTTTGCTTCCCGTTCCGGACGTCTGTTACCGCCTCTCGGCCTCTCGGCCTTCCCCTAGAAGCACTCGACACACTCTCGACTTCACCTAGAGTCAGGACACTTAGTACGGCAAAGATCTTTGACTTGAGGCTCCCGACCTCTGCCCACATCACGAAAGGGTCCCCTCCGAAAAAGCTCAGCTTAACTTACTCTCGCTTCAAAGAGGGTCGGTGTGGCCATGCGCTGACACAGGACCATTCCGTTCCTGCCGCCGCTTCAACACTTTCAGCTGCCCCCAAAGCCGAAGCAGTGCCCCGTCCGTACTTCTACAGCATTGACGACGGAAGAGAACAAGAAAAACAGAGTTTTGAGCCAGGGAGCCAGACCGAGCAGGGGGATACCTCTTCCTCTCACCCCGGGATGCACAGAGTCAAGCATCTCGTTCGCGGACGGCCTCGGTCATCGAGGCGGCCAGTAGCCAGATCCCCCGTTCAGGGGTTGCCCCGTTCGGTCTGGAAATGCCGCCATTCATTCCTGTGGAGGCCGCAGGAAGATGATGATTTCCGTTCCCTGACCCTGCCGCGATAAGTCATGCACTGCCACCACGAGATATCACTATCGAAGTCATCAAATCACCCGTCAAATTTGGTTCTCTGCTCGTCTTCCGGGCTGTGCCGCCGACACACCTGAGCGAGCCCATAGGAAGAACGTGGGGACAAGAGGTGGCTTAGATGAGCGACTCGGGTATTGTTTATCTGCCATCAACTGTCTAGTAGCCTTTGCTGGCGCCAACATAAACAAACCAACAACACTAAACGGAAACATCGGTAGGGCGAGATTAGACTTTTGGCTCTTTGCTGCTACATCACCAGTTCTGCCGAAGTTCGCACCCACCACTGCGATGCGGAATATTTCAATCGAAAACAGCCGCTCCGCGATTCTGCTCTTGATTAGGCTGATGCATGTTGGAAATTGAGCTTGTAACGGCCCCCAGGGTTGGAGCGGTAACATGTTCCTCGCTATCTCGCCTACCCTTGACGAGGGATTGCGAGTCCAGACCGTGAGCCGTCCGTCCACTTGTGCGCTCCAGCAGCGTGCTCCAGAAAGTCTGTCCGTTCAAGTCTCCAGATGAATTTCAGACCGCAAAACTGGGCCGAAAACTCGACACTGGTGCGGCGATGCTTTGCTGACAAGTTGAGGATGTGAAGCCGACCCCGGCGCCGTGTCGGCATTCTCCCACCATTTTGTCTGCTCCACCAAGTCTGCTCCACCAAGTCTGAGTACAACTAGGTATCTCGGTCTCTGGCGACCTAGGCCATTGATCGGATCAACCCCACCGGTCCCGAACGTCCTCCCACATTCCCGAACAGCCAGTTTTTCGCCTCTTCGCACCCGTGGTGGAAGCAGAAGCCACTTAGCGACCGGGCGCTCAGCCGTCCAGGCGGGGGCTTCCGGGTAAGCTTACATAACTGGCTTGACTCTTCCGCTAGTAGTCCACTTTTATGCCGAGATCAGCATTATAGGAGCCGACGCCCCAGCAAAGTATGAACCATGACGTTGTGACCGTGATCAAAAATAGAAACTGTGCGCCTTGTTTCACATGCGGTACACAAGTCCAGTCTCCGGACCAGAGAGAATTCAGAACGCCAGAACACCAGAACGCCTTGCCAACCCCAGGAGACCCCATTCCCGATTCCCCGGCACACCCTTGCTGGTCCGTCCTTAAAGCCCATTGGGGAACCATCGCCGAGCCATGAAATGCGAAAATATCGATAGGGCTTCCGTGAAATAGGGGTTCATCATCGTGAAGCATCAATCCTATTCCGCGACTGCCACTCAACGGCGAAGAGCCGCGTGATGGCCTGTCCCCATTCCACCCGTTCCACCCATGTCATCAGCCCCTCCACTGATTCTCGCGGGAATGGCATCGGTTTGATCGCCTACATCAGCGCATCACTAGGACATCGAGGAGCGATTTGACAGGCAAATCCGGCAGGGCCAACGCACTTGCATCATAAGTTCTAAAACACCAGCTTCCGGGGTCCAGCTATCGGGACTAAAGACTATGACCCCTACGATTCCCCCCTCATCACGAAGCTGAGCGCCTGAACCCGATCATCCTCAATCTTATCAGAAATGGTATATCCCCTCGAACCCGAAGACAAAGTTTCAAAACAGAGTCTTGCTCTTTCCACTCCAGAACCTCCAAAGACGATGCTTGCCCTTTCCCATATTCATCGGGACCGCTCAATACAGCCCGAGACCGGCTACGTTATCCCACATTCCAACGCTTCGGCATTCTCTGATTCATGTGTTGTTGTTGTTCTAACCGGAGGAAGTATTGAAGCAAGATACTATGGTAAGACATGGTGAGCGTAAGATTAGTGGCTGATGGGTAGCATTCCGTCCCAGGCCCACCATCCGCGGAGGGGCTCAGCTAGGCCAACGCAGCGGAAATATCTGTTCACCACTCGGTTCAATCAATATGCTAGTGGTCCATCTCAGTTCAGGGTTAGCTTCGAAGTCACGCATTTGATGCTTGTCGCAACAGGGTGAGGGCCACTTCCATGGCGCGTGAGCCACTGCAAAATCAATAAAGTCGAACTCTGGTTAAAGCCCATAGGGATGCTTGGCTTTGAGGCTCGATCCTCATTGAGGACGGGAAACAGTGCCACTAGTGTGCCGGAGCTCGCACCGCATGATATGTCACGCTCGGCATTGGGACCGCGGTGACAGTGCCGGTACTCGTTCATTGGCTGCTAAGCGTCTTGGCCGGTAGGCATATGTCAGGAAACGACATCCGACTCATCCAATAACATCATACAAAGCCACACCCGTCGGACGACTTATGTCACGTGATGTGGCAGTGCAGCTTCACTCTGCATCAAAGAGTAGATGATCTTCGCCAGTGTGTTGCCACAAGAAAAAAGCAGGAAATAGTTGGCAGGTTTTAGCAGAGACATTGTAGAGCAAAGTCCACCTATCAGGCTTAGATACCCTGAAGATCAAATGCGACCAAGACGTCCACGACCAGGTTATTCTGATACTTTGCCTGTCGCGCTATTGAGAAGCAAGGTCATCGGCCACACAAGTACAAGCCACAGGTCATAGTGACGAGATGGCGGTCCGCATAGCCACAAGCCATCCACATTGTGGCGCTCGGTCCTCTCATGCGCCACAATAGTTGGGAGTCACATCCGGCCTCTAACATGCCCGCTCGAACGTCTGAACGGGATGAAGAGACGTCAACGGAACCCGTCGGGAGACCTGATGCCCCGAGAGACAACCCCATTCGATCCCGGTCCTTTCCGCGCTGATTCTCCGTCATCCGAACCTCACCTACCTCAGCATCCTTCACACACGCTTGAGAGTTTGCCGAGGGTAAGGGACAGGCTCCCTCATGAGCCACACGTAAAATATGCCTAGCACCATAGGAGGAGTCTGTGCCAAGAGCCGACCTCATGATTCCAGCTCGGATTTCTGATACGAGTGATGCGAATGAATTAGACTTCCCGAGATTTAGTCAGAACATTATGCCGCTGGCACATGCACTTTAAAGCTCGCCACCTCGCAACCAGAGCCATGAGGGAATGGCTCCCTGGCGGTCTGAGGTATACGCCAAAAACCTTGCAGAAGTTCCAGACCAACGGGACGACCTGCTTCCGTCTGAACGGGGGTGCAGAACGAAACACTACTACGTGTGTCGGAATAGTCTTCGGATTGGTTGAGAGACAATACAGTTTGGGTGCGCCGATGGGCTGGCACGGCTGAGTTGGGTCCAAGGAGGTTCGATGAAGGGGGATGAGGCTGGTGAGTTTGGATCGTAGTCATGATTTCTGCCGATGTTGAGCAGCTACCACCGGTAGTTGTGGAATCGTGGTTGTTACTGGGGCACCTCGGTAGAGATGAAGCTGCAAAAACTGTGCGTCACTGCATGTTGAGAAATCTTCGGAGCCCAAGCACTACTCATCCGATAGCCCGGACGTACAACCCTAGTCATTCCTAAGGCTTCAAACAGACTTTCCGGGGATGGTAGCCTTGACTAAGCGGAACAAAGAGCGTAGCAAAGGTCAACGGACAGATCCAGACGGTGATTTTTACTGAATGTCTAGTGATCAGAGGGTTCCCGCAGCCTCGCTCTAGCGCTAATGTCTACCTGCCCTGGCGTCTGGTGGTAGACGAATGACGAGACTTTATTCATATCCTGCAGTTCGCGTGTGATAAATCAGATGGTATGCGATTGAGGTTTGGACGTTGTTTGCGTTGAGGGCGTAGCTCTCTCGATATTATTCTCTCATCCGCTTCCGACCTGACCAAATACCCATTACCTTCAATAGGAAGAATAGAACGAGAGGATTCCTCGCTGTCTTTTCGTCAGTACCATGCAAGTTGAATGAATCAGTTGAAGTTGCCGAGTGCTTTTACCAGATACTTGTACACAATATATCCTTTTGTTATTGAACTCCGAGTATTCATTTTTCCAAGCCCATAGAATTCAGGCAAAGCGTGACTTATTGACACGATTAATTAATGCGACGATTGTAAGGCATACCGCAGTTCCGAAACTATGTACCTCTGCATCTACTTCGTGCTACCAAATCGTCACCCGAGCACCCATGTGGCATCACCGCTCACTAAATAGTGATCTCATTCTTCAGAAGAACGCTGGTGGCGTCAGAGTCCTTTTCGGGCCCTTCATCTTTGACAGCGTCGAAGTTCTCCCAGTCGCTCATACCTTCCCGACAAGACTGGATGTACTGAGGGACCCCACCGACGTATACCAGCTGCTCCTTCTTTTTGCCCGGAATATTGGCGCCGATGTACCACGACGAGTCACATATGCGAAAGAGTGTCGCCTCGTGGATAGCCAGAATGGTTTTCTTCCAGTGTTCCTCGGCCGACTGTCGTGGCTCAATGAATCTTACCTTCTCCTTCCGTAGTTTGGCCAGGAAGTCGGCTATGATCTCGATCTGTTGCTCGATAAACGGGGGCGCGTTGGTCAAAGCCGTAGAAGCTACACCCGTCTTTTGTAAGCTTCTGGTGAATACTGAACAAGGGGGCTTTATAGCGGAAACTTACCTTGTGGCCCATATATCATAAACATGTTAGGACACCCCCGAGCCATGAGGCCTAGATATGTCCAGACGCCGTCCTTCCACCTTTCCTTCAAATCAACGCCGTCTTTGCCACGTAGCCCCATGCTGGTCAATGCACCAGTCATGCTATCATACCCTGTCGCAAGTACGATGATATCATGCTCTCTCTCCCTCCCATTCTCCGTCATGATTCCTCGTGCAGTCCAATCGCGGATCCTTGTCTTCTTCACATCCACTATCTCAACGTTGTCTTGGTCGAGACACTCATAATAGTCCTGCTCCAGACTGCTTCTCTTGGTCGATATAGGAAACGGTTGCTTGTCAGGAACAAGGATGGCTCTCTTCTCCGGATTTCGAATCCTCGCCCGTGTTTTCTTGGCCCAGAAGTCATAAATCAAGTGGTTCGACTCCTCGTCCAACAAAAAGTCTGTGTACTGGCCCGTCTGGAAGTTGAACCCACCCCGTTGCCACAACTCCTCCCACAACGCTTCCCTTTCCTCGGGCGTTGTCTCTGCCGTTGATTTGGGGTTGTAGTCATACGGGATTCCTGGATTGATTTCTCTTGCTGCCGTGAACAAGTGTCCATAGATGGCCTTCAGGGTGCGCTGTTCAAGCTCCGACATCGCACGTTGTTGCATCGGGACCGCTATGTTGATGTTGCGGACGTACACCGTCAACTCTACGCCAGGCTGCTTCGCGATCTCTTGCACGCATTGCACACCCGTCGCTCCGGCCCCAATAATAGCAACTCGTTTATTCCGAAAGTCGATGCCGGATTTAGGCCAGGCTGCAGAGTGCACCACGGTGCCTCTGAAGGACTCTTTGCCGGGGAAATGAGGCTCGTACCGCTTCATCGAGCTGCCGGTCGCCGGGATCAGGAAACGCGACGTAATGGTTCGACCAGTGTTCGTTTTAACGATCCACCTCGCCGTCTCGGTATCAAAATCCGCGCCTACGACGACGGTGTTGTAGCTTACGTCTTTGGAGATGTCGAGGGCTTTGTCGATGTGTCGAAAGTAACTCTTAAGCTCCTCATGTCCAGGGAACCGCTCCGTCCACGTCCAGTCCTTCCAGGCTTCCCTGACAGACAGCTGGTAATAAGGCGCTTCCGAATCAACTCGCGCGCCAGGGTAGCTGTTCCAGTGCCAAACACCTCCAAGTGCAGACCCGGCTTCCACAATGTGCGCCGAGAAGCCCTGCTTGCGCAAGTGGTGAAGCGCGTAGCATCCACTAAAGCCCCCGCCTATAATCAACACTTCGAAGTCCATGTTTGTGTCTGAAGCGCCATTGCTAAGACCTTTGCCATTGAGGCGGCCGTTATCAAGGTGGTCGATGGAGCCCATCGTCGCACAACTCATTTGGGAACCTTGAATGGGCACGGATTGAGTCAGAATCCGACACAAAAGAGTCAGGCAAACGCCAAAAAGTGAGCGAAATGGGAAGTCTCCGACTCAATCTGGGAGATCCGTCGTTTTTAAGGGTTGGTGGACCAGTGGCCAAGAAGATCAGACGGCGGTCTAGTTCCATGGTGAAGAGGGGATGAAGCTGATGTGCGGCATAGTCCCTCGGCATCTCTAGCGGCAAAAAGTCCTCTCTGGAACGTTCGCCCTCGGTTGTTTGTTTGAATTTGGCAACTTACTGAAAACCACTCATTGGTTCGGAGCGATGGGCCATATCTTCTAGCGATTGATGCATCGTACGACGTGTTGGACTGCAGGACGTGGGCTTGAAACGCTTTCTCCCATGCCAGTAACCTTGTGTACGTTGCACCGAGCGGGTCAGATGGACCCCAATCATCGCGGGGAAGAGCGGCGTTATTTCCGAATACGCTTGCTATGCATTTATATTGGCAAGAACCAGTGCCAATGAATGCTTGCGTAGTGGGATGAAGATCAGGCTGTTGACTGTTAGCTGCTTTGGACTGTGTCACAGGGGTGGACAGAAAGTCCCCGGAGACATGTAGTGGCGTATAGAAGGCAACTGAGTAGACATTGGTGTATACCATAGCGAAGTAGCTAATCATAGAAGCCAAAAACCCAAGGCTTGAGTGAGGTGACATTCTTGTCCCTCGGCAGAGCAAACGAGACGTACGCGGGGTCAATAAAGTGGTAGCCAGCACCTTTTGCTTCCTTCCCGAGGGTACTTGATGTGGATACTGTAGATCTCGTTGCACATGAATGATGCAATCGATATCCATAAGAATGCAACAGGGATAGTCGTCGGCCCATAAGTGGACCGGATTTGGGACCGCCTGTTGCGAGCTGGTCCTTGGCCGGCAGGAGATCAAATGATCTAAAACCACTGGCCAGCAATGGTCCGCAGCAAAATCATTCTGTAAAGACATATTGAAGGGCTCTTATCCGCCCAAAACTAGAGTTCAGATAACGCACAGAGCTTAAGGCCGCTACACGTGGCTCTTACGGCTTTCGAATAAGGAGATTGACGACTCAGGCCTGAATTCAACAGTATTTCGGTCTGTTCGGCAGACACCAAACCCAGAACAATAAGAATTGTCATGGAGGACCATACGGATATATTGAGGGTTTCTGTCGAGACGGTAAGTCTGTCGAGAAACTATTCTAGGCTTGGATAGGATCAGGAATACTAATCGAGCTCTCCCTGATAGAAGGCAACTAGTATATGTAGCAAATGGCAGCAGGCAATGATGATCAAGCTTTAATGGCGTGGATCGCCTCATTTGTTTGTCGTCTTGTCGTCACGCAAGTATGCTGATGGTCTTCCGGCGGACCCCCGGCTTTAATGACTTTTGTTACATTGAGGATGACTAGCTGAACTGACTGCTTATACTAAACGGTTGAATTTATATAGAGGTGCCTTTCGGAGAGCTTGCGTTCTTCTGGTCATCGCTTCCCGAATGGTCACCGTTCGGTAGTGCCTGAATCTCGCGGGTTGCGGCGGCCGTCTCGAATTCATCGACAATCATCGAGCCATATTTCGCAAGAGAATCCTTGTCCACCTGAGACATGAAGTCAGTCACCCCATCTGTAAGCACTGAAGCTTTTGTAACGTACCTTGATAACAAGTGCCATAAAGCCGAGAACAACGACAGAGCACACAATCATGACGATCGCGCCCTTCTTCCAATACGGTGACTCATCAGCAGCGTAGAACACGATACCCCAAAATGTGTACAGCGTTGTGGCACCAATATTCATGGCATAAATTGTTACACTTCGAACGGCCTCATCACCGCTACGCTGAAGGATGATGCTTGCCCAGCCGAAGATCAGGGGGTTGACCATATACGAAGAGCCCGAAAGGTAAAATGCAAACATCGTGCCGGCGAATGAGAGGGTTGGGACAAGCAGCATCGCGGCGCAGACGATCTGGATGATGCATACCAGCACAACCATTGGAATGCGGGTGCCGGTAGCATCCATGTGCCAGGCGGCAAGGATGTTGGTCACAATGCCTACCGCTTGAACTCCCAGGGGATATGTGTTGATTTGGCTCTGGGTGAAGTGCTCGGCATAGTATTTGAGCCAGAGGATGAAATTGCCCTGAACTACCCAGGCCTCGAGGGTGGCGCAGATGGGCGACCAGAGCACCAAGATCCAACTGCGTTTCGGTCAGCCGTCTTGCTCGGCAAGAAAGGAGTGACGAAATGGATTACAAGGTAGGCATAAGCACGAGGCGCTTCAGTAAAGAAAAGGGGCTAACGCTGTGCGAGTTTTTGATGACCGGAGGTAATCTTCCGACTGCTAACTTCTTCTCGGAGTCGCTGAGATATCGTGCGCTGGTGTTCTCAGGAATATCGGGGAAATAGAAGAATCCGAATAAAGCGATGGGCAGAGTGATGATGCCATCTGCGAGTTGTCAGTGGTTTTCAGTTTCGAAATCCAATAATGGAGGTCTTACCAATGATGAAGACCCATTGCCAGCCCCCGAGACCAGCCAAACCACCTAGGCCTTTGTAAATGGCGGCCATCATCACACCGGCGAACATGGTGCCAACTTGACCGGAGGCGGTGAAAATAGCAGTGCGCTTCGAAATTTCTTGGGGCTTGTACCATGATCCCATGATGTAAATGGCTCCCGAATAGGTGCTGGCCTCCGCCAATCCAAGAAAGAAGCGGACGACGCAGAGTTGAGCTGTCGTCTTGACGGCCGCACTAACCATGGTCAGGAAAGCCCAAACCAGCACCATACTTGGCAACCAAATTCTTGGGCGGACGATCTGGAGACCAATGATGATGCCATGGGGGATCTGGCCGACGACCATGCTGTGTTGCGTGTCAGAAAAGGGGTCCGTGAAGCAATTTCTCTGTCCAAATCTCACCCCGCAGTAGTCACCGATAAGACTGTGTTGTAATCATGGCCCTTCATATGCAGGGCCTCTCGAAGGCCAGCAACCTAGCGCAAACTTATTAGTTTTTATTTTATTTTAAATTCTATTTTCAAATGAGCATTGTTGACAGGTGGCATTACATATGCGTTAGCAAAAGCGGCACGATCTGTAAAATACAGTTAGCCAGCGGCTCAAGGCCCTTTGCAAGATCCATGCAGCACCTACCCAGGTAGTTGAAGAAATAGCTTAGGCAGCAATAAGTCTGCAGTAGTTAGTTGGACTGAGCCATGTTTATGCATAGTTGAGCTGCGCACCAAGATAAAAAAGTCTGAACGAAACTATTAGTTTGAAGAGGCGCAAACAATTGGGGAGAGTAGCGTGAAGTTGATGGCATACCTATTTTCTGGACAAGTCGCCTTTCTTCTTTTGACTTTGCCTCATCGCCAAGGAAGAAGACTTTCGAAACAAAGACAGTCAGCCAAGGTTTGTGTAGGGGTGACGTGGGATCCTCAATTCATTCAACCTACCTTTGACCTTGTTACCAGCTGAACTGTTTTCGGTCGCCATGTTGTCGGGATACCGAGCCTTTCTTTCGTGACTCTAGGATGTAGCGGAAGAGTTCCCGCTCAGCCTTGAAAGAACTAAAAAGATCTGATAAGAACAATAATGAAGTCGACTTTCAACATTCTTGAATGTCTTTTGACGGGATTATCTATGTGATTCCGAAAGGTTTTCCCTGCAGCTCTGATCAAATAAAACCTTGCATTAAACCGTTCGAGGGTCGTTGTAACCGTTGTACGAGTTAGAATTGTTCCATAGAAGTTGCTGAACCGGCAAAATGGACCTGACGTCTATGTGCAAGCGAAAAATTATCTGTCTCAATCGTAAAAAATTTGGAAATTACGTTGAGGAAGAGAAGGATGCGCGAGAGAGAACCTTGATGTCCTCTTATCCCAGTCATTCTCGCCGGCGGCCCCGTCTCGTCCTTCTGTTCTGTGGTTCAGTCGTGCTAGCGGTCTCCACTGAGTGACATGACAGGACCTCTCTCATCAAATGAAACAATTGGGATTTGAGCGAGAAAGAGGCGGGGGAAGTCTTGGCGCATCTGATAGAGAAACCACTTGCCCGGAAAGTTGGAAGCAAATTGCCGCAGGCCACACCTTCGGCCGCGTGCGCTATCGCTAGTTGCTGGCCTATCCGTCCTCACAATGTATGCATGTGATGAGTATTAGTTAGAGAGCACAGTAAGTCTTGCCTGCTAATTTGGCAGCTAGAGCTGTGTTAAGTCTAACGAGGAACCAAAACATAGTCCGAACTGAGCTGGAGTCAATTTAGCCACTCGGCCGGCCCATAAACATCGCTTCAAACTTTTAGGCACGCCGATCGTTTAAATGTTGCTCAAACTGTAACAGAATACTTACGAGTCAATTAGCTCACAAGTGAACTCATCGTGACTGGACTTTAATAGCAATTGCCAATTTATTTATCGGACTGACCTGCCAGGTTGCGCAACTTAAATGGAGTCCACGCACCTAATTCTCTGCAGTCCTGTTCTGTGCTGCAGCAATGGCCTCCTGCTTTTTCTTCTCATAAATGGGTTTAACCTTTCCCTCCAACGCCTCTTTGCAGAAATTCTCGAATGAGTTGCCCATCAAGTCGGGATATAGGTCTTTGCCAATTTGGTAACCTAGGTAGCGGGCGTACTCGGGTATATTGTCCCCTCGGAGACCCCACGACTTCTGATATTGTGTGACCGAGAGCTTATGGATGTTGGCCTTATCGCCTTTGGCCTCTTCCAGCCGACTCTCGATTTCATCCGCCGATAACTAGGCAATAATAATTTCATCAATCGAATTCAAATCCTTTGATAGCTTGCGATAGACTGCGGAAGCTTACGTATTTTCTCTGAATCTTCTCCCCGCTCAATTTTTCGAACAAGTTGTAGACGTCATTCTGAGACCAGAGCTCTGTGTATGCGAAGACTTTGTGGTTCAGGGTGCGAGGATCCGCGACAATGCGCGCGACATACTTGCCTATATCTCTGAGGTCTGTCATTCCGGAAAGCACAGTCCCGTCACCCGCGATCCAGTCTTCAAATGGACTCGCGAATGCGTCAATCTTGCCTGATGGAAGGCGCGGCAGGCTAATTTGATACCACCAGCCGACATCGATGGCTGTGTACGGTAAATACAAGGTCTGAACATGGTTCAACACATCCTCTTTCTGGCCCGTAGATGTTAGTCAATCAATGCTAAGTCATGTATTGAGTGTGTTGCTGCAGTCTTACTTGGTCGCGGAACCATAACATTCCTCTGCTCGGCATCACCGTCCCAAAGAAACAAGGCACAAACCGCGTCACACCTGCTTTCTTGGCGGCATTGGCGAGTGGAATTTGATCTAGCAACCTGTCCGCGACAATGGCCGAGATGACAACATCATGACCTACTAGCTGTTGCGTAATCTCATATTCGGGGCCGCTGAGGTCAGTTGCGAATACTACAACGCCTTTCTCTTTCAGGCTTTCGACTTCGGGCTTCTGGAGCGAACTCGGTCGGATGAGGGCCGTTATTTCCTATCAAGTATTTGTTATTACAGACACGGAATATTCGACGTCTTCAGAGAGCACTAAGGTTGTGGTTCTAACATATTTAAGGTCCGTTGAGGCGAGCAAGCCGTTCACAATGGATGTTCCGGTCTCTCCGGTTGCGCCGACAAGTGCGACCTTCATGGCTGACTTGAGTGGTGTGATAAAATGGAAGCGCAGACCTAAAAGCGTGTAACAGAACTGTTAGACTCGGAATCTGGCAACTGAGTGGTTCACTTGGTATTGATGAGGTCGAATGTGCAGTTTACTTATGCTTCATGCTTTGTAGCCCATCCGTTCCGAGGTATGGCCCCCAGCCCAAACTCAACGAGACCATTCGCCGCCATAAACAAGGATGAGATCATTGCTGGCCCCTTTCCCCATACAGTACTAGGATCGAACATTTAAAGTCCGCAAAAAGCGGGGGCAGTCGTGCGGACTGGCCCACGCTGGTGCAGCGGAGTTTTGCTGTGAGGGAGGGGAAGTGAATCATCCACGCACTCGCGTCAACGCCGGGGCACTTTATGAGTCCGCTCGGTTTCGGCTTCGGTTTCTGGGCAAGATTGAAGACCCTCAACTCTGAGCTTGAGGGATGTATATAGTGACCAGTTCAACACATGCTGACGGGATTTCACAGGGAATGAAGTTGAAATATTAACGAGTGCGTAGGTGAAGCTGAGGATAGTCTGACTGCTTAGGTTCTTGTTGGTCCCCTCTAACCCTCTGGCTTAAAGCCTTAACCGTCCGAGCTCTTGTTCCACCCCCATCGAGTGTTCTTACTAAAATGGTCATTATGCTTGCCGGTCTGCCTTGCGCTCTGTTTTTCTGTACCCAGTAGAGAATTGCTAGAAAGCTCTTTGCATGGCATTTCGATCGGCAAAAAGGGAACTTGGCGCCATTGCGTGGAATCTGCGTTCGGAGCTTCTTCGGGTCGTCACCCTCTAGCCAATAGGTTGAGCTAGGTGATTCTCGCCGCTTTTGCTCACCTTCCACGATAACCAGGGTGAGGCCAGGGTGAGGCCAGGGTGAGGCCAGGGAGAGGCCAGGGAGAGGTTAGGATGAGGTCAAAAAGATGTCAAGGTAAGGCCAAGGTAAAACCAAAGTAATCTACATAGATCGGAACCGCCAAAAAAAAGCTCCATAGAAATCTAGGACAAGCTTAATAAAACAGAGCAATCCTAATAAAGTGGCATGCCAATGCAATCCCATAGTGACGTTAACCAGTAACTACTAAAATACTATCTCGCAATCCGAGTTTTTACGAATAACTTCCTTGCAAAGCTAGCTCACAGACCTCACAGTTAACACAATATAAAAAGAGTACAATCACAGTTAAGATCTTAGCTACAACTAGCACTCATGTGGTTACATATCTCCCCACAATGCCACCATTTCGTGCATAAGTTATCTCCACAGCCCTGTATTCTTAACAACCTCTCCAAACCGAGTAGTAGATATACACGGGCTCTAGAAAGTCAGTCTAAGAATCCCTAGTCTTCAAAGAGGGTGATGTCTTTTACAGAGTTTTGATTAAGAGTGTACGACAGAAGTTGTGTCGCAAACAAGGTGACACATACGCTCAATTAACTCCAAGTACACTTAAATGTCTAGCTCAGAGAGAGGCCTTTACATCACGAGATCATAAGCACCGAAAATACCAATGCCTGCAAAACCACAACGACTAACATATCCTGGGACAAAACATTTTCAACCCCAATGCCAAACACGGGCCATTGAAAATACAACGGAGACTCGACTTCACAAGCGAACCAGAGATTACAAAAGCGCCGCTTCATCATGGTCCTCCTGTGCCACTGTCTCTGCTTCATCGTCAAGCTCATAAGTTGCAATTTTCTATTAGCGCTTAAGCTACAATAGGCTAGGACATATTAAGAATAGCCCTAATCAAAACAATAATAAAATGTTGAAGTTAGCACCGGCGGGGCTCGCCAAGACCCAAGACTATGGAAAAAGGACTGGTTGCAAAGCATCCAAGTACCAGGGGAGTCAAGACTCTGCCAGTGTTTCACGTTTTTATTAAAGACACCATTGATCTACGATTCTTTCTTCACATAATAAGATGAGTGGGCTCTCCAGAAGCAGACCTCGGGCGTATCACCAATGATGTGTAAGGATATTGCTTGTACAAAGGATATGAGAGCAGCCAAATCACAACCATCGTATTTCAACTTAGCAAGTTAGCAGCTCGACATCTTTACCAGAGAGGTCATGGCCTAAGGGGCGTTCTACCATTACGGAAGCGTAATCCGAACATGAGGAAAAATCTTGGCTCAACTGGAAGGTTAGGGCTCATCATGAATGGACGTCCACATCTGATCTTAAGTTCTTTCGAGTCAGTGGTAGACTTGCCGCGTTCTCGGAGTCCGAGATGAAGGAATCCACGAAATCTGCGAGTGAGTATAATGGAAGGCGATGTTTGAGCGGCGTCGCAAAAACGACGCCGTTTAATTACGGACAGTAATTAACGCTACATATCCCTCGTGACAAGTGGCTTATTAGAATTATTGAAGGGAGAATACTTGTGTACGTGGGAGATATGGGAGCGACTATACCAATAAACCGTGTCACCTGGCGTCTTTGTGATAAGTTCCAATTCCTTCACACTCACGGCACAATATATCAACGTTACTTCTTCATTGCAACCATTAGAGACTAGCCTAAAGTTTCTGTCAAAGTGGAAAGTTATTGTTGCGATGCCGGGCATCGCCGTAGCTATCGAAATTAGTGGGTTATCTCCGATAACCCACGGGCCACTCGGCGCGGATGAATCCTCGGTTATTCCTCGGGTAATCCACCGCCGAATCGCCGCATATCCCTTGCCTTTCAACCAGGAAACCCACGATAGTTGCTCTTCTTCTTTACGCATAATGGAGACTAATGCACCCCTATTATCCCGTCACTACGCCTATCGATACGTACGGTTAACCGTATCACCCACCTGTGATACCAACAGGTATGTTTATTCCGATCAATGAATATCGAGTGTGGGATTACAGCCAACGCCGCATCTTATGGGATTGAGCATGTGTGATGAACCGGCAGCGTCTGTCACAAAGAGTGTAAAGTAGTTGTCCTATTAAGAAACTATGTATGAGACGACTTCGGGTAAAAATACCCAAATGAGATGGTCCGTGCATATGGACGCCACATCTAAAGCGGCCACAGCTGGTATCAGCCACACGAAGCTATTCCCAGCTTCACGACAGCATGGAATGAAGCAACTCAATCAGATGAAGTGCGGATATTGCAAATATAACGCAAATGATTAAAATCCCGGCAAAGTCATGCTAACATAAAATATCATCTATTCACCAGTTGTCACGACCGGTTTTGTTACATATCAGCTGCTGTACCTTCCTGAGACCGCTTGCTGATAAGATAATCATACGACGAGACCTGTGTAGTACCTTAGTAGAAGAAGAGTATGACTGCTAAAAAACCCAGGACTGGCTGTTTGCACAAATATGTTGGTTTGACACTTTAACGCACAGTAGATTGTTACTTTAATAGTGGGAGTATCTCTGCGGATATAGAATGTAATCAAGGACGCAGGCGGAAATGGACATTGTGTATGGACTTAGCTGCAGTCGGAGTAGAAGCGAACGGAGGAATCATGTAAGAACAGAAAAAAGGAGCCTTATACGGCTTAGCCCGGGTGTAACAATCCCTTTGTGTACATATGGTTGTGGATAGTAATGATAGCTGCTGTGAACCTGGAGGGCTGCTTTACATGGATCATCAACTCATTCTAACCTGTCTCTGAGATATTAAAAGGAGAAGTAGACTGGATTTGTAGACAAAATGTTCCCGAGTTGGGTTTTCAGTCATCTCCGAGTCATCTCATCTGCACACAACGGAGACTAAGGTATGAGGCATCTATTGGCTGTGCTTGACTGCGGTTATCATCAGAAGATAACTGTCAGGCTATAAGATCCCAGATACAGTCCTAAGACGACGAGTTAACAATCCGTCAACCCAGAAATGATCAACACAGCGAAATCCAGCCAAAGAAGCTTCGAGCAATCGAGGGTTCGCAGACAATCAACGACGTCCACAGATTTATGGTCCTCACTTTGGAATTTGTTTGTAGATATCTTTCGACATCTCGCATTACCTTTCGCAGACTTCTTGAAGGCTTCTGCGCTTCAATACAGACGGCCATGACACTGCGGCCCACACTGGGCCTCCCTCCCCGCGCAAGATGCGTCAACGACTAAGGTTTGAGCACACTTATGTCCATCAGTTATGTATTACAGGGTGTAGGAGACTACTTGTAGATTGAAACACCTCGTGTACGAGGTAGGTAGTAAGCTGCTTTGAGTTGCAGGGTTTGATTTACTGTGTGCCTAGGTTCCCCTCTTCGTAGGATTTATGTGGATTGGAACCACTTAATTAGATTAAACTAGTCTCTGTAATAAGCTGAATGAATGTGATTTTGGACTGACTGTCTATGCAGGTCTTGGGGGCAGAAACTGCGGGGTTCGATTTTAGGCTAACAATCCATCATCCGCAATGTCACATCGTATGCGTCTAGGCAGACACAAAAGAGATCCTACGGAAATTCCCTCGGCGTAAGCGCTATGGGTGACCAAAACGGCAGGTATTCTGAGCTTGCTGACCGAAGGATTGATGCCAAGAAGCGATCAGATGAGAAGCATGTCTTAGAGAAGAGGACCCCACGAGCTTGCCTTGTTCGTTAAGCGCTTGCCAGAATGCACGCACAAATTAATAGTAGTTGGGATTGATGATTGTGATCTAAGAAAGATCAATCTTAAGGGAATTGGACCAAGGCACAAGTATGGCCCAGGAAAAGAATATCGGAATCTGGCGCGTGTAATTGTTACATAAGAGAAAAGTTTCCGCGAGTTGTAAAGAAAAATCAATGTATAAGAGAAAAGGCCCCGCGAGCTGTAAAGAAACTTTGGTTCCGGCAGTATTAGTGGGGCTCTTAACTATCGCCGACAAATGCTTGCAATACCACTAACCATGGCTAGCCAGCATCTGACGCCCTATCTGGGAGGTTGTAGGACAGCACACAAGCGACCCCAGCATAACAATGCCGCTAAGGTATCAACGACTCTCTCACTTTTTCAGGATAAGAGAGGTCGTAGGATAAGCAACCTGGTCAGGAAATAGTATAAAGCCAGTTGCTTCCTCCTCCAGGACGGTTCTGTTTGCTTCCTCAATCACCACCAGCTCCTCCCTCTCGTTTCCAACTTAGCAGCATTGTACCAAACACCACCACTGCACGTATCTAATATGTACTTCTCCGCGCTCCTTCTGACCCTTGCAGCTACTGCGTCGGCCATCGATGTCAGGGCTTACACTAGCAGTGGCTGCGACGGGGGCTGGGTAGGCTGCGCGAACATCAATCCCAACGTATGCTGCGTGTTTAGCAACTCAGCAAGCAGCGGCAGGTTGAGCATTTCTGTGAACGCTGTGCGTGAACCCTCTTTCCTTTTGCTTAAAGACCTCTCAGAACTAACAGGTGTCAACAGATCCCAAGCAGCTGGCGCATCCGCGGCGAGGCTAACACGGGCGGTGGCTGCTCATTTCTCGCGAACCAGCAAGACTCGAACGGCAACACAGACATATGCATGTCGTACTCGTCGCGCGGCGACCGCACAGGGGGCAGCTACTGGTTTGTCGGCCGCAAGCGCGCCGACGACGAGTCGTGCCCCGCCGAGCAGCCAGGTAGCGGAAAATGCGAAGCCAGCGTTAAGCCCGACACGCTTGGCCTTGCGGATGGCACTAAGTACAGCATAATCGGCCTGACGGATGAGAAGGTCCAGGAGTTGGTGAGTTTTGGCTGCAGCCCTAGAAAAGAGATAATGACATGTATGGCACCTGGACTGGATGCTGACTTGCTTCCCCCGCTTGAAGGAGAACATTGCCAACACTGGCGCTAGTGCCGACGCCGTGCCCGCCGAGTTCCAGATCCTGCGCCGCTAGATCGAGGCTCGAACCCATACGCAAGGTCCCTGATAAGGGCATGTCTCGGAACAGGAAGTTTAGATCAAACAAGGACGGGCTGGAAGTACAGCAGCGGCGTTCTAGAGTGCGTGCTTGTGATAACGCAGATATCTAAACACTGTATAGTTAGCAACTATATAACTAGCTATAGCAAATTAAGCTTGCTTAACCTTAACAATGAACAAGAGTCAAGTTTATTGTAACCACCACGTAAGAAAAAGTGGGTTCACCAGAGGTATAAGTAAGGGTCTTCATTAGTCTTTGTTGGCTGCTGGCCTTCTGTAGCGAATGCTTGATTTAGAGACTAATTAATACCGCTATACGATTAACATTGTGTAATTTGTTCCCTTTATTGTGTTTTTGCATTTGCATTTCTTTTTTCCCAGCAACAGTTCAAAGAGCCAACGCGGTCTCTTAAAGATATGAGACGGCTAAAATAGCTTTAAGGTTCATCGACAGACAATATTTCTAGACACAGAAGGTGACAGATAATACTAGACAGCGACAAATAACCAGACTGAGCCAGGCAAAACTGAGCTGTCATGAGAGGGACTGAATCCGACTGGGGTTAAGTGCATACTGATTCGCTAGCGCCTATATCGGCAAAATGCGCGGGTTACCTTTCTGACGCTCGCTGTCGCATCTTGTTGAGTGGAGTGTACCCCGGTGTAGTGTAAAACCTCTTGCCTAAGGTTTTTCGTAGCTGCTTGGTGTATGTGTGTATTATTGGGCTAGGCACTACAGGTGAAAACAATAGGTATGATATGGTGTATGCGGCGTTATTTTTATAAGAATTTTGTTTCCTTAGCTCGGTAGCACCTAAGTATCTTCGATGACGCTCTAATTACTAGCGATGTTAGTGGCTGTGTATCGCTGCGAAGTGCAATATTTGATTGACTAGGAACTCTGTTTGAAAACAGTTGTAACTAACGAGTTACGGGCTGGTAGAGCGCAGGACAAAATATTGCTAGGTTAAGTAACTCTAAAAACTGATAATCTTGATTACGACAGTCGCGTATGTACGAGGGGGCAATTTTCACACTAGCTCACCCTCGCTCACCTTCGGTCTCACCCTTAAAGTAGCGTCACTGTGTGAGTCTCGAGGGGCTTTGAACGCAGGATCCGTAGAATAAGGTGCCATTCCGTGGAACCTTCGTTTGGAGCTTTCTCCACTTGTCACTGTCTACATGTAACCAAAGTGGTAAGCCCGGTGACGCTCGCCTCTATTGTTCAGATTTCACGATAACCTAAGTGAGGCCAGGATAAGGCCAGGGCGAGGCTGGGGTGATCTAAATGGCTCAAAGTCCCGAAAAGGAAGATCTCTAGGCACCTAAGATAAGGATCCTATAGCAAAGCAGTCCTAACAAGTTAACAGACCAGTAGTCTCTCTCAATCAAATCAACCGGTACTTGTGATTCTCAATCACATTTTTTCCAGAAGACTTCCTTGCTAAGCCAGATAACAGCACTCATCAATTAAGCAACTAGAGAGAACATAATCACAGTCAAGATCTCGATTACCATTAACATTCCAAACAGTTCGATATGTCCTCGTGATGCCATTATTCGGCACATGAATTGTCTTCACAGTTTGATCTTCTCGGAAGCTACTGAAGAGCAATTAGACGGTAAAAATAGGCTCAGAAAACCCATTATTAGTGTTGTTGTATCAACATGTTTATCAAACTGCCGGCGCAGGGTGAAGAAGGCGGTGCCCCTCGTTGTAATTTACCCAGGTGTCAACATTAGACACATCTAAACTCAGGCGCACTAGCTTTATCTTCAGCCCTACTTGATGCGCAAAAGACTTTCCGCATCTGAGCACCCGCTTCGCTCAGGTGATCCCCGAGTAAGTTGCGCCGAAAATATGTTGGGGGGCTCTGTCCACGTGTTAATAGAATACAGACCAAGTGTCACTTTATGTATTTACAGCAGATTATAACGGTGCTCAGCGGTCGTATACAATCACTTACTAGAGGGAAATACATTGGGGTTTTGAAAGGAGCACTTTATTAGAATTATGCATTTCGTGTGAGTTGTTGTTTTAGCCCCCCATAAGCGGTCTAGTACAGTTCACCCTGTATAGAAAACTGTCACAGTGCATATAACCCAATACAGTAGCACCTCTGTTAGAATTATATATAACACCCAGCATATATGCCGCTTTTACCACTTGACCGAAACAACGAATCTTCAGTGGCAGACTAGCTTAGCGGAAAGTCTCCCGATACTTGGTGTTGCATATACACAACGTCGGGCTGTAACTGCTCATGCCGTTCAGGCATATTGCTGGATTGCGTATCTTTCATGTTGACCTCGTAAAAGATCATTGTGTATTCCCTGGAATTGACGATTCATAATGGTCGTTGCTCTGTCTACGAGAAGAGTCATCGCACAACAAATGCGGCAGTAGTAATGTAATCGTTAGCATATGCGATTCGTAGAAAATCTAGCTTGAAGCATACGTACGTGTGACATTTTCGGCTAGCTGGAGGATCTTGACTTTTAGTACCGTGACAGGGCTATGAATGCACTTTCCCCCGTAAAACTTGAATATCAGTACAAACCTGACAAATCTGACACAGCTCTTTCCAGCACGTCAGAAGGCTTTCCCGACTGTTCGAGGATTCAAAAGAACATAATGAACAACAATAAGGATAGCTTTAGGGTAGAAGCCGACATAGCCGGAGGACATGCTATAGTAACCGACGAGCCGCCCTCTTCCCGGGCTCTCGCCAAAGCCGCGGAGCTCCAGGTCCTAAGTAGATATGACAAGCCGTATCCTTTCAGGAGCCTCTACAGTGGAGTCGACTCACCTTCAAGAGTCGTTATTGTCTTCATAAAACACTTATTCTGCGGAGTAAGCCAATCAATCAATAGCATGGTTATTGCCAAGGTAATATTAGCCACCGCAGGCATGTCAATCCTATATCCACGCTCTATCATGCACTATTACGCCAAAAACTATATCTTCATATCGCATTTCTATAACCTTTGTTCTCGTGGGATGCGGAGATGCTGAGCTCATAGACGAGCACATCAAGGTAACAGATTGCCGATACCCGATATGTACGGACCCCACAGGAAAGCTCTTCGATGCACTGGAAATGGTGAGAACGGGTGCTGTAGAAAGCAGAACCGCTTAACCTCCGCAGAGGTGGCTCTCCCACTTCGTCAAGGGAGTGTATGACGGTTTGAGTACTTCGATGAGGACAACATCGAGACGTCGGAGGAGTAACTTGCCCTCGGGGAAGACAATGAAGGCCGGAGATCCGATGCGAGTGGGAGGAGAGTTTGGGTTCGAAGAGCGCGAGAGGATGAAGGTTATGACATGGTGTCACGGAATGGGAAATCATCATGACCGTACTGAAGTTGCAGACCTTTGTGGAATACTGGGGTTAAATATCTAGAGAAGTTAAGTCGGCTGCGTGGATTTCTAATTCAAAATGATCTTTCAAGGCATTGATGCATATTCAGTAGAATATAGACCAGAGATCGTATGATAGTGATTTGACGAGAACAATTCTTGGATCGTGTTCCCAAGGTAACCAGATATTGACCAGGAGATCCTCCAAATCAGTTAAAAGACCAAGGAGCTATTCGATGAATCCAGCGTTCAGCGTGTGCACTTACTCCATCGGTCCGGCCGGCTCAGACAAAATAAAACCCACTTGAATATCAGACTGTCGAACTTGCTGCTTAATGCTGTCAACATCGAAGGTGCCATCTTCTCCTAAACAATAGAAATTCATGGGGAGTGCCTTCACGGGTGTTCTCTTAATGAATGGGTGCATTCCTGATACAATACACACTTCCAAAATACTATTATATAGATTTGACTGTTAAAAATCAGACTATCTATGGCTTCCGTTCGTTGCGGGATAAGTTACTTGTAGAGCACTGAACTCGGTGCTAAATGGCGTGGGCCACGCACTTTCTGGCATTCCTTCCTTATCTTAAACAGCAACTATAACGATTTGTATCTCAATTTTGCTATACAAGAAATTTTTTAGAGAAGATATATAACTTTTATGTTGGAATAACAGCACCAGCTGGTTATACGACACGCACGACTCAGGGACACACATCATGGCAGAGGGCACAGACTGGATATTCGGCTCTTGGTTAACTATTGAGGGGATCAAAAGTATATTTATGCTGAACTAACTCAGGGACATACAAGATCATATACCTTGTATACAAAAAGCTAAGTCTTATAGTTAAGAAGATAATTATAGAAAATATATCTTTAGTTTACTTTAACTTTAACTTAAGTATAATTATATAAATAGGTTCTTTTAAGAAAAAAGAATCTATTTAATATTAATTAGTAGTTACTTAGTAATCTATATAATTACTTTATATAATTACAAATTAGTAAAAATAAAAAAATAAGACAGGCTTTATAGCTAGGCTACTAAGTAGTCTTATACTTTATATAAGGCAAGAAATCCTTAAAGATATCTAAGGGGTTATACTAAAAAGTCTCTTATACTAAAAAGCTTTAATTTTACTTATTATTACTTATTAAGCTAAACTAAGTAAATAAAATAAAAATAACTTTTACTTTATTATTATATAAAATAAATTCTTATTATTATTTACTAAGCTAAATTAAATAAAAATCTTTATTATACTATATATAAAGTATAAAGTGTATATTATAGTATTAAATAAACTAATTTTAACGTTATATAATATAAAATAACTACTAAATATAATATAGTTTTTTAAAAAGATCTAAAAAATAATTATTAAAGCTAATATAATAATATTAATAAATACCTACTAATATATAAAGAAATAAGTATAAAAAATAAAATCCTATTATATATATAAAAAAAGACTATAAATCCTAAACGCTAAAGAAATCTAGTTAATATTATATAAGTATTATCTAAAAAAAAGATAACTATATATATTATATATATTAATATAGAAATACTTTATTTTAAGTAATTAAAAAAAAACTTAATAATA